GACAGCCGGTGGGAATCAAGTTCAAGAGAGAGGATTTTGAACAAGAATGGATCGATGAAGGGAAGGTGATTGCTAAAGAAGAAATTGGCTCAACATCTCTTCCGCTGGAAGCTATCGCCGCTGTTGGAGAATCACTGATTTTGCATTTTGGCGATTACCGAAGACTGTACAGAAACTGTCAGACATTTGCGGACATTTTTGTGCAAATTGTTTGTGACGTCGACCACAAAGCATTCTCTTCACCATCTATCCAGAATGTTATCGCCACTACTCTTTTGGCTTTTCCCCTGACTACAGTCGGCGGCTCCGTTATGCACATCAAGCAAAAAAACTTCATCAAGAAAGTCATCAAGAAAACAAAAAAGGCAATTTCTTGGGAAGATATTGTTGATGCTGAAATTAATGATGAAATCAACAAAATTGAGCTGGGCATTGTTGGATCAAAAACTAGTTGTTCCCTTATGTAATTACTTTTTCATCTTGCATAGTAAAAAGCATGTTCTTAATAATACGTTTTATGACAGCTTTCTTTCTGTTCTGATATTATTGCGGGATAATTCATTTATGACAAATGATACATTCAAGTTCTTTGGTAAATCAAAAGATAATATCTTCATTTTTGTACATCTAACTGATTTTTTATTGGATAATGTGAATGACGAAATTTACCAAACTTTCAATTAATATGAAGAAAGCGTAAAATGTCGCAGTAAATGAAAAGCGGTATCATTCGGTGCTCTACCCTTACTACTTCCAATGTATAAACGACACATCGTATAGTTCCATTTAAATGCTTTTAGAGTGTAGTCATTGAATTCTTTTTGATTTGGAAAGCATCCTTTCAAGGCAACCAGGTCTTGTCCAATGAATTGTCTAGTTTGCAAATATTTTGGTAATGGACCATGAGTGCGATTTTTGTCAGGTAATTCAGACTTGTAAATAGTAATTCGTCTGGTTCATACCTTGATTCTAGTATTGTCATCTATATGAGAACTGACTGGTGTTTCCGAATTGATGGCAGATAGTGTAGACTCTCCAATAGAAACCAATAAATTGATTGTATCTGCATGGGGATGTGCTTCATACGTTCCATTTCTGTATGTATGAGAATCTAGTTCGGGACGACGGATACGACCAATTGCTCTTGCGAATGCATTGAGTGAATTCTTGTTGACCAATTTGAGCTCTTCTTCCAAATCTGAATCATTTAGAGCAGCAACTCTTCTAATCCAGGTTGTAAAGCTGTTCAGACATTTATAGTAAACAATGGAAATTACAATTGTAAACTAAAGATTTGCCTCAATGTTCAATCTTGTAAAATAAGTGAACAATTATAAGGTTGGATAAAGCTGCAAATACAAGGAAAAGCATTTATTGATTGATAGAGACTGAAGACCCAGCAGGTGTCGTACGAGGGCTGTTGATATGAGATTGCTTCACCACATAGTAGACAAGACGGTAGATTAGGTCAAATCCTTCCTTGACATAATTTTCAGGATTCAATTGATACTCTTTTGAAACAAACAATGATCCATTTTCATCAATGAAAACAAACTTCCAGATCGAGCCAGTTGAATGAATGCCATAGACTTGAAGATTCCTCATTTCAGCTTTCTTTCTGCGATAATGAATGGAAGCACATTCCCCAATGCATTGCAACAGAGTCTCATTGTTTGTCACTTTAGCTCCAATTGCGACCAAATGAGGAAGCTTTCTAAGGCCACGGTGGCAGATGGTGTAGTCACAGTTCCCATTTAAGCGTCTTTTCTTGACTTTATTCACCAAAGTCATATGATACTCGCAAATGATAATAAAATCTGGAAATTGGGCAACTACTTCCCGAAGAAAAAGATCAATCAAAGTTCTTCTGCTTGCTTCGGCGCCAAATTCAAAGACGGAGCAATTCTTCTTGAACAATTCAACAAACTCTGGAGAAGCTTCAACTGTGGTGTCAACTGGAATATTTTCCCAAACTTGATTTTCGTCTTCAACTCCAGTCGCTTCGCTAATAAATGGCATTGTAGCTTTTCCATAGGACATTGATACCATTTCCTTTTGAGCCTGTTCTACAACTGCAACAGTGATGAATAAAGGAGTCTTTGCTGTATTCTGAGCAGGAATAGGGTCGTCTGGTTGTAAAGGAGTACCACCATCAGTAGTGGAAAGGGAGAGTTGGTCAACGTCGTAGTCGCAAAGCTTGCTGGAGAGCTCCTTCTTGCAGGCTTTAAGAAGGTCGTCCACAATCTCGCAGTCTTCAGTAGATACCCTTGTAGCGTTGTTTGGCTTGAATTTGACCCAAAGTTTTGTCATTTTTAAAGCTTTTTTTTCCTCAAATAAACTGAAAAATGACAAAAATATACTTCAAAACACCAACACTTTGATACACTGCTCACTATTGACCAATTTGAAGGCAAGACTATTTCAGCTCTGAAATGTGCGATAAAAGAAGCAGTTATGCCTGCTTTGCAGACTCCTATTTGCAATTTAGATTTGAAAATAGGAAACTCGATTATTGAAATATTAAGAGCCTCTGATTTGAAGGATGTATTAGAAGAAGCTCAAGTTTCAATCACCAACACAATCATAGTGACTCCTTCAGTGCCTTACCTAGACCAATGCATTTTGTGTTTTTGCTTTTCATTTGGTTTAGGACTTGGTTATTCTGTCGCTATCTTTTTGGGACTGACTAATGAAGTGGAAGAATATCATCATCCATTTATTGCTGATGTCATATTCATCATTATTGATATGACTGGCTTAGGATGCTTTCTATACACTATTTGGCAGTTTATCTGGCAAGCAACAATGGAATTCACAATTTGCATCTGTTTTCTCTGGAGTTGTTTGTAGTCTTTTTGTAGAACCATCTTACCATTCCTGAAAAGGTAATAATAAACTTTTTTAAGAATCATCCAATAAACGTTAAACAATAACTGGCATTATCTGATCGTGGTTACTATTTAACTTTACTACCAGATCTTGGTATAACGGCAGGATCCATTTAAAGCATTAGTATGAGTCTCGCACAGATAGCTCCTAATAATTCCAACTTGAATGCGATCACCCTTAGGTTTCTGGCCTTAGTGCTTATCTCCGATCAATTGTTAGTTTTGACAATTTCAGAGCAAATTAAGCAGTAATTGTTGGTTAAGAAAATTGGTATCATTCGGTGCCCAATATATACTACTCACGTCAATAATGCTAATGCCAGCTTTATGAATATCAAAATGGATCGTTTTGAACAAGCTGGTCAACTTTTTTGTTGCTTCAGTCGCAGGCTTTACATCCAAACTATTGTAATGTTTCAACAACTCGGACGGGTTTTTACAATTGCATTGTAGCATGATCAGTGTTTCTTATATTAGTTTTTGATAAATCATTGTAAACCCATGTATTTGCAGGGATTGGTGAATGTTTAGTAGTTTAATCAAACCATATTTTTGATGGTTTAATTGTAGGATACTTTTTCCAGATGCGTGTGTATGTTTTGGGTTGTTGTATGAGCAAACATGTATTTTGAACATTCTGCATCAAATGGTTTCAAATACTTGTTCAAGAGTGTTGCAAGTGATGGGCAAACAATGATATTTTAAAATAAACTTGTCGTTTGAAACCATTGTACTTGATATTGCACTTGATAGTATGATTGGTTTATATATATTGTGATGGTTAAACTGACATTTACAAACAGATATCATATTGTAACACATTCTCATAACAATTTTTTGTTTTCTTATTGTTCTTTGATAACTCATACGATATCCTGCCTAAAACTGACTTGATCTGCTCACAACATTTGACATCCATTAAATGCGTATATTGTATTGGGGTTTTGTCGCACCCATCAGCATTAAATCTTTTAATTTTCCTGTTGCGATCTACACTACAATTTAACTGATTCTCAATCGTTTAAACCCATTGCCTTTTTCTTTTTGAATATACTTTTAGTTTTCTTACTATTTTGAATGGGAATGTGAGGCAAATATATGTTCATAACATTAGTATCATATGACAAAGAATTGAATCCATTAATTGAAAGCATGCAAGTTTTATGTTGCAATCATCACTCAGATCATCGATTCAAGTAAACATGGGCTGTAGAGTTGATGCATTTTTAATTTCCTTCATTTTTTAAAGTATGATTGTTAATGACTCTTATATTCGTTCCAACAAACATAAAGACAGGCTCCTTTTCTTACTTTCAATCAAGCCGATGCCCAAGAACTCGTGTGCTTCAGTGTATTGTAGCTTTCCTGTGGTGTTCTTGTATCCAATCAGGTTTCAAAGTCGTGGAATATAAAATAGGAATAGAATCTTGACTCGTTTGGTAATTTGACTACAGAAGTATCCGATTCTTCAAATATGCTTGGTTTTGGATTGTATTGCCATTTTCAAATGTTGTTTTAGCGTGCATTTTATTGCTGAATGTTTCTCAAGTTTCTTGTATTCTGTCAAAAACCATTGCAATTTATAGATTCAAGTACTTTTGCTATACTGGCTATGCTTTTAATGAATGAGAAATGATGCCTTGCAGTTTCAACTTTAATAAAAATATTTAAATTCAAGGTATGTTGATAATTTTGAAACAAATGTTTTTCCATCAAAGCTTCATCACCTCTAAATAATAAATGTTGATGTTTACTTGGAGATGAGCCTCAATATCATTTAGTTGTTTTATATCAACACTGTTATAATCTGAATTAAATGATTTGCAACAACTTGTAAATACCCTGTTGTTTTCCCATGTATTTGGTCTATTCTACATGATGAATTTAGAAGGCATGTCAAACAGTTCCAAAAACAAGTATTGTGTTCATTCTTATACAATGCCTTTACTATTAATGACAAAATCGGGAAGTTTAATGTTGCTTCCAATTGTCATTCCTGGTAATGCGGTAGTTGAAAGCACGTTTGTAAATTCTTCCAACAGTCCATTTTGAATTTGGTCTTTCAAGCTGTTTTATTAAACCACTTTTAATTCCTGAATAACATTCCAACAGAGCTGTTTATCAATAGAGTTTGTCCAAGTTTGTTAAGGATAAATGTATTGTCTGATGGATAAAGGATCATAAATACTCTTGTTTCAATGTTTTGAATGAAATCCTAATTGTAAATCAAGTCAATAACGCAGTTTTTGGATTTGATGATTTGTCCTTGCATTGTCGTGTAGATCTTGAATAAACAAATCTATGCTGTAAGTATTCAAAAGTTTTTGGTTTTGATTTAAAGGGATGCTTTTATACTTTTGTTTCGATTGTTTCTGTGGCTTTGTCGCATCTATTTGCAATTGAACGCACTGATTGTATTTGACTGTTTCTTCAAGACCAAAAAACAATCCCTTGATATATTTTCTAAATCTAAACTTGGGGTTTTATTCTTTTTAATCTAGTCTTGCTACCTGTGCTATCAAAGTCTGCATTCGTTTCTTTTTGTTGTTTTTATTCAGAATTAACTCGATTGATAATTCTTCACGGTTGTAAATGCAATGAACCTTGTATAAAGCAATGTATCTTTTGGGTTTTGATCATTTCAATTGGATTGACCATTCATTCTGAACGAGAATCTTTAATGTTTTGCAAGAAAATAACAATTTGTTTTTGAATCAATTATTAATTAGAAACTAATTATGCATGAACTATAATGCGGGTTAGTAGTATATATTGGGTACCGGATGATACCAGTTTTCTTGACCAATGACTAGCACTAAATATTGTACGAAGTTGTCAAAAATAGCAAGTTATCGGAGATGAGCAATCAAGGTCAAAAACAATGGGGTATTATAGTGAGTAGCTTATTAGTTTGAACTATCAGGAGTTTTCAATGCCAGACTCACACCGACGCTTTATATAATACATTTTTGATGAGTGTATATAGAGCTATCACGAGTACGGTAACAAAGAATACCAATAGTTTTCATTGAATTATCAACTTAATTTCAATTATTTCTTCATTACTTGTATTAAACAGTAAGAATGAGATTAACGTCACACTTTGACTTGATGATGAAAACACGCAATGTCCAATATGCTTTTCTACAGTAACCACACGATTAATCCAATGCTTCAACGCAACTCATTTTGTCTGTTTGACATGCTCCAAGAAATGTCAACGAAAAGGTTATTGTGCGCAGTTTAGAACCACACGATCGTTCCACAATAAGCTCCTTGAAAAAACCATTAAACAACAAATGAAAGCAATTACGAGGTCGATACAACACACTTGACCAACGATATCACACAAACTGACATAACGTATTAGCTTCCTGATCAAAGTCTTTAGCAGATATACAACTATTTCAATAAAACAAAATGAATCAAATATGTTGAAACCAACCATTCCCATTGAAGTTATTGACTTGCTGTTTTATCCAAGAACTAATTCCAAAGAAAGAGAGCAGGATGGAATGGATCGATTCTTCCAACAACTACTGGATACAACAGTGACATTGAAGATGAATAGTTTACATGATAATTTCTTTCACATCATCTGAATTAGAATCATCATCGCTCATAACAATTCTGTACAACTTTTCCTGTAATGATTGCTGTTTCTCGATGACTCTTGGCAGCATCTTTATGTTTGCAAAGATTCGATAACCCATCATTTCTAGATTAACCTTCGCATTGTCACAAGTTGGATAATGCTTTTTGAAAAAAACAACTAACCCATAATGTAGTGAATAAATGGTATCGTTTGTTTCATAGCAACTATCGCTTATCATTTCTTTAATCCTTTTATAGTGATTTATGTTGATGCCGCATAATAGACTGGCATTTTTCTTTCAAAGAGAATATTCTGCCTTTTAATAGTTTTGATGGATTAACCTCGATTGGGTTTTCTAGTCTAAACATGGAATCTGGAACATCATCTAACACAACCGCTTCTTCATTTCCAACGTAATTATACGCTACTTTCAACAACTTGATAGATATGATTATTTCTTGGGTCGAGATAAATGGTGTCCGTTAGTAAATTGTTGATGTACTTTGATCTCGGATTTGAGCAAGGTAAATTCAACATATTGTTTAAATCTAGTCTAGAAAATAAAAGATGCAATATTCAATCACAGCCACTATCATAGATAGTTGATAAGTTTAATCCAAGATAAAATTGAATATTTAATTTCTTTTCAAATGATAAACAAGTTCATCAGAAATGTCAAACATATTGGAAGAAACCCAAATTTATTTGAATGGAAATGTTGTGTTGACTAAAGGAAATGACAGCACAGTTGGTCTGTACAAGGTTCTTTTTGAAGTAAATGGTATCGAGAGATATCGATTTGCTATTAAATACAAGACGAAAGAGAAAACTAGTATAAACAATTGATTAGTTCAATTACAAATCTGGATGTCGGACGGGTTAGAAAGGTTAAACTAAGATTCAGAAAGCACATTCAAGGGATCTTCAGTGGAATGGACGATGCTAAAGCCTATCACCAACTTTTACAGTTACAAAACAAACAGAAAGAGAGCTGGACAAGAACAACGGTTGTTTTCACAATATCATATCAAGAAATATTCGTTCTGACCAAAATCAAAACCAATTCATTGGTCAAAACACTTGTTTACAAATTTAGATGAATTGAAGTTTACCATCAAAGAGAATCACAAAAAGCAAGCATTAAGATATTGGTTCAATATTCAATTCGGATATGTGCTGAGGAACATTGAAACTGATGATAGAGTTCAGTTTTATCCCTCTGATAATACCTGCTTTAATATCAATGATTCACCACTAGTTAATTCCACTATTGATACGGTACTAAACCAATTGGATGGTGATGATATACTGGAAAAATTGAAGTGTTCAAACTCCAAATGGAGTATTGAAAATATCTACGAGTATGTACTTTTAACAACACCCATTCCAGAGGTATCAATAGGCGCATCTGTAATTCTACCTGATTTCATCAAGAATAGCAAAAGTATTGTTTCATTCCAGTATGTCACAAATAACCTTTGTTTTTGGTAGTTTTGCTCGTTATAAGTATCCAGAAATCAGATTAGACAGATTATCAAAGAAAGCAAAAGATCTTTACAAGGATTATTACAAAACCAACGTAAAGAAGTGTTATCCCAAACTTGATATTCAAGAATTGAAAGAGATTGAAAGCCATTTCTTTGTAAATGTCAACATATACCGATTCAATGGAAAGAAAGCGGTTATGGAACGACATTCAGGTAAAGAATACAGGAGGTTATTAATTTGAATATATACTCTGATATAAGCCATAAATTCCATCATTTCTCCTCCATTATTAACTTGTCTCAGTTAACCAGTGTTTCAATGTTCAGATGCCATTCATCCTTTAGTGAATTCAAAAAGATAAAACGACACTCAATTGTTTGTGCAAAACCAAAGATAATATTTGAAAATGGAAATTATCAACCAAAGTTGAATGTATTTGAGCATCTTGAATTGAATGGAATTAATATACCGAAAGAAATGAGATTTTATCCATATTTCATCTACTTTGATTTTGAAACTTGGTTGAAATCAGTCAAATCTACGACCAACTTGAAGCTCATTCATTGAAACACACAAACTTTTGAGCACAAGTTTCATTGGAAGTGAAGAAAACAAGGCTCAATTCATCCCAGTTGAAGGTACAACTAAAGAAGTTTTGGATATAGTGATGACAAATGGATCAAATACGACACAAATATCTGCAATTGTTGTATTCAAAGTATTCTCGGTTCTTTGGAATAATGGCCAATTTGGACGATGCAAAGGTTCAGAAACGATTAAGATTACAATTACTTGAATGGCTTGGTGTTCTGGCTATTTATGGCTTCAATAGCTCATCATATGACATTAACATCATCAAGAAATACCCTCCACAAGTCTTGAAACACTCTAAAAAACATGGAAATGTATCCAAATGCGAAAAGCCTTGGATTAATTCAATTGAAGGAGAACTAGGTCGTAATATTGAACAAAGCGAAAAGATTGAACGATACAATGTTGATGGCTACGATGAAGAATCAAACACAATCTATGACTTTTTGGGATGCTTTTTCCACTGATGTAGAAAGTGTCACAAATTACAAGATATCAATCCTTTAATTGGAGATACGATGAACATATTGTATGAAAAGATAGCAAACAAGGAAACAGCTCTCAAACAAATGGGATATACCACAAGATCAATTTGGGGTTGTGAGTTTCATTCACCTGAAAACGGTCAAGTGAATGACATTATTAAATGTAACAAATACCGAATGATATCAAATGGATCGTTTGCTTTTAACGACATTCTTGCTTTTCAACCACCAAATACTTTATTTGACAAGTTCTTGAAAACGTTTGACACAATCACAAATGGGAATATTTCCACATAAAGTAACTCGGAATTTATCGAAATACATTGATGAACATCCAAAGTTGACACAATATTCTGATATCATTCAAGTTCTTAGAAATTCACATATTCCATCCAAAAAGTGGTTTTACAACAATCTAAAGGGAGAATCAGTTTTATCAAACGATTATAATGAAATGGTATTCACTCACACCAACATGTATGATTTGCTGAACGACTACAACAATTTGGATGCGAAGCCAGGCGTAGAAGCGACAAAGAAGCTGGGTAATTTCTTTCAGTCGTTGAATCTTGATATCCACAAAAACGGCATCTTTGTTCCTAGACTCACTCTGAAATATCTCTGGCACACAAAAAGCAAAGACTGCGAGTTTCAGTTATTCAAAGGGAATGAAGAATTGTACCACAAATACAGAGATAATCTGGTTGGTGGACCAAGTATCGTATTTCATCATTATCAAGAAAAAGACGACTAGAATTAGAAAAGGAAAGCCTTGTCAGGGAATACTTGGATATGATACCAATGCTTTATATCTGTGGGCGATAAGTCAAGATATGCCGTGTGGTGAGCACCAAGTAGTTCAAGTTTATCCCGATAATCTGAAAGATGTCTTGGATAACACGTTCTTTGGAATGATAGAATGTGATATTGCTGTTCCTGAGCATTTAAAGGAATGCTTTGCTGGAATGCCTCCTATTTTCAAGAATGTTGAGATTACATGCAATGATTTAAGCTTTGACACACAGGCACAAGTGAAACCAGATTACAAAAGTAACAGATTAGTTGAAAGTATGTTTGGTGAGACAATGATGTTTGCTACTAAACTGCTGAAATGGTATCTTGGACTAATTGAAAGTGCACTTGTACCTGTCGCAATGTCAACCTTTGGAACTGTCGTTGCTGGAGTCGGTGCACTTCACGCACCAATGGTTGCAGGAGGTTGTGCTGCTATTGACTCTGTTTCTGATCAACAGAAAGCTAAATCATAAAATAATCATTTTGAAAAGTATTCATTGAATAATACTTTTGATGACTGCAAGAATGGCTGTTCTTAGCCCTCCTTGAGCAATTCCATACTTTTCTAATTCAGCATCAGTTATGGCCAAGTCACCAGTCTCCATCAAATCTTCAAAAAGAATTCCTTGTTCGGTAAAGGTTTCTCTGAGCTTGATGATATCAGATTCGGGTCTTTTTCGTTGTCTTCATCTTGTCAAAGAAATGCTCTATATTCAGGTTGTGATCTACAGCTTGTTTCTTGGGAAGCTCTTCGTTGACGGTTAGGGCATAGTACAAGAATCCATCACGCAAGTTTTTGACATCGGTAACAACTATAAAGTCATTATCTGCAAATCGGTACAACATTTTGAAAGGCACAGGCTGAGAAAAAAATGAATCAGCTGTTGATATGACTTCAGAAAGAGATTGCATAGAGGAAACTTCCAGGTCAAATGCTCTTCCTTTGTATTTGATTGAAATGTGCTTTTCTTTGACAGCTGGAATCCATCCCTCTGCAACACCAAAACCTGTAGTATTTATCATACTAGCGAATGTTTCTCTGGCGACTTTTTTCAAGTTTTCAGTTGCAGCAGAACCACCAAAGGAGATCTCTTCAAAATGCTTCTCTAAAAATTCTTCAGATGATGGGTCTCGTTTCAGTTTTTCTGGAGTGTCTTCAATGGTGACTGAAGAAAGTCTATTTTCTTTTTCAACAATACTCTTTTTGCCCCATACAATGGCAGCATCATAACCGATGAGTAAAAGATCCTTAAGGTATTCCATAGAAGGGGACACTGTTTCCGAATGTCCCTGTATTGTTACTGCTGTGATTCCAGAGTCTGTATCTCGGATTTTAGCAAGCATATTTACTTCAGAAAAGTATTCGGCAAGCAGTGTTTTGAGCCCTGCACAGTCTGAATTGATCGTTGCTTCTACAGACACCATTGGGGTATCAAGCGAGAGAGCATTGTAGAATTATGTGTATTTTGGCCTGACATTTTGATATTTGTTTGGGAAAGTTCATCAAACTGAAAATGGATGCCATCTGTAAAGAATTCTGGCCACTACAGCATTAAAATAAACTTATATCCTGGTTAAAATATTGAAAAGAGTTTGGCACAAAAGTCTCGATTATCTCGGGCTATATTTTGGTACAGGAAATATCAACTTTTACAATTCATCAAACAACTATGGGTCCCACTCTTGATAGTTCCATATACATTCATCAAAGATGTTTTACATAAAGCGTTGGTATGAGTATGGCAGTGAAAGTTCCTGATAATTCAAACTTATAATGTATCCAGTGCTCTATACCATTGTTTTTGACCTTGATTGCCTATCTCCGATAAATTGTTATATTTGACAACTTGCAAGCAAATTGAGCAGTAAATACTGGTCAAAAAACCGACTTATCTTTGAATCCAGCACATAAATCATCCAATAATTTCGGGCAATTAAATTCTGACTAGATTCTAAAAGCATGCCGGAAAAGATTGCAAGTTGGAATCAAAAGGACAAGATGATGACGACAAAGAAATGACAGGATAAAGCAGACTGGTAAAGGATGTGATTACCCACATGCCAAGTATAAAAAGGATAGCATAGTTTAATCAAAGAGTCTCGCCTAAAAAGCTGATATCGTTCTGTTCTCTATATATACTCATGGAGTCATAGCAATGACTTGGCTGATTCTTATTGAATCTTACAAATGTATGACTCTCATTTCTAGGATTTACGCATGAAAATTCTTTGTGTAGCGTCAAATACAACTCGACATTATAGATCTCTATTACAGGATGGCCACTTTGAAGCGTCGGGCGAAGCCATCTCAGACAAATTCCACCAAGCAAGTATGGACTCAAGATGACAGTGATAGTTCATCCAGTAGTGAATCAAAATCGGGGTGGCATTTCTCAGCAGATGTGCTACAAGGGCATAGTACCAGCAAGAATTATGCCGCACTTGGGTTGAAACCAGACCATCTCTTGCGTCCATTATGGGTTTGCAACACTGGCCGTATTATTCTCGAGGCCTTTTCAGTCCTTACTTTCCAAGCGCAGGACTTTCTTACAGCGATCGCAGAACCTGTTTCTAGACCTGAGCATATTCATGAGTACCGATTGACCGAATACTCTTTATATGCAGCCATTTCTGTCGGACTAAGACCAAAAAGCATCATAGATGTTCTTGAGCTACTTAGCAAGTCACATCTTCCGGAGGAAGTAAAGGAGTTTATTCATAAACACTCGTGCTCATACGGCAAGGTCAAGGTTATTCTTCGAAATGGCCGTTTCTGGCTTGAAACAACAGATGATACTGTGCTAGCCAAGCTTCTGAACGATCCAATTATTAGTAACTCCTTGGTGATGGAGTCCAAAGGTAAAGAGTTCAGTTATCTGCTTGGATACTCCGCCGTGCAGTTGTTTTAATAATCTCTTGATACTAATTTATTTCAACAGACACATCTATACATATAGATGCTGCACTGCATGAAGATGAAGCAGCGTCAGACAACCGTTCTATTGATACATTTTTGGAAGAGGAATCAATGCCAGCCTCTACTACTTTAGAGCCAGGCTTGGATCTATTTGATTTGTTCAATGAAGATGCTTCCAAGCCAACACATATACCAGCATCCGGCGTTTCACAGATCTATAATACATCTGCAGTTGTTCCATTAAAAACTAATGTAGCCGGTTCTATAGCTGAGCGATTTGAACAGCTTTTGGGTGAGAGCTCGGCAGGAGAGGCCACTTTACAGATGACAAAGTCATTTGAAATCCACATGCAAGCTACTGAATCAGTGAAACGCCGTTGTGTCGATTTACTTCTCCCTGTATTGGAAGAGTATGATTTTTGTGCTGATTCTAGAAACCCAAATCTAGAAATGACTCTCAAGCCTTTTGCAAAACTCCGCCCTTATCAGGCTAATGGACTAAGTAAGGTATTTGGCAATGGGCGTGTTCGTAGCGGTGTAGTTGTATTGCCATGTGGCTCCGGAAAGACACTTGTTGGAGTAGCTGCGGCATGTACTGTTAAAAAAAACTGCCTTGTTTTATGCACATCTAGGTATTATCGTTTTGTTTGTAAAATACCGAGTTTGGGCGGGTTTAAACAGCTGCTGATTCTCAATATTTGTCTGATATTGATCAACCAGCGTGAGCGCTGAACAATGGCGTCGAGAATTTTGCCATTGGTCCACTATTAAAGAAGGCCATGTTGCCAAGTTTACATCGGGCTCAAAGGAAAAGGTACATTTAGGTTTTTGCGGTTGTCTGAACTTTTCACATCAACTACCTCTTCTGATCAATCTCTTATCAGTTTGTTGGCCCGGCAGGGGTAATGATTAGTACATACACCATGATCACATATTCGGGAAAACGTGCATACGATGCACAGAAATTGATGGAATTTATACAATCCCGCGAATGGGGTTTGCTGATTCTTGACGAAGTTCATGTGGTTCCTGCAGAGATGTTTCGTAAAGTATTTACTATTATTGGCACTCATTCAAAATTGGGGCTGACTGCAACGTTGGTCCGCGAAGATAACAAAATTGATAATCTCAACTATTTGATTGGGCCAAAGCTTTACGAGGCAAACTGGATGGAGTTGGCGCGAGGTGGACATATTGCCCGTGTACAGTGTGCACAAGTTTGGTGCGATATGACACCCGAGTTTTTTCGAGAATTTCTTCGGGAAAAGTCAAGGTAGGAGTAAAGCATTTGAGCGGATTGTTTGTACCAGCTATACCATATCTGCGCAACTGCCTTTTAAAACGGTTTCCATTAGAAAACGACAGTTGCTATATACAATGAATCCGCGCAAAGTGCAGGCGTGTCAGTATTTGGTGAATTTCCATGAAGCCATGGGAGATAAGATTATTGTATTTTCAGATAATGTGTTTGCCCTAAAGGTAAGAGTAGCTTAGACTAAATATTTCATAGTATTGCTATTTCTGTGTATCTAAAGGTTTAGAATGCAACCATTACTGTAGCACTATGCCACAAAACTTCACCGACCTTTTATTTACGGTGGAACTTCTCAGAGTGAAAGGTTTCGTGTACTACAGCAATTTCGCTTTAACCCAGCACTAAATACTATTTTTTTGAGTAAAGTCGGAGATACATCAATTGATCTGCCAGAGGCTTCTTGTCTGATTCAAATAAGTTCTCATTATGGAAGCAGACGTCAAGAGGCGCAGAGACTGGGTATGCTGATTGTAACCAAATATAAGGTGTTAATGAGTGGGTCGTTTATAGTCTGAGCCATGATCACTTGTGATGGGCTGATGCTTTATTTTGGTCTAGGGAGAATCTTGCGTGCAAAACGAGGCACGGACACAGGCTACAATGCATATTTTTACACTCTTGTATCAAAAGATACAGAGGAAATGTACTATGCTACAAAACGACAGCAGTTTCTCATTGATCAGGGATATAGTTTTCGAGTATGTGTTTGCTATTCAAGCATATGTGAATTGCCTGAATATCTTGCTAATGCGATATTGATTCCAAACGTTTTTTCCAGATTATCACGCATATTGAAGGTATGGACGATTCTGCAGGTCTTGCATACAGCTCTTTGAAAGATCAGCTCGAGCTTCTTAATACGGTACTCATTTCAACAGAGGCAGACTATGAGCGTGATGTTCATCAGGATGAGCTAGACGATGCATTACAGACATATGAAAGTGAGGAGGAGGCTGAAATTGAGGGAGTTCAATGGATGATGAGAAGTTCTGGAACCATGAAGTCGTTATCAGGAGCAGATTCTATGGCATATCTAGAGTTTAACAGAGGAACGCCCAGCATACTACGTGGAAAGCGTCGACGATTTCGCGAGTAACTTTGCTGTTTAATTATGAACATAGGGCTACTGCAGTATGATGGTATTGATCTTGATTGGTTTCTCTACTATTTGGTACAAATCCATTGTATATATATGGATTTACCAATATTGGCGTTTTCCATTTATTTTCTAGTATTCGTGTTTTATCAAAGCTAGTATTTAGAATTTTCTGCATAAAGCCACAGTTTGCTAGCTTATGGGCTTTAACTACTAATAAAACTGGATAGGCTTGTAATGGGTTGTTAATGTTTTTGCTAAAGTGAAGAACTGTGTTACAGATTACATGCATTGATGGTGTCCAACCAATTGATATTGCACTGCAAAAAAACAGTTTTTTGTCATAATATAGTTGAAGCATTGTTTAATGTTGGATAGGATAGTGTTGAGATCTTGAATGCACATTTTGAGCATTCCATTCGAGATTTTCCGTTCAGCCAGCAACTCATTACATCTAAACCAACCAGATTTTGCTTTAGATTGATCATTTCCAGCCTTCTGCATTAAATATGAATCCATCAGGTTTCTACAACTGTTATTTTCACCACAGAAATTAGTCATACTTGTGATTCAAAGCAGCTCGTCAACATGGTTGTGCTATATTCGTTAATCTACAACCAAACCGTATTATATGCTGGCAAGTACTGTCAATTCATCTAGGATTATAACTAGAAATGACAGTACCAAACAAGTGCATGTGTGATCAATAGAATATACTTTTGTCTTTCAAAATCATTCTTTTCTTGTTTTTTGATTTCCATCTTTAGCCGTATATTTTGCGAGCATCTTCTTGCCGTTTGTCAAGAGTTGCATTACAGGTTGTACATGATGGCAGAGAAGTTAGAGCCGCAGGTATTTCAGTGTTGATTGATTAAACATTTATACTTCTTTTTATTACCACTATGGCTGGTGTTGTTTGAGAGCAAGTGCTAGGTGCTTATGATTGAAGCCATCACTAGAGTTCATCTTAGATCCAGCACATTTTTACCCATGTTGCTACATGCGCTAGTTATTCTACCAACATAGGCATATAATGACCAAGAATATACTAGTCGATATGTTTAGTCAACAGTGCTGAAAGTAATAGTCTCGAGATCATTCAATTGAGCTGAAACTAATATCTAGAGTTGTTTGGAGGTGATTTAGTTGCAGAGCATTCCTTTCAATACTAGTGGAGATGAATCGGACATGCCCAAGCCGATTGATCCTGTTAATGCAACTTTGGCAAAGGCAAACTCTAGCATGCCTGATTTCACAGTAGAAGCTGCTATTGGTGGTCTAAAAGAAGAGGAACCTCCACTAGCATCATCCATCTTAACAGAGAAGCGCAAACGATGTGTCCAAGAAAGTCCTATACAGGTTGGCTAATACAATAGAGATTTATCTTTGTAATATTAATTCGACTGAGCTTTCATTATTAACAAATCATTACAATGCTTATGGTGTCTAATGTGTAGAAAAAAGTTGCACTGGAGGCCGAAACTGGCCAAGCAGAGGCTAAATCTAAAGCAGTCGAGGTCTCGCATGATAACACCAAGCCAACATTTGATTCTGAAAACACAAAATCACCTATGATCAAGCCATCCGCCCCATCATCACCCACAGGAATAGTGGCAGAAACTGCAGTAAAATTAGAACAGCAAACAATAGGAAGTCCTAAACTGATTTCAACTCCTCCAACTTCTCGTGGTATTCAGCAATCTTCACTGGGACTTTTTTCTGGCCAGTCAGATAAACAAGCTAGTCAGATTTCTCATGTAGGTAGTATGACAGTCGCTGATAAATTTATGTTGGGGTTTTGTTTCTGATCAAAAATATGATTGCTCATTTACCACATGAATGCCGTTTTATTTTGTACTTGATGTAGATGTCAACATTGCCTGCTATTTCTTCCACTACTGGACAGTCCTCCTTTGGATCGTTTGCAACTCATAAATCGGATGGTTTAACTTTTGGATCTGCGTCTTCTCAGTCAGTTTCATTTGCGTCTATTCTGGCTAGCACTCCAGCATTAGAGCAATCATCAAAGTTGAGTACTGATAGCTTTGCATGCAAGGATAAAAGTGGTTTAAATAGCGACAGTACCGATCAAGAAATATCATCAGATCGTCCTATCACTGCGTTTTCGGAACCGATGACAGGTACACTATTTAGGTGCATAATATTTCATGTGAATTTGGCGATGAATTTACTGATCAATCCTGTTTACGCTTATTGCCGAGTAGTTGTTACTGGTGAAGAGGACGAGACTACTATTCATTCTGTAGGTTATTGCTTCACATCAGTGTTTTTTTCAAATGCAGATCTAAACCAATTGAGTTGTAATTTTAGACTCGGTGCAAGTTGTATGCATGGGATGGTGAAAACTGGCGTGAGCGAGGCACTGGCCAAATCAAAATCAATGAGGGTGTAGTAACTGGAGACACGACTGTACAAAGAAGGCTCGGTTAGTCTACTGGAATGTACGATGATGCTTCTCGATCTTGCTATTGATACTTATGCAAACTTTTTTACAATCTATTGTTTATAATTGAATAGTGATGAGAGCAGATGGGGTATATCGCGTTATTCTGAATGTCCGGATCTTGCCCAGTATGCCGTTCCACCTTCGAGACGACAAGTATGTAGAGGCTGTTGCTTGTGAGAAACCTCCGTCTCTTACAAAGTTTCTTTTCAAGGTATATCTTGCCATATTCATCGTGTATTGTCGAGTGGATTGTCAAGCTAATTTCTCAAGTTTTCCTATTTAAAAATAAGTTTGCGAGTAACGAAGTGGCATCATCCTTTTTGTCATCGTTAGAGCAATCGACCTGCTCTCTCGAATAGCAACTTTTGGACAAGATAACACCATTGGAAGGTGGCCAGTATGCCGACTCTACGAAGAAACATTATTAAAGCCATTGGTCTTATGCCTGTTCTTTTTCTGCTTTTTCTTATTGGTACAATCTGTGGAGTTGGCTGTTTCTTACCACTGCTGGGCTGATATATTACAGTCTGAGCACTTTTATAAATGTACATTTTGGTTAACCCATCGTTTACAACTAGCCTGGTCTTGGTATGCATTTGTAGTGCGTCTAAGCTGTAAGCTACCATTGAAGGATTGCATTCTTGTTGCAGCTGTAGTTGATCCTTTTCTAATGCAGTGCTGTTTTGGTCAATTGTTAGTCACTAGCCTTACGGCTTCAATAGCAGGTATAATTGTCTGGACTAGTGAGTTGACTATCAATATAATACAGAAACATCTTACCAGCCAGAAATGGTGCATCTTAGTATTGCTACTTTTCTACCATATTCAGCTAGCGCTGTTTATGTCGTCGTTTTATCTATCAGTAGTCACTTGCCCTGGCTCACCTTCCAAGGTAATAGTCTACTGAGTGATGTCTATTTTTCAAGTGTCTAGTTTGACTCATATTTGCTATAGACTCGAACTTGGACACAACCCCATGGCTTGGACAGTGTCATGCCTCCGTTGATGCCCATCTATAGTAAGCGACTTGTAGCCAAAGTTCACTCAACTCCCATCAACATAGTAATGATGATCCCTATTTAGCTAGTTTAGATTCATCGAATTGCCCTGGATCTGCTGCAGAAGATCTTGAGCTTGGGCAGATTTCCACCACAGAATATACTGCAATTGAGGTCAAGAAGAATGGCCAACGGCGATTCTGCTCAAAATGCAATCTTTTAAAACCAGACCGCTGCCATCACTGTTCTGCCTGTGAGAGGTGAGCCTTGCTATCTACCAGCTTTTACACTCGAGTAATTGATCTGCTGACATTCTTGTGTTTGGGTTCTTGGTCTGCTCATGTTGAATTTACAGATGTATCCTCAAAATGGATCATCACTGTCCTTGGGTGAATAACTGCATTGGGTTCTTCAACTATAAATACTTTTGCTTGTTTATACTGCATGGTTTCCTCTATTGCCTGTTTATATTTTTAGCATCCATGTCCATGATCTGGCCTCCGTTTGCTGTCCAGTCCAGAATGGTATGCATGCCGTCGTACTGGCATCTAATTGTCCATTACAAGGAGGATGTAACTCATTGCGTCTTTGATACTTTGTTTTATAGGAGTTGTTCTTGGATGTACATGTCTTGCTGGTGGTGTTTGCGGCAGGACTTTTTGCAATATGCTTGCTCATTTTTATGGTTGTACATGGATATTATCTTGCGTGCAATCGCACCACAATAGAGATGCTGGAAAGCAATAGAGCCGTCCGGCTTGGCGATGAAATCATTCAGATTCCACACAATGTAAATATCTACTCATTAGGGGCAAGTTTGAATTTTAAACAGGTATTTGGCAATCAACCCTGGAAATGGTTACTACCCTTTCCATCATCGTAAGTGTATTCATTTGCGTGCCACATTAGATTATTTAACTGTATTCATGTAAAATGCAACATTTTTGTATTTATCCTACAGTCTCTATCTTGCTTTGGAATAGACAATGGTTAAATATCTGTTGCATTTCCTACTAGAAATTGATTTTGGTTGACATTCTCAGTTCCTTTTCCAAGCACAACGTCCATATGATGTACAAATCAAACTGGTCTGGAGCGCGTTCGTCTTCACTTTTGGTAAATCGTACATTGTACGATCACCAGATTCATCCGTTGCAATCCAAATATTGGATTCAATTTCCATCAATACAACTTGGTACAAATCCCATTTTGTTGTATTCTAAAATACCGCAGATATTTGCGCACTAGTTTAAGAAACCAAAAACTGCACATGCCAGGAATGCAACAACTGTTTTCATGCCAACCACTTAATATTGCGATGTTTGGTTTGGGAAGTTGGAGATTGAACAATTGTCAAGGATGTGGAATGTGCTGGAATTGTGATGTGAACATTTGGTATTTTTATACAAAAATGAGCAATGTTCAGTCAACTTTGATAGGTTCAGAGGACGCAGTGTTGACCTATGAATTTAGTGGGAGCTAATGTCAATTATTCCATGAGACTGGCAGTTTATTATACATTGACATCACTACTTGGTGTTTCATTTTACGTGAATACGTCTGTAACTGGATTTAACAATATCATGATTTTTAGGATTGGTGATGGATACACATTTCCTATTAGCCAAGTTCGACTTTCGCGATTGAAATAAACATGAACTATGGTTGTGTTTTCAAAAATGATTAAATCTGTTTATCCTGCCATAGTATAAAATCTGAGACTTTGTGCAATCTTTTATTTCTAAACTATAAATTGATGCAGCTACAAAACCTATGCGGCTGAATGATTTTTATTTAAACCCATACATTGTAACACTACTAACCTTTCTAGAGTTTTCAATCGTAGAAAGTAAAAAAGCATGTTTCAATATTTTTTGATTTGGCACCATAGTGAGCCTGCAGTCTGTCTCAGATAGCTCTAGACCAGAGTCAAGGAGAATCACGTGCCAATATAACCAGACTTTTTTGCTTTTGCGACTTTACCTAAAAGACTGAAAGTCATGGTTGAGCTTACTTCGCAGCGAGTCCGTAAGTGTTATTTAGAGGGCTGTCTTGCCTAGCTAGTACAGATGAGTTCTAGCTCTGGATTTTTGCTTATTTATGAGTTTACCATTCGAATTTATATTGCCTTTTGATTGAATGCATGCTTAATACCTATTTCAACCGGTCTTGATTAGTCAAAGGACCTTCCAAGTCATTTGCTCCCAAGATGAAACCTAGAATACCTGGGCGTCGCTCAGAGACTACTAATTCCACAGCTTCAACACACTCATCCCAGTCTCAATCAAATCCTGCTAAAACAGTTACATTTCTGGAGCCATCTTCACTTGTTTCTAGTCACCAAAAACCATCACCTCAAGCCTCTGATACTATTTATAGCTCCATTCAAACCACAATTTCTTCAAAACTCAATGTCCAAAGCTCTGATGGTTTAGTCACATTATCATCTCCAATTAGATCTTCTTCTAAGCAACCTTCTCCGATTGAAGCTCCTTCAAACTCGACCACTGCCAGCCAGCCAGCAGATCTTGATGTCGGCTTAATCAACCCCATGCCTGAATATATGACTTCACAATCCCAGCCAGCTGACAGCATACATTCCCCTAAAGAAACTGATATAACCATACCTAGCACATTTAAACCAATCAAGATAGTTGGAGCTAGACCTACAGGCCGACCATCAATTCGAGCTTCTCGACCTTTAGAACGACACAACACCGATATCAATCGGAAAACACCTCTGGTATCTCAAGTACCTGAATCTTGTTCAATATTACAATTGCCTCATCGAGATTGTGAAAATATACAAGGTACATACTTATTCGTGTCTGGGTGAATGGGGAAGAGTTACTTTGCTGAACTAACAGTGCTGTTGATAGTAGAGCCCTCTTGTTCAAATGTAATGGTAATTTGGTTTTTTTTGAATCCTATCATTAGATATTTATTTAATTGGGGTTTCACTTTGTATAGTCACAGTTGATTGAAGATGGATTACATAAACAAGTCGGATCAAAATCTACAGTAGTAGGGAACAGCACAGTAGGCTTTACACAAGATTTTTTGGTACAAACCGTCACACATGAATATGACAATTCAACGAGCTCTAGTGCTCCAGTTCCCACATTGGCAGCATCGCATATACAACAACCTGTTGCGTCACAGGATGAACCGTTTTTGGTATGCAAGATAACCACTACACATTCAATACAATCTATTTTGCATTGATTTGAAAAGTTATTTATTAACACATTTTGCTCAATCAGGCACGTTCAACGAGAGTGGTTACTTCTCGAGCAAAGGTTTTTGTTGGGTCAAGTCGACAGTCAACCAGTTCAACCGCCGGGCCAAATACACACTCTTTAACTTTAAAATCTTCACCAATGACCCCATTGTCTAATACTCCCGTTTTAGCCTCTGATATTGGCCTTCTTACTATGAAACAACTTGCAGTGAATCGATTGATGATTGGTGAAATCTCGAAATATGAAAAGGCCCGCCAATTAAAAGTTAAAGAATATAAAAAGAGAAAACGAAGTGTAGACATTGGCTCCAATGTAGATCTTTCGACTCTACCGCTGAATCCGTTAAAGTCGAGTAGCTCAGATGGCTTGTCCTCTGAAACAAACTCGCTACTGCCCTCAAAGTGGGTGATTTTTGTTGCAGTTCAACACCGGCCGTATTTTATTGTTGAATGTATGCTATATTAACTAACCGTTGTTGAATTTTAGTGGACCCCGTTTGCGAATTATAGACGGTCAGATTCGTATTGACGAGACTTCCTTGGTGCTGACTCAGAGCGGACAGGAGCCTTTGGAGGAGCTGCAGCGCGTAGAAGAGGGTCCGCAACGATACGTTACTAGTGCTTCCTTTCGTACGCGAAAGATGCCTCGGAAAGTGTTATGGAGTAAAGCCATGACTGAGCGATTTTTTGATGTAGGTTTTGAGGCACTGCTTTGTTTGAGACTTTTTTAAACAAGCATGTGTTGACAATCATTTAATTTTATACAGGGCCTTTCATATTTTGGAACGGACTTCAATACCATTGCGTTAATGTTTCCAGGGATGTCGCGAAACCATATTAAACTCAAATTTGTATCTGAAGAGGTAGCAAACCCCAAACGAGTGACTTTTGCCATTCTTAACAAACGCGTTCCAGGAGATGATATTCGGAGTCGCATGATGGGCATGATTGCAAAAAAAAAGGCACTCAACACCGAGTTGTATTTGGGACATTTGAAACAGGATGATACTGTGGACGTAAAACCCAATATATCCGCCATTCCCTCCCAGACCTCTGATCAAAATAATCAAAATAGTAAGCAGGATACTGTTGAAAGTGAACCTTTAGACCATGCGCGTACCCAGATTCATCAGGATGCTTTTAAAACTGTCAGTCCTGGATTGGTATCCAATAAAATCAAAGACAGCAGTGTTTATGCGCTACCTGCCTCTCTTGCCAATGCAGAGCTTCTTCGGATAAGTTCGCGTCCCATGCTAGGATCTGTGAAGCCTAGAATTGGTCCAAATCCACGAGTACGCCGCCCAGTTCAGACACAATCCCATAAAATTCCTCCTAATGAATCAGAGACTGCTATATCTTTGAGCACTACATCACAGGCACCGCTTACTGATGATGCAGCGATTCTTATCAAGTCTGCCCAAGCGGCCAGCGCTCCTGCAACAATGGTTGTGCCAACTAAAGATGGAAAGACTATCCGGCCGAGTATCACACTGCCCCATCGTAAACCAAGTAGTAATCTCAAAAACAATGCATAGTTGACTCACATTCAGCAAGCTTAAAATTTTATACATCCATACAACTTTGCATCACAAATAACATATTTTACAGCTATATTCATGTAAAATGCAACATTTTTGTATTTATCCTACAGTCTCTATCTTGCTTTGGAATAGACAATGGTTAAATATCTGTTGCATTTCCTACTAGAAATTGATTTTGGTTGACATTCTCAGTTTCTTTTCCAAGCACAACGTCCATATGATGTACAAATCAAACTGGTCTGGAGCGCGTTCGTCTTCACTTTTGGTAAATCGTACATTGTACGATCACCAGATTCATCCGTTGCAATCCAAATATTGGATTCAATTTCCATCAATACAACTTGGTACAAATCCCATTTTGTTGTATTCTAAAATACCGTAGATATTTGCGCACCAGTTTAAGAAACCAAAAACTGCACATGCCAGGAATGCAACAACTGTTTTCATGCCAACCACTTAATATTGCGATGTTTGGTTTGGAAAGTTGGAGATTGAACAAGTGTCAAGGATGTGGAATGTGCTGGAATTGTGATGTGAACATTTGGTATTTTTATACAAAAATGAGCAATGTTCAGTCAACTTTGATAGGTTCAGAGGACGCAGTGTTGACCTATGAATTTAGTGGGAGCTAATGTCAATTATTCCATGAGACTGGCAGTTTATTATACATTGACATCACTACTTGGTGTTTCATTTTACGTGAATACACCTGTAAATGTAACCATATTCCATACATTAGCATGCATTTATTCTGTAATCTATTAAAAATTATTTGACAGCAAAGCTCCTTGCATTTAAGATTCCATAGCAGTTGCACCATTTGTTGGTATCGCTGGATTATTGTTAAATGATAGATGTTCTTCGGAAGTATGGTATCCACTTGATCCATATACGGCCTGACTCAACGCATCATCATGCAGTGCCAGCGTTGTTGCAGTTGCATCTGGACCAGTATTGTCCGACTGCCAGAGAGTATCTGTTTTAAATAAACATGCTAGTTTGGTTTTTAGATGTGCAATTTATTCAAAAACACATATAAAGTTAGTCATCAGTTTTATACCTTTAGATTGTTGTTGCTCAAATTCGTTTTGACTGTCCAAGGTGATAATTAGTTTTGACGCGGCTCCAATGCTACTTTCAAAGTCGGGAAAATCAATTTCATTATGTGCAGATGAGCTACCAACGGTATTACTATTTTGCATTGGGCTTGAAGGGCTTTGATTAGTCACAGCCAATTGGTTACTGTCGGGTGATGCTAAAACTACACATTTTTCTGCTTGCATCTTTATATTTGATGTTGAGCTGTTGGCATCATTTGAACTGTTTATGGCACCTTTTATGGTCACATCATTTGTTGAGGCCGATAAATGCGGTGTTTGAATGCGAAGATTATTGGCTGATGTATGACGCAATAATTTTCCAATGTGTGTTCCTGCTTGTGAGATTCCGTGATTGGTATAGGATGCTAAAGTAGAAGGAGATCCACAGGCAGCCGATGAACCGCTGTCATGATCTTTGGATTTAAATTTTTCGTGAGAAGGTCCCGCAAAAGATCCATTTCGTGATGACCTACGACTGACACTTCCATAAAACTCTTCAATTATGTCATCAAATAGTGTGCGATAGGTTCGTTGATGTGGCTTAGCAAACTTTGGTGCCTTGTAAGCAGAGTTTTCTCCATTAATAACTAGGAACGAGTAAGCATGTAATAGTCAAAGTTTGCCTACAATTAATTTAATATTCATACTTACGTTTACAAAACAAAAATTCGCGCATTTCATTCATATCCACAAACACAGAAGGCTCTGGAAGTGAAGGGCCAAATCGTAAAACATCAGCATTTGATGTAATTGAAACTCGGTATCCAGTATCATTATTTTCAAGGTCTGAGGATTTGTTCAGAGCCGGGAGGTTTTTTTCTTGCTTAATTACAACAAAAATATGCGTAAACTGGCTACGAATAGCGCGTGGATCAAACTGAGCATCATCTTCAAGATACATAATGTTGATGATATCTAAATAAAATGTTGGTAAGTAGTATAGAAACATGTGTCTATTGAAATTAAAGCCTATAGGTGTATACCATTTCCGATATGTCGCTTGCGTTCAATTTGCTGATCATCATCAGGAACAAATGGCAAAAGTGTGGCTACATGAAACATGATTTCAAAAGAGCGCCATGTGGTGCCTATTGAATAAAGCCCTGTACGATCGTTTGATACATCCAGACCGCCAGCATAACCTTTGTAACCTTTCAGCTCCACTCTATCTCCCATAATATCAAGAAATTTATTGTATCCTTTGCTCCCCTCCACTAGGGCGGTTGACGTTTTACAAGTGTTGAATATTATTAGACTCGAGTGTAACCTTGGTGTATGACAATCCAAAGATATTAAAAGCTATACGTACCATTTTGCAGAAACTCATTATCGGTTTTCTGCCCCGGCTTGACCAGCAATACGCCAAATTTATATCTTGAACAGTACTACTCCAGCGTAATTTACATGCATCAATATAGTTTCATCGTTATTTTGTAGTTGACATACTAAAGCTTACCCTTAATTCGTCTAATGAAAGAATTTTTTTTTCAATGGCTTTGTCTTCTACGGTTTTGAGTTTGGTTGGATTTATGTCTTTGTGAAGTAGCTGCAAAACTGACCTAGTGGATACTTTTCCAAGCAAAGGTTTTTTGATTTGTGCAAGCTGAATCAATTCCCGTTTTTCGGGTTGCTGAAAAGGATGTCGACAATAATATTAGTAAACATGGAAGTAGCTCAAGTTTTTGTTGTAAAATCAGGTTTACCTACATCCTTAATTCGAAGAATGGCACGATAGCTTCCCTCTGTGATTTGGTCTTTTGAATCTCCAAGCTGAGCTGGTTTTTCGACGTAGTCTTCTTTTCGCAGAGAAATAATTACAGAACCAAGTTTTTCTAAAATACCAACATATGTAATGTGATCTTGATACAGGAGGCTTGGTCAGTTTAATAGTCTATGGGTTTCAGCTATATACCCCACTTACTTTTGTTCATAAAATATCGACGATAGTATTGCGCATCTGCAACATGTTCAAGAATATAATCCTGGTATAAGTTTTTAAATATGGGTGATTTTTCCTCTTGTTTAATGGAATCATCGTATGTACCCTCTTCTCGAAACCCGGTGGTAGGTTTCACCATAAGCTGTCAAGTGAGGTACATAGTATCCAGTGAAGTCTCGAGTTAGTAAATTTAGAAAAAGCGTAGCAATGTACTATTTTGTAGGCTTACCTTTTTCTCATTTTGCGGATATCTACGCATTACAAACTCAACATTGGTATTGATATTGCTGAGTAGATGACGAAATTCGTCTAGCCCTTTTGAACTCCCAAACGTAGATTCGCTTGTCCATTCTTTTTCAAACTTCAACAGTTCAATTCCATTGCGACGTAGATCTACCACAGTCACCACCGAATTTGTCAATTCAATCAGTTCTCGTAAGCTTTCTCGTGACGTCTTGAAGTGGGTTGAAAAAGTTGAGATTATGACTTTTCGGTTTTCTATAGGAGTGTTTTGTAACTTTTCATAGTAATGCAGTAGCTCGCGAGCACTTGATTTTATTTTAAATTGAAGATCCGCCAATTTTCGAGTTGCTAAGTTATTTTAGTGTAGCAATGATCAATATCCAAGTTATAATTAAACGGATTCACTGTTATTTCTTACTTTCAGAAGATTCTACTTCATGGTTTAATCCCTTTTTTGGTGCTGCAGCTGTATCATCCAGACTGATTCCTATAGCGTTTTGAATTGATCTTATTTCAAAAACAAATGTGATTTTTGCTCAGTAAGAATTATAAACCTATAGTACAATTAAATTAGAATTGACACTTTTTTACTTACTTTGTAAACCCATTGTATGAATTATCCAACAAGGGAGATGTAACTAAATTATTTATGCCAAGTTGCTCCGAGTGCAACGCATGTGTACCAGTGGCTTTATATTCACATATATGAGCAGACTGTTACTATGGGTAAACCATTTTATATAAAACGGTAGCTATGTACATACCAAAATTTCTTCCTCTTGAACAGTTAAGATCTGAAGGACTATATGCGATAGGGCTCCTAGGACCTCTTCTCATGTTATCGCGATCACTAGCCTCTTTAGCTTTTGTCTCGAAAGCAACCAGCGTGTCTGATACCTTCCAGGGAAGCATAGTAGACCTGCTCCCCCAGCGGAAATTTCCCAAATGATTTTCTCGTAGTTCGGCTGAAGCAGGCGGGATAGAATGATTTCCCAAAGCATGCGATATAGGTGTGTTTGACGGCTGTCGTACACTGTCAGGATTTGTTTGAATCTTAAGTTCAGGGGTGTCATGACTTTTTACATCGGTAGTTGCTGGCTTTACGTCAGGGTGCGATTGAAACCCATTAAATAGTCTGGAAATTGATCCAAGTGTGCTTGCTCGTTTTCGAGTAAGTACACTTCCTTCTAGCTCTGTATTTGAAATATTGGATTGAGCAAAATTTGGTTCAAGGTTACTACTTGGATAATCTTGCGTGACAGCTGTGCTCTTGTTATAATCTAGGTCAGTTATGTCTTTGTCAGATACTGTTTCTGGACTTGGGCCAATACTTTTTTTAGATTTAAAGATGGCAGACAATCGATTTTGAGAAGTTGATTTAGACATGGCAGGGCGAGATCTTGACTTTACCATTCCTATATCACAGGATGGCTTGATGGGAGTCATTGTCGTGGTAGATTTTTCAGATAAATTATTGTCTGTGCCTGAATTAGACTTGCTTTCAAGTGAGCTTATAAATCCATCACTGCTCTGATTTGGTACTCTATTGGAATCCTGTTTGAACTTTAACATATCTGGCTTTCCTGCATGTAATACTCTATTGGCAAGCTCTTCTGGTGATATAGATTCATCTACAAAGGTTGATAGTGGAGTCAATACTACGGCGCTTTTGTCCATTAGTATGGGTGTAGATCCATGATCATCACAGTCTGTGGGGAGTTGATCTCCACTACAGCCTGCGACATCTTGGCTATCAGACTGATAAAGCGTTCTTGAAATCGACTTTTTGATTTTCGCAAAAGCTTTTGTAATATTTCCTGATCGCTCCTCTTTGGTTACAGTGATGGGAGACGTATATGAATTATTGCCTGCCTCGAACTTTTCCGAAAATGGCCTTGTTTCAATATCCAAGGTTTTATGCGTATCTGCTATACTCGTGTCCCGGGGTATATGGTTCGAGCAGTAAAAGCTACCCTTGTATGAAACATAGTTATTTATGGCCAAAGTCTTTTTACACGCTGTGCATTTAAAACACTAGAGTCGAGCATATCCATTTGATGGGTAGATATTGTAAATACTCGACTCATGATATCAAATTAGGTTTCAGCAACAATGGGAGCAAGTACATACAGTTCGGTGGAAAGTTTTTCCTTCAGCCACAGCTGACTCCATAGCATAGCTTTGTCGAATTCCAATAAAACATAGGATAAGAATATAGCCCCAAAAAATAGGTCATCATGGTTTCAGAACCAAGATGTATTAGTCGAATTCAATAGTGTTTGCAGTTGTACCAAAGTAAAATGACAGTCAAGATATTGTGATGTACATGTACAGATATGATGGTTAATGAAGACGCGGATTCATTTATACAGATATATAGTTGAGAGCAAAAAAGCATAAGTGGATACAAGATATAGTGTATATAATGGGTTTAAAGAGTAGTTGGTGTGATGTACTTACACTACCCTAGAGCAACGAATACATATTGTACGCTCAGTTTCTCCTGTCATACCTGCCGTAAGTTGTTTCCAATAGCCACTTTGGTCGTGTTTTACAGCCGTATTCACGTAAAATGGAACATTTTTCTGTATTTATCTTGGTGATTTCCTTATTTTGCTTTGGAATAAAAAATGGTTAAATATTCAGTGCTTTCCTACTACAAATTGATTGCTTTAATTGACATTCTCAATATTCTTTCAAACACAACGCTCATTATATGATGCGCACAAATTATAGTTTGAGCCAAAATTATCATTTTCTCCACTTTTGGCGTAGCCATACATTGTACGATTACCGAGTTTGACTCAATATCTGAATCGCATGAATGAATCTGAGCTCAAACTCTAAAGCCATTCGATGCTCCGCTTTGCGTGAATACGACTGATCAAAAAACTACAAGTGACTGCAAGTCATGTGATGTAGGCTGGACAACTCAACTTTAACTAGTTGCGAATTCTTGCTCAATAGCAGCAATTTGATCGTCTGCCATTCAAATTCTCAATGTCTTCCAAGCGAGCTAGAACTATTGCTTCATATAAACTGGAAATACCTGTAAGCAGCGAAGATAATTCTGACGATGAGGTTACTCGGTGTATTTGCGGTGACACTGGTATCGTACATTCATTTTTATTAGCTTGGCTGCTTCTCCAGTACATTAAGTGATTATCCTTATGTGGCTACTCACTACCGACTTCATTCTTGACTCCTTATCAGCTTCATTGCTTGACTGAGAAATGCATGTGGTCAATATCCCATTGAGTGTCTGAAAAAACTCTCGACTTTGTAGAAGCTATAGCCTGGCTTTTATTCAAGGTTTATGTTTTTACAAAAAAAACTAACCACCATTCATGTTCTTGATCAATTAAATTGCCTACGATCTTAACTTTTAGCTTCAAAAGGTGTCATGGTTCAATGCGATGAATGCGGCGTCTGGCAACACTGTGATTGTATGAATTTGGCAGGAAAGAAACTTCCCAAAAAATATTTTTGTGAACAGTGCAAACCAGAGAGTCATCCATCTATCATGTGAGTTTGACCAAGTTGTTTTATAGAATATATTTGTATCAAACAGATCTAGTTGATGCTTACATATGCTACATGAATAAATTCATTCAGACCTGCTTTGGCCGTGCAATCTACATCCAGCAAAAATATTGCTGAAACTTCTGTTAATACCAATTTAACTTATGGTCAGGATTCAAGGAATCCACAAAGACAATCGTCTGTTGCTTCTTCAGGAATGTCGTCTCTAGGCGATTTCCAAGATGGTGAATCGAATTTTCCTGCAACTGCTCACGAGCAGCCTACCAATACCAAATCGCCCTCTACTACATTGTCAAATTCAAGGTTTAACGTTTCAGCCAAGGACAAAGCAGCGGCTTTACAGATGTCCAAGACTACACCCAAAAGAAAATCAAGACAGAATTCCATAGCGGCCACTACAGCATCCATAGCAACTGCAGCAAAAAAGCGAAACACATTGAATAGTCGTGTTGCAGATCAGTGGAATGCAGAACTGTTGCTGATGCAAACCGGTGATAACCACACTGAGACTGAATGTAGCATGGATGTGGATGGAGCATCTGAAGATGGGACAGATCATGATCCAACTTTACATGGCACTGATCCAGAAGCTTCTGTTCCGGAAGAGTTTTTGCGGTCTCGCGGTCAACTTGGTCCACATTACGACTCGTTTCTAAACGATTGTTCTAAATCCAGCTTGCTTGATAGTGGGGGCGAGCGGTCTAGAAATCAGAGCATACATAAAAACGATGACATTAATGAGGCTCGGGAAGAGCTTGATGAAGGTTCTGAATACACCAATGGTCGAAAAAGGTTGAAGCGCTTAAATTCAGTTACAGATGCATCTACACAGGATGTAAAAGTGGCAAGCCCTTTAGGAAAATCCAAAAAAGAGAGACGATCCAAGTCTAAAAGGGTTATTCAGGAAAAGTCACAGTCTGAAGCATCACCACTCCTGATGGATTCAGATAAATTCAATTTAAATGGTTAGTAGATTTTTGTATACACACTTTTGAATAGATTTTCAAACTAATTATGCTTTTTAGAACGAAAATCTAGTCATGTTTCCAAAACATCGGAGATTGACAGGACTATAGAAGGAGAGCATGGTGCATTCTATGCTTCACTTTCTACAAACCCACCTGTACTGGACGATGATAATACTCTGTCAGGTCGTTCCACAAACAATAAGCGGCGGGATAAGTTCAAAAAGCTGAAAGGATCTACACGCAAGCAAAGTGCGTCAGCGTTAGAGTGCACAGTTGATAGGGATAGCGATCAGGGTTTGGCCAAAACATTTAGTTTATACGAGGTAGAAACCAACAAATTAGCAATGGATCATGCGTTTGATTCATCCAATGTTATTGACTCTATCCCAGCAGCACACTCTACTGTCGCGGAGGACGAAAGTATGCCTGATGATATGGCCGTTGCTACACTTGGGTCGACAAAAAAGAAAGCTGGTGGGCGTGGCCGAGTTCCAAAGTCACGAAAAAAGGCATTGCCTGGTAATCGAGATATACATGTGTGTGATGACGACGCATATGTTGATACTGGTATTGGTTCTTCACTCAAACCCGGACTTGTGGAAAGTGCATGTCATCCACAGACTGATTCTCTAGATGCTTCCGACATACTTGCGCCTGATTCACACTCTATCCACGCTTCTGGAGATCATCCGCTCAAGCCAGATTCTGACCCTATATGTTCTCTAAGAGCACCACCCTCTCCTCCAGTCCAGCCGCACTCGCTGGGTCTAGATTCCCCGCCGCTGGAGATTCACAGACGGTTAAAGCAGCTGTACGAGGCTGTACAACGGCTTCGCGAATCACTTGGCACATGCATTGCTGTTGTTCCTCCAGAGCATATGCCGCTTAAAAAGTTGAAGGATTGCTCCCATGGCAGATTTGCCAGTGATGGGTCGGAGTTTCCATGTAAAGATTTAAGCAGCACAGTGGATCCACAAGGCTTGGATCGCACATGCCATTCGATGATGTCAGAACTCAATAACCGTGATGGTCCACATTTTTCAACCCATTCCCAAATGGACATAGATTGTACACCGATAGTCAGTAGTGATTTAGCTAGTATGGATTCCAACCCTGTAGATTGTGTTGTAGCCAATCAATTAGACGACCAAATTGTAAAGAAAACCCGGTCGGCTCTTCAGAGACTGATTATTACACTGGCAACGCCCTGCTCAAGTGTAGCAGATATGGTGGATATTCTTGAAGATGCTTTGGACCAGTTTGATTCACGATTTGCAATGTTGTGAATTGCAAAGACTGAATAAATAATTTGGTGTGGTGCTGTTCATTCACTTGTAAACATTTAAGACGGTTGAGTTTAGATAATGGCATGCCAATGGCATTGATTTCCAGCATTTAAAGCTGTTTAAGGGAGAGTAGCGGCAAAATAGGTGTCACATGACCAATGGGATTTGAAGTCAAAATGCGATGTTGAGCCTGATGTTCACTTGATCCCAAACGATTATTCAACCTAACCAACGTGATAATGGCTACTCCAAACTCTCTTCCACCTGCAGGAATCGACTACTTTTCCCATCAGACCTACCAGGAAACTGCCAAGTTTCTGACAGATCGTCTTCCCGACTCTCTTAAAAAGATCCAAGTCGGCATTGTCTGTGGTAGTGGTCTTGGTGGTCTCGTAAAGGGTCTTGAAGCACCTACTGTTGAGTTTGAATACAAGGTATTATCAATTAGTATTGCCTTGTTTGACTTTTAAATTACAGCCGTATCTATGTAAAACGGAACACTTTTATGCAGTCTTTATTTTACTTTGGAAAGACTGGTTAAATATTCGTTATGCTTTCCTACTACAAATTGACTTGGATACACTCCCAATCCTCACACGCCGCCCATTGTATGGTACACAAAACCAAACTATAATTTTGGATTGGAATGTTTCTGATATGTTCATACATTGACAACCACTGGATTCATCCATCGAGTTCAATCCTTCTCAACCCTACACACCCCTTTGTTGTATCTTGAAAACTTGTATTCGCGTTCTAGTTCAAGAGAACAAGATCAAGGATGCAACTATACATGCCAATCGCCGGGAAATTGGCGAATCCTAGTTTAAAAAACAATGTTTAGTAAACTTTGTGGAAACTGGCTGTTTATTATGTATTTGAGTTCCTAGTCAATGTTCCATTTTGCGTGAATATGGCTGTAAGTGTATGTCTAGTAGCTTATCGGCATCTGTTTGTGATCATCTTATTTTGAAACCAGGATATTCCCAATTTTGCTACCAGTACAGGTAATAGATTGTCATGAACTTTTAAACTTGTGAATGGTATTCAAACCATCAATGCAATTCTACAGCATAAGCATACTGACACCCTGGCTTACTTTTTTATTCAGTTCCTGGTCATGTTGGTAAACTTGTGTTTGGTATGCTTTCAGGAAAGCCAGCAGTCTGCATGGTTGGTCGCAAACATCTTTACGAAGGTAATCTAGAGTGTTGCTCATTGATGCATTTCTAAACAGGATTTTGGTGTGCTAAAACAATCATCTGTTGGTTGGATTGAATGACTGGTTGAGGTGTATAGGGCATTCCTTGTTGCGTACAGTGTTTCCTATTCGTATCATGAAGCTTTTGGGAGCCAGCACACTGATGGTGACCAATGCAGCTGGAGGTCTTAATCCAGACTTTAAGATTGGAGATATCATGATCATTGCTGATCATGTTTCCTTTGCAGGTCTTGCAGGACAGAATCCACTAATTGGCCCAAACATGGACGAGTTTGGAACTCGCTTTCCTCCAGTAAGCGGAGCATTTGATTTTGATCTCCGAGTACTAACAGTCAAGGCAGCGCATGAATGCAACATTCCATTGGAATATCTGCGAGAAGGAACGTATACGTTTGTATCTGGACCAAGCTTCGAGACTCGTGCCGAGGCCAGATTTTTGCGAGATGCACTGAGGGCAGACTGTGTAGGAATGTCAACGATTCCCGAAGTAGTTGTAGCAAAACATGCAGGAATGAAGGTACTTGGACTCAGTCTAATTACCAACAAGGTGTCTGTAGGTAGAGGACGCAGTGCACTGAATGTAGGACTTGGCCAGTTGGGAATGAAGCCTGTTGCGCCAGAGGGAAATGCCGTCAACGACGAACTCCAGCTGGCCAGCCATGCAGAAGTTCTGGCCACCAGCACTGAGCGATCGCAAGACTTTCAACGTCTCGTACAAAAGATTGTCCAACTTATGCCTCAAGAATGAGATTAAACATTGAAACCATTTTGAATTTATTTTATTGTTTTTGGGGTTTTGATTTTTTTTCGAGTTTGGATTTGATCGTTTGATTCAACCATAATTATAGTAAAGCCAACACTTGCCTTTGACCTGCCTCAACTCATAGGTCTCTGTGTCGGTTGATAGCAGTATTAGATTGCAACCTTATTCAAACCTATTTGTACACAAAGTCATGGCTGCATCCCTGCCTTTGCACATTCTTCCACTACTGCAGCAACCACAACAATCAACCCTATCCACTCTCTTTCCTACTCTGGACTGTACCATGGTTCCTGCTCATACTTTGAGTCAGTCCTATCCTCCTACTGCTGGAGAAAAGCCTGTAACTTGTCTTCAGCTTCAACATCCGGATGGAACTGGAAAACCGTCTTTGACTCCAGCACTTTCCTTGGACATGACCTCACCACCTTATTCTCAATCAACAGCTGCTCTACCACTGCCTCTAACTGCTCCCATGATGACTTGTGTGTCCGAGTCTACAGGGAATATATGTCCAGTTAATGCCAATGGTAACAGTGCTTCGTCTCATCCCTACTTTACTGCTCCTGTTGCGCCAGACAACACTACCCTTCAAATGCCATTGCAGCTGAAATCAGAAGACGTTTTAATGCCCAACCATCAGCAACAGTCGGTTCTTGCCTCGCACATGTCTTCCGACTCCAATAACACTTTCACAACCAAATCTGCTGCATTGTTCCATCATCACTCTCCACAGACTCCTTTGGTACTCAACATGCCAAATGGAAACAATCACACTGAGCTCGTCGGTCCTGTTTTGTTTCCAGAATCGTCGGATGACACCGCCATCAATCTTGCTGCTGCCGCTGCCATGGCTGCATTCCAAGCTGCTGATTCTGGCAGCTCAACTCCATTTCAACTTTGTAACAGAGGCAAACAGCATGCGCCAATCACTACTAGCACAGTAAATTCCTCTGCTCCCCCAATGCTCACACCAACCCACCCATACATCAACGTATCTACACCAGCAAAAGTCGCCAATTCAAGTGCAGTATCTGGATCAGGTTACGTCTCTTCTCATCCCAGCTTTTCTGAATCTGCACAAACTGCAGCTATTTCTCAGCTATCCAATCCAAATAGGACAGATATGTTGACGAATAACCAAAGTACTATGTCTGCAGCTACTCCGCTGCCAAATGCTAATTTCCCATTTGCTTTTAATTATCCTTCTTATCAAGGATACTTTTATCCTGGAATGAATGTGCAGGCTGGCTCAACACAGCTAGAAGAAAATACTCTTTCCAATCTTAGTTCTGCGCCAATGACTTCTACTTCATCACATCCCTATAGTATGGTGCAGTATCCAGTCATGTATCCGTTTGTGGGCGTCACTGATCAATCACAATCAGCTTCCACCGCAACTGTTGCCGTCGCTGCACCTACTGTTTCTTTTGCATCTACTCCTACTCCAGCTGCTATCTCAACTTCCTCTGCTAGTCCTGCTCCAGGCGAAGAGCGTCGGGCAGATCCCTCGGACGATGGCAACGGATCCTTGTCAGAGATCGATGATGATGTCGAGCAATCTACCCCTACTTTTGATAGTCGTACAAAAAGGAAAAGTAGCTCTGGCGACAAATTCATGTTTCCGTGTCCACGCCAACATTGTACAAAGGTATTGTTGGTTTTTTGTAGCATTCAAGTGTCTAACAACTTAATGGTAGTCAAGCATCAATCTAACCAGTGTTTTCGATGATATGTTGCTATGCAAATCCAGGTGTACAAGAATCGTAATGGACTCAAATATCATATTCAAAAAGGAATCTGCAGTTTTCCAGACGATCTTGTCAGAGCTGCTGGAGATAGTGAAACTCATATGGGACTACCAATCGTTATGCCTACGGCCCAAGGCATAATTCCCTTGCAAGCTATTGGATTTTCTGGCATGCCTCAGTCACTGTCTTTTCAAAATCCACCAATGAACATGGTCTTTCCGCCAATGGGCATGAATTTGGCTGGTACCAGCATGTCCGCTTTTCTAGATCCAATCCTCGCAGATCCAAATGCATCCATTCCACTGGCTGGAGGTGTATGTATGCCAACCCCGAACCCATCTACTCCATCATCTCCATTGCCTTTACCATTTCAGACTCAATCGCGTTTATTACAGCCTACTGGATCCCAGACCACAACTTCCCTAGCCAAACCAGCTGTTCCACATTTTTCCATGATGGATACTCTAGGATTTGATTTACTTCCACACATTCCACATTCTATGGTGCCTGTCATGTCCGTGCCTGATGCAGCTATTTTGACACCACCATTGCAACCTCCAAAACCATTCTTTTGTAAAATCTGCTTAAAACGATACAAAAATACAAATGGTCTCCGATATCATGCAAAGGCTGATCACCCTGGACTCAAGTTCGATCTTGTCAAAGGGAAAGACGAATTTGTTCTATGATGAAATAAATATATTAAACTTGTTTCTTTATTATTTTTAAACCAAGAGCTTATAGATAAATGCCTAGGGTTTGATACTGGATAGGCTATTTAAAGGGCTGGAGCCAATTCGTGATTTTCAAGATCGACCATGTGGGTTTCAATTACATTAAAGCACAATCTATTCGGATTATCAAACCAAACCTTCAGACCATGGTTTAAAAAACAGTTTTTGGTGGTTTTAGCATTCAAACATTTCATTTTACGTACGAGCTTCTACTTTTATGGAAGAGTCTTGTAATATATTGTCATGAATACAAATACATCAAATCAAAGCTACAGTTTGTGTGCTTTATATGATGATCGCTGTGTTTGGAGACTAATTGAGGAAGCTGTGAATACCGTAATATTTTGACTTTTTAAACAGCGACATGCAACGTTTCCAAACACGCATACTATTCTGAACAGTATTCTATTCCACAAAGCAACTCTAGTTGGACATGATTTACCAGCCATTCAACACATGTCGCGCGAATTGAAACTACACTACACTGCTCCATACTGTCGATTCTTGAACCCTGCAAAAAGTCACTCGAGTATAATAAAGAATGGGTTCGTTTGTCAAGCAAATTGTGGTAGGAAAGCACAATACATATTCAACCATAGCTATTTCCAATCAAAGTAGCCAGTTCAAGATAAACTACAGAAAAATACTCCATTTTACACAAATGCGGCTGTAATAGATTTGAATCTCCAACAATATCAAATGTTCATTTGCTTGTGGGAAAAAACAGTTTTATCTGGACAATAGAATCAGCCTTAAAATGCAGCCCAGCACAAAAAATATGGCGTCACACTCCATACATATTGCACTCACGATAAAAAGATAAGAGTGCAAGTCCTTGACCAGAAAAAAGCACCAACACATGATGTAAATCAAACCTCGAATCCAACACATTTCAGCACACGCATAATATTCGTAGAGCCTGCCGTACTCTCCAAAACACCAGAAGTCACTACAACGGCATCCCCACGTTGTGCCATCCCCATTTTAACACCCCATAGCATGGCGCAATGAATAATATTCTCGGTTCCTTCCATAGAATCAACTACAAGCGGATAGATACCACGAAGCACTTGACATTGTCGGGCTAGAGTATTGGTTGATCCATATAGACAAATTCCACAAAAGTCAAATGGTCTCAATGCATGTTAGATACATCTTTAACTTTATGAATACATTGTCAAAATAAACAAAACTGTGCCCTACCGGCTTGAGGAGAGGCAGTCACTGCTAGAACAGGAGCAATAGGACGGTACTTGGATACACGAGTGGCAGTGCTTCCAGTTTGTGTGAGAACAATGATCAGAGCCTATTCAATATTAAAAATAGCTGTAAGGCATACGGTCCAAAATCAAGCAAATTAACTATCTGGGTTCTAAATAAAACTTACAGCGTGAACGTCCCAACTAGTTTTCACTGATTCGATTGTCAAGAAAAAGTAGTTGGTCATGGATCATGACCAACCAGAATTGACAAATAAATATTATAATGATATATAGAAAGCAAGATATTAGCACAAAGACATTTGAAAATACTGCCAAAATAAGCAAGGTGGTGATTAAATGACTGCATTCAGATGGGAAGTTCCTCCTAATAAAGGATAGAACGCCCGTAAAAGTTGCATCGAGTATGCATCATAAGCAATCACGAATCGCAGTCAAGCCGCAATCGACGTGATGCATCAGAGGCTCCCTGATGTGAGTCTCATCATTGCAGTCAAGGTTTAATCATCTAGTTGAAAGCATTCTTGGGGTTTACAAAGGTATGGGTTGTACCTGCACTGGCTGCTACAGCCTCCGAGACTCCAATGGGGAGACGAATCTGTCTACGTAAAGCAGGATATAGCTCCGAGTAATTGATATCAACTTCGGCTTCGCGACAAATTTTAGACATCATCTCGACAGTATTTACTGGAAATGATCCCTTGGCAGTTTCGCCGGAAAGCATAACGCAGTCAGATCCATCAAGAACAGCATTGGCAACGTCAGTTGCTTCAGCACGAGTGGGTCTAGGATTGACAATCATAGACTCGAGCATTTGAGTTGCAGTTACAACGGGCTTGCCTGTTGTATTGCACTTTCGAATCATCATTTTCTGAAAACGCGCAACTAATTGGCATGATCAAATATACAGTATTAGTCTTTATAAAACAGGCAAAGTCAGCTAGTTTGTTGGATTTACCTTGTTCAACGGGAATCTCGACACCAAGATCTCCGCGAGCAACCATAATACCATCAGACACACTTAAAATCTCGTCAAAATTTTCAAGACCTTCTTGATTCTCAATTTTAGAGATAATCTTGATGCCAGTTCCTTGGATTAGTTTTCGAATTTCCAAGACATCAGAAGCCTTTCGAATAAAACTGGCAGCAATGAAATCAACACCCTGTTCAATGCCAAAACGGATATCGCCGGCATCCTTTTCAGTAATAGCAGGGAGATCAACTACATTTCCAGGAAGATTTACACCCTTGGTTTCACCAAGAAAACCATCATTTTCGATGGTACAGTGAACTTCAGATTTATCTATGTCCACCTCATCAACTAGCATTCCAATAAGGCCGTCGTCGACAAGTATACGATCCCCAGCTTTGACGGTCTTTGGTAGTGAGGTGTAGGTGGTAGCTACCTGCGTTTCGTCTCCGAGACGTGTCATATCATTGTGAAATGTGAACTTACTTCCAGCCAAGAGTTTTTTATCAGTATGATCAACCAACTTTCCAGATCTAAAGTAAACAAGGCGTGTTAGTAATCAAGTGTTGGTGGTATATACTAAAAGAGTCATAAAAATTACAACTAGCCTAATTTCTGGTCCTTTTGTATCAAGCAAAACTGCAACAACTCGTGGAACTTTTGTTCTTTCAAGATACTTGCGTAGATTAGTCACGGTTTGTGCATGATACTAGAAACAGTTTGAATGAGCAATACGGTTTTAAATTAGACTATTGCACATAAAACAATGCCAGTTTCATGCAAAAGAATAGCAACAACTTAAATCAACATACTTCATGGGATCCGTGTGAAAAATTCATACGCATGACATTCATGCCACTCTCCACTAGCTTCCCCAGCATTTCTACCGATTGGGTCTTGGGTCCTACAAATGGTGTAATTATTGTAGGTTAGCAAATGGAATTTAACGCGCCATGACAATCTATATAGAATCAAAGTTTACAGTCGTATTCACGTAAAATGGAGTACTAAATAGGAGGGTTGGTGTATAGTAAACAATCATTCTCATGGAATGGTTGGTGAGTTTGCTGAACAGCATTTTGTTATCTGTTCTTTCTCCCAGTGGTTAGCATGGAAGCAATAGTTGCATTCGAGGGATGTGCATTATTGTTCTCTTGACCACAAGCGTATCTGTAAGATTTAGTAAAAAGGAGTTTGAAAATATCAAAACAGTCAAACTCTATATGGATTGCAATGGATAAGTTTGATGATCGTACAATGTATGGCTATGCCAAAAGTGGAGAAAGGGAGGTTCAAAAAAATCATTTCAGTTCAAACTATAGTTTGTGCGCATCATACGATGGATGTTGTGTTTGAAAAAATCGAGAATGTCAATTAAAGAGGCAATCAGTTTTTAATAGGAGAGCACAATGCAGATTTAGCCATTGTATATTTCAAAACAATCACTGCAGGATGAATGCAAGTGTTCCATTTTGCGTGAATTCAGTTGAATAAATTGTAAAGACATGAGCATCAAACTCATTGCTGGATAATATAGTAATTGGCTGGCAAGAGTGCCCATAAAAATAGCCTATTCGTTTACATTATATACATCAATGACAGATCAGTAAACTTGGAATCCTACCAATGGTGCAAATAATTTTTGACTTGATTTGGACAGGTCGATCTGATCAACAAACATCTGGTTAGCATTGAGTTGAAGTAATGGTTTGATATCAATCCGACAGAAAGCTTGCAATAGACTGCATATTAAACTCGAACCTCCATGGGCAATATAAACGTCTGTCATGGCTATTATCTAATAGTGGACATGCACGAGATATCAGAGTAGATAGGGTTAGTCGAAATCCAAACATGAACAAGGGGTGTTGGAATAAACAATATTTGTAAACCAACACCCCTAGCTTAACAACTAGAGGCATGCTAAAGGGATTGAAACAAACAAGGGTTTAAGCCGGTAATTGATGGTGCAGAAATAAGAGATCTACTGCAGTCATCTAGCCCTGAAGATCCCAGCAATATAGCTGCAGGATACCAGTTAAATGCTGGATAATCAGAGATGAAAAGTATCGCAGCTGCACCATAAAGACAAGCATAGAATCTAACAGATATTTGTATTAAATAGAATGCATTCCAATCCCCTCAGCCATAGTCCATTAAAGACGGATCCACACTTTAACCAAAAAACGACTTGCCCAAAGTTTAACAATTGACTGCTGTTTGGAAGGGAAAGTGAATAAAATAGAGAAATGGCCATAAACTCATTTTGGCCAAAGGTGTCAATCTTACTGAACATTGTTTTATAAACTTTAATTCATTGATCTTGATGCTCATTCTTGTACAAAAATACAGAGTGAATGTTCATATTCCTGATTCAATGCATTCCACATCCTTGACATCCAACTTTCCTTTCCTCCAAACATTTCAAACATTACGTGACTAGCATGTATAGTTGCATTCCTGAGATATGTTGAACTAGATCATATTTGATATTACAGAGTTTCAATAAAAGAAATCAATATCCAATAACAAATATGTAACGATTATTTATTCCAAAACAATCATTACAAGATCAATGCAAAAGTGTTTCATTTTACGTGAATACCAAGTTAATTCTTGATTTTTTTTTGAAAAAACTGTTGCAATCATCATCTAATGGTTGCTGAAAAAAGAAGTACTCCCGATACAACTGCAGATGCTCAAGCAAAGCGAATTGCTACTTCACATACACTAGGAACTTCTGCTGCATTCACTTCAAAAGCATCCGTATATCGTCATGAATCACGACCCAATCCATTTGGTATTCGACCTTTGGGCAATATGCTCTTGGATGGCGGTTCATTCACCACTCGGAATAGTGGTCTTGGTGCATTTTCTGGATTAGACGATCACTTATTGCTAGAGCTAATCGCTACTGCGTTTTCTTGCGCTCATCCCTGCTCCATTGAAACCATGTTCACTGCAACTGAAGGTGATCGAGCTCTCAATCGCCTTGCTCAAACCAGCAGGGCTTGGTACTGTCTTGTATCCAATGATGGAGTATGGCGTCAACGTACTATCAGTCGGTTTGGAGGCAATTTTAAATATATGAATTCATGGCGGGATACATTCAAATATACAATTCTAGTCAACCAGTTTCGACTATCCGACTTTATTCCTGACCAACCTCTTCGTGTATCTGGCATGTATTCTGACCTACTATATACGTCTTGGCGTTGTGCAACTGTTCCTCTGGATCATCTCTGTGGTATTGGCATTGATAATATTTCAAGAAGAAATAATCTATCGCTCTCTGATTTTTTACAAGAGTATGCCAAGCCTAATTTGCCAGTGATTTTAACAGATGTTGTGAGAGAATGGCCTGCGTTTAAAAAATGGTCGACTGATTTTTTTATGGATCACCATGGTTCAAAAACATTCAAGGCGGAAGCTGTTGATATCTCATTTGCAAACTATGCAGAATATGCAAGGCATGCACAAGAAGAAGCCCCACTTTATTTGTTCGATAAAGGGTTTACCAACGATACTTTTCTTTCTGCAGATTATGTTGTACCAAAATATTTTTCACAAGACCTCTTTCAAGTTCTTGGTGACAACCGTCCAGACTATAGATGGCTTATTATTGGTCCTGCGCGATCTGGCAGCACGTTTCATATAGATCCCAATTCCAGTAAGTATAGCCTTTAACTCCAATTAATTCATGCATTGTTCTATAGCTAATATCTGTTATTTCATGCTTATATGTAAAACATTCAACAATCAGCTTCAGCTTGGAATGCAGTTATTACTGGCGCTAAAAAATGGATTCTATATCCACCAGAATGTATCCCACCAGGAGTATTTCCTAGCAAAGATGGCTCAAACGTTACTTCACCCGTGTCATTAGCAGAATGGTTTATGAACTATTACCAAGAAATTCACAGCAGTGCTGGGGCGAGTAATCAAAACACTAAATGCACTCCCAAGCCTATAGAGTGTATCTGTAGAGCAGGAGAAATGATATTTGTACCCAACGGATGGTGGCATTGTGTTATGAATCTAACCGACTCAATCGCCATTACGCAAAATTTTGTGTCGAGTGAAAATCTGGTTAATGTGCTCGACTTTCTAGAGTTTAAACCAGATCAGGTATCTGGATTTTGTAATCCAAATCCCTACAGCCTATTTTTTAATGCCTTGAAAGAGAAAATGCCAAATGTTCTTGAAGAGGCTCAGGCATCCCGTAGTTTGATCAAACACGAAAATAGCACTTGCACCATTACAAAAAGTATTTCTCACAATGACCAAACCAAAGCAACTTTGAAGCAATCCATGTGGCATCAACTTACGGCTCAGTCTGAAGATACAGCCGACTCGATAGAGAGTGGAGGTGGATTTACGTTCAATTTTGAAATATAGTTTGTAGAATTATGTTTATTTCCAAAACATTGCATCTTTCGGCTTATTCTGCGTTTTCATTGGCGGGCTCTTGACCTGTAGTGTTCATATCCTCATCCTTGTTTTCAAATGAATCTATGTTGGCTGCTTCGTCTTGCTGCATATTATCTACTGGAGGGTGAGATTCGTCCATATGGACATGTGTATCAGACTCTGGATTGACTGGAGCGTCTGCATTTAACAAAGAGTTTCCTTGTAGCTCCTTCAACACAATCTCTAGAACAGATTTAGTGGGATATTCCCGCCTACCAATCCACGTAGTAGTGAAGATGAGTGATACATGAAATATGTAGCGATTGTATTTTTATGCATTAAACTATACGTACTGAGAGATCCCCTCGAATGCTTGAACAATGTTGCGTCCAATAGCAGGGTCAATGGCTCTATCTTGCTCAACCAAAAATACCACCACCTCTTGAATAAGAGCAACTGGTACTTTTCCGTTGTCGCCTACAAGATTGCAAACAAGCTCTGCGGTTGCCTCTAGCGTCTTTTACAAAGCAAAAATTAAGCCCAAAACAAGTTGGATACAGGTGTTGAATGGTATTCATGCATCAGTATATCATAAACTAAGCTTACCCCAGCAGCCGAAGCACACAAAAAAGCCCAAAACTTGACCCATGGTATCTTGTCCGAAGTCCATCCGCCAAGTCTATTAAATGCAATTTTAAATAAGAATGAAAGCAGGCATTATAGTCATCGAGATCGGCAGTAGATTGTCAGTCTGGGCACGCTCTAATAACTGAATGTAGATATTTCCATGCATCACCTAAGCAAACTTACAAGAAAATATCTTGAACCTGAGCAGAGGGAATATTCGCAAGGCTTGCCGCCTCTTCAATATCCTTTCTTGAAACAGAGCTTCTTTCTTCTGATGAGGAGAACTAATAGATATGCATAGATACAGGGCCATGATAAATTCCGACGTGTTAGTCCATAGCTTGGCATATGCATCAACAGCGTACCAACGGAATATGCTCAAGATTCCCACCCAACACACCTTTGTATAAAATGCATCCAACTGCATATCACTCAACCGCTTTCCTGCATTAGCTTGCGTGCGTTGTTTAGCCAGTCTTGCAAAATATCTTTTGAGAATAGTGCAGGAATATTAGTGTAGATTCAATAGCACCAAAGCTGGCTCTCATCATATTTCTACAGCTCTAGATGCCCATTCAATCCTTGCCAATGAGTATCACCATCTAGCTAATGAATATCACCATCTAGCTAATGAAACCATTATCTCATGCACTTGCATACATTTGAAGGACAGCTGCTCTCTCCTGGCGTCATTTCAGCCTAATTTTATGAATTACAAAAACTGCAATTGATTCAATGCATAGTCAGGACTTACTCGGAAGAACTAGCCAAAATATCAGCAGGCTGGGATTTGATGATAAACTTTGCATAGTTCTTTAGGATTTCTGGAAGGTCAGAAGGAATCTTGATTTGCTCTGCAGAATAAAGTGGCTCAGTCATACTTGGTATAGTTTTGCTACAAAAGATGAAACTTGGATAAAAAACTTTTGCCGACACTCTAGAATTTATTCGCTCAAAAATAGACATTCGTGTGATATCGGCAAGCCATTACAACTGAGTCGAGATGCTTAAAGATTTGCAATCAAGTCTGATGCTGCGGTGTAGAGTAGCTGTATATCTTCAATAGTAATATTTTGAAAAAAACATTTATTCGGACATTCATTTGAAACCCGACTCCTGAGATAGCTTTCCAAGATATCGCTGCTGGAATTCGTATATCAGTACAGCGATGGCAAACAATGGCTAAATATATCAAGTATTTAGAATTGCGCTCCAATATATGTAAGCATTATAGTGCTCGGGAAAATAACACTTACCGATACAATCATCATACGGGGCACCACTCCTTTAAACAATGCAGTACATCCCTCGTTCTTCAAGATATCACTATTGTATTTCAACCCCAATAAATGTGAGCATGAGATCAGCAGTCTAAAATATACGTCAAAATGGTTTTATAAACTCACCGGTAGCAGTGCATCATTCCTGTATATACTTTATCTCCCGGTTTAGCAATCACTTGCAGTCGAGTCTTGACTACATCCATAGGAGTAACGACAGCAGAAGCAATCGCGCCGCTTACAATACCGCTGCTAAATATCACGGAGAAAGGAGCTTCTCCGTTAGTATGCGCAGGTGTCAAGGCTTTCTTGAGAATGGCAACCATGGGAAAAAATACAAAGGAGAACGGAACATCGCGGGCAAGAGTTGCAGTGGTTCCTTTGTACAATCCTCGTAATCCGAGTTGACGGACAATGCCCGTCATAGTTATTTTTGAATTGGATCCGGTACCAGAGGATGCACCAGCAAGTTGAAGCTGAATCTTGACTATTTCCATCGGGTTGGTAGCAACAACTTGGCAAAACCCTGCTGTAGCTCCGGAAAGCTAAATACCAAAATTGCAATGCATCGTGACCAGCAATCATACATACAGTAAGCAGTGCATCAAAGGCTTATATAGACTAGACATACAACATACCATGCCATAAAAAAGAGGAAGATGGTCAGGATGGGCCTTTATCTGGCGACCCCAAAACTCTCTCGCATAGTCATTCATTGCCAACTGATCATGACATGAACAAAGGTAAAAAGATTTAGTAGCTCTACAATAACAAGGTTTATGCCAAAAAATAATGGACATGCAATTTACAAGGCACTGTAATATTACCTTGATAGCCTTTTCAGGGCATATGCCTGTGAAAACAAACAAGACAAGAGTTGATTAAAACACATGCCTTTTCGAGTCTTGGTAACCATACCATTATAAAGCAATCATCAGTACGAACCAATGAGATTAGGAATAAGACCTCGATATAGTCCACGAAATCCTTCATTAGTAATGATTTTCCGTGCGCCATCTAAACTACCAAAATAATTCATCCGCCAAACTCGCATTAGATACACGTAAAAGATGAATATTGAGTTATATATCGTGCATGCAGTAACCAATGCATCATCTGTCAACATACATTCCACGATACTGAGGACCGTTTAAACCACTCTTTTGATTTTGCAGTCTTGTCTTGACAGTATCTAAAAACAGAAACAGGCCACACACCAACCAGATAAAGCGGGTGAATTCATATTCATTAGATTAGTTGAATAGAAAATGATAAATTCAAATCTGGCTTATGAAATAGCAGCAAGCAGGTCACTTGCCTAGTGGAAATATACTATCAAGCCAATAAAATACAAGATCAGGTAAATTTCCGATAAAAAAGCAATTATTCCATTGTCCAAGCTGAAATTATGACTATTGATATTTCAAAAGTAGTGCTTACAGACAAGTGCCAATGACGCCAGCAATCGCACCGCATACAAGCTTGGCGGGAAGACTGCTACTAACCATAATAGAATGGATCGCCATATATTGTATAACAGCAGCCAGAGATGGTAAGAATGAGTCGGCAATAAACCAGTTGATACTTGCAATTAAATTCCCTACCTGGCAACAACAGGAGCGTTCTGATTCGGATAAGAGATCGACGACTGTTGAAATTCAGAAACCATGATAGCAAAAATGCAAGTCACAAATGCTTTCAATGTATACAAGTAGTTATCTGTAAATTCCAGTGAGTTCTTATTAAAAACTGTAACGATAAGATCCTTAGCAGCAACTCGGCGAATGTGATAATATGCTGCTGTTCAACAATGCTGCTCCATAAATGTAGCGAGTTTTAATCGGCTATAAATCGCAAAATTTAAAGTCCAAATATCTATCACGTGGGCTTGAATTTTTCCACCTATTGTGATAATGCCAATAAGCTGCCAGCACTAAAGATGCTTTGAAATAGCTCAAGCCAATGAGCATCAATCAAGATCTATCTAGTTTACTGATTAGCTGATTTGCTAGTTTTATTTGGCTGATATCTTGCATACCAGCATACAAACTGCCAGTTGCTATTTTTGAGTAGCCGAGAGATGCGATTGCAACCAGTGATAAAGTTGCACCAACATGATTTAATGCTGGACAAGCATTCCAATTTGGCTTTAAACCCCAGATGCAGTTGGTAGTGCATTAATGTATAAATTATACAAAACTGTTTGTTCATCAGCTGCACGTTTATAGTCATATCTTACGATTTGTTCACTCGAAAGTATAACTACAATCACTTCATTTTTGCATAACCATATATTGTACAATCACCGAGTTTAAACCCAGATTCATCCATTGCAACCCAAACACTCAATTCAATCGTTTAAATATTTCCAAACTGTACAAACTCCACTTTGATGACATTTATTTTGGAATGAATAACAATTTCGGCAATAAGTAGTAATGGACACTCGAGTGCTGTGAATCGTCAAATTCAACCAGATCTGATTTATGACCAGCCGATTAGCGACAGAATAAACTAAATGCATGACAATGTTGATCGTACCCGCCATGGCAGATGCAGTTTGCCAATTGGCTGTTTATTTTACTGCTGTTTTGCGTCCATTCACAACTTTGACTTTTTAGAATCTTCAAGGCCCATATCAACCACATACATCTGACACCATGTTTGACAGTCTGTTTGTGATTGATAATAGTGGGCAAGTATATTGACCTACATAATGAGCCATAGTGCTGATTTGCCCATGTTTTGGTCGGTACAATGCAATTGACCCACTTTATGCAACGTTAGGTCTGTCATCATTGAAAAGCATTGGAAGCAGGTCTTGTCTCGTCGAGTGATTGATGAGTTTGTAGTTCAAGTGCAAGGATATCCTATACAGCAAGAGGCTCCTCCTGTACTGTATATAGAAGGGTACTACATGCTATACATCAGCAGACATGACTTGCTGTTTGTATCTGCTGTTCAGACAGAAGGTAATAAACTTTATGTAAACAACAGCGTCAGCTTTATCTACATTATATGAATGCATTGGAAATCATTCTCAACACGTTATATCTGTCACCAATGAAAATGAATCTCGACTAAAACTTGATATCAAATACCAGTTGCGCCGTCCAGCGTCTTCTTCTTCTTGCATCAGATCGTCGAGCTTTTGTACGACTATTTCGGCGGCATGTCTGAGCAGATTCTCAAAGAGAATTTTGTGATTGTGTATGAGCTGCTAGAAGAGTTGGTTGACTATGGATCGCCATACATCACCGAGCCGTGTTTACTCAAGGAGATGATTCCTCCACCATCGCTGCTGGCATCGATGATGAATGCAGTGTCTATTGGGACTCAGTGGGTATACATGTATTGGACAAGACAATGTCTATTTTGACTGGCAGATTCGGATTTTGACTGAATCCGAGTCTTGATGATAGATTCGGCACCAAGCTGCCGACAGGGTATGCATCGACTGTTCCATGGCGATCAACAGGACTCAAATACACCAACAATGAGATATTTTTTGATGTTGTTGAAGAGTTGGATGTTATCATGGACAGGTATGCCATATTGAATGATTTTCATTACGAGACATTAATGGCTCCAAGTGTCTAGTTTATTGCGTGTTTTATAGTCGGATATGGCTGAATGCAAACCATTTGTATTGAACACTTGAATTGCTGTATGCACAGGAACGGGAAAATAGTAGCAGGCGCCATATTTGGAGACATTCTGTGTACCAGTAAGCTTTCTGGTATGCCAGATCTTCTTCTCACATTAGGCAACAAGACTGCGATTGCAGATGGCATGTCGAGTCTACATCCATGTGTTCGTGTAGGACGTTACGAACGAGATCGAACGCTGTCGTTTGTTCCTCCTGATGGAGCGTTTCGCCTGATGGAGTACAAGTGAGTATCTTTATGCATGAGTGTGACTGGAATCTGGCTTGACATTTTGGATTGGTCGTGAAATCTAGTGTTCCAATCCACAGCCAGACTCAGCTTCCCATCCTAGTCAAGCCAACACTGAAATGGAAAAGGAGTGGAGGTATATACTCTGTACTGTCTAGTTTTTCAAATCATTCCATGTTTAAAAACGTTTTAATAATGTGGATTGTCTGCATTGGATGGTTTGCCATCAATATAGGTAAACTAGATATTAGCATTCATCCTAAAATACCAAGCGAAAGGATGATAGATCAGTTGGTGATTACTGCCAATTTGCCCACTGAAGTCTTGTCCATCCGTACCAATCCAACTATAGGACGCTGTAGTTTTGATCCTACCAGCAAGGTATTTTATTGTGGATCTTGGATCAAAAGTCTATTTTAACTAATTGCGTTGATGGCTGTAGGTGCTTACATGGACGATTGGGAAAATGGCAGCAAATCTAACCACATCAGGACTTGCACAATTTACTGGATACCTTGTCACTGAGAATGCGTGAGTGTATCTGCAGTGTTTAGATTGCATTCATGATACTAATAGTTGTAGATCTGTGCTTTCAAATAGAGCGGAGCTGTCTAAGCGATCCAAGAATATAGTGTTTAATGTTGATTTTCGAATCAATATGCATTCAGTATCTGGCATACGCATTGACTCATTGGCAGTTCAAAACGAAGGGTATACTCCGTTCAAGGGAGGTCGAGGATATACAAAGACGGGACGATTTCAAATACGAACGTATTGAATTGCTGGTAATTACAATTCCCAAAACTCGAGTTTCTTTGGTTATAAAGATCAGCATGGTTCTTGGGAATGTGGGTAAGGGCTGGTGTATAATGATGGCTACAACAGCCTTGGCTGGATCAGTGAATGACATTTGAGCAAGATAGTTTGGAACCAAGTGATGGATGTAATAATGAACCGTTTATATCCACTTGTTTTGGACTATTGATACTTTAGAAAGCATAGTTGGGTTATTCATCGTTGCCATTTGCTGGGGGTTCACTAACCCATTCATCAAGTCAGGCAGTAAGGGATTGGAAGCAGTGAGCCTCAAGCATGCATCTAGTTCCTGGTGGACAAGACAGGCAGCGGAACTGTGGTTTCTTGGTACTCGCTGGCAGGCAAGCCTTTTCAATTGCAATGATTATACTTATTTTAACTAGATAGAATCATTAGATGAATGGCTCTAATTACAGATACGGTCTTGATAGTATGTATTGCCCTTGGCAGTGAATCTCAGTGGATCGACAGTTTATTATTACACGTTAGGAGATGCCGACATTTCACTAGCAGTGCCTATTACAAACTCATTAACACTGGCATTGACAGTATTATCTGGAATAGCGCTTGGAGAGTCGTTTGGATCATGGCGTATGTCGTATGAATGATAATCAGGACTATTCTGTATTGCTTCCGTAGACTATAATCCCAATTCATGTTGAATATTAACTTGAACTTCTAAACTGGAACAGGACGGATACTCGGGATGGGATGCGTATTTGTAGGGGTGACATTGTGTGTCAGTTCTAAATTGTCATCGCAATGAATAGCAACAGTGTCATGGGTAGAAGATACTTCATATGAAGTAGGATAATAAAAACGAAGTAATCCCAAGCTCAACGCTGAAACCGGTTCCAAATGTGTGGGTGCGCTTCGTCTCGATTCGAGGTTTACCATCAAGAATTTGTTTTACAACAAAGTTGATATTACAGTTGTCAAATAGATAGTCACACTACTGCTGGGAGAGTAGGCTCACCAAATCAACAGCCATTGCCTTTACTTAGACTCATTGATTGCGATTGACTTTCACTCACTGTTATTCTAGCAACTTGTTCTATTAAATACATTTCCTGTACACATGCAGCAACCATTGCAAGGCCACACACAGCTGCAGATGCAGGCCCAGTCGCACTATGTCAGTATACAGCAGAAACGGAACTCTTATTCCATGCTCGACTTCTTTGATCGGTTTGTCAGGGCTGCAGATGGCACTAAGAACACTTCACTGCCCACTCCCATTTCTCGCCAATTTATTCGCTCAAAAGCGGTTGCTCTCCTCAAGACTGCCAGGATTCCTCCATCTGAAGTGACCATCTTTGAAGACAATTACGGCGGAACTATTTCTATTTCACAAGGTGCTATCAGTGCTATTCATAACTTTGTCAAATTCAGACACTATTCTCGCTGTGCAACCAATATCCAGCGAGTGTGGCGTGGCTATACAACCCGTAGGCAATTGACATCCAATTCGCATTACCAGTCCGGTTTAAAGAGCGTTCCGGCAAATAATCAGTATTACCAGCAGCAACAATACCAGCATCATCAAAAAAAACCTCCATCCACATCATCTTTGTCTACTAAATCTTCAATCAGCGTGGCCACCCATTCATCTCTGCCAACTATTAATGAGCATGCTGTAAGTGAATCGGTTTCTACAGCAACTTCTGCTCAAGTCTCTGGTCAAGAAAATTTTAAAATGCTCCAGCTTGTTGAAAAAATATCCACCAGTTACCACGAGATTGCCAATGCCAGCAAAGTTCAGGCAAGTCAATCTATTTAAACCTAGCATCGTAGTGCTGCGTGTAGTTGTAGCTTGGTATCTCGAAAATTTTCATTTATTCGAAGATTCTCAACTAACAGTTTTGATTCTTTGAATATGCTGCTTTTAGAAACCCGAGCCCACACAGCAAGAAATTGTATTTATGTCGCTGTTAAACTCGAATGAAACATTCGAAGTATCTGACCGCATTCTCAGTGAACTATCCATTGAAGACAAGGTACATTCCTATAAACAGCAGATTGAGTCTGAGTTTAGTCTATGTGAATTTTGATTTACTTACACTTGTATGTATTAGCGTGCATTTCCAATGCCGGCCAATCAAAATGCGCAGAACACACTGTTCATGTATCGAGAGTATTCACCCAAGGTGGTTGAATGGTAAAGTATTGAAAACTGTTTATTTAAAAATTGATGACAATGGAGTGTTTTACCATCCTAGCAATACTTTTTCAGCTCTTCAAATTCTTACATCCGTATCAATTTCCAAAATGTTTTAGGGTATGCAATGTTTTGGACATGAGTATTGATTTCTCAACAGACCTCATCTCTATTTTGCGTAGTGGAGATATATTTTGTCGTTTAGCATGCGCTCTTTATCCTCGAGTAGAGTGCCAGTTGCTAGCAATGGGACCGCGTTTTGCTATTCACAAAATCATTTTTTTCTTGGAGTTGTGTAAATCGTTGCATATCAAGCGTGCACTTTTGTTTACAGTGTCCAATTTGCTGGTTTTTCCTGAGCAAGACAGGGAAAAAAAGGCTGCTCTGATTGTTCTTCGCACTATTCTTGCCCTGGAAAAGCATGCTCGTAATTCTGGATGGGATGGTCCTGTACTAAGTTTAAAAAATCTCGGAAGTGACGAACAGACTAGCTCATCTTATGAGGGCTTTGACAACAGCTATGAGATGCCGTTTTCCGCTGCTCAGGATACTAATCATCATATTAATATGCAGCCCTTGGTGGAATCTAACTCTTTAAAAAATCGTGATACCAGTAGTCCAGACAAAGATTATCCACCTCTTGCACCTTTTCAGGAAGATTTACAGAATAACAATAATGCATTAATACCAAGCATTGCTCAGCCATTAAGTTCTGGTGAAATTAGTACTCAGGTTAGCACCTATTTGGTTCCCAATTTTCATACAAGAAAAAGTATTATAGCTAACACCACATTTTCATTACCTATAAATAATCAGCGTGCATCACCAGTTTTAACAGATCGTTCTTCTCAATGGGGTTCTTCACGACATGTCAACTCCTATGTACAACCATATACTAGTCCTAAACTTGGTGAAAACTTGAGACGATTTTCTAATGTTTCTGCAAACCAATATTCAAACAGCTCATATCCTACATCTGACTCGGAAGCTGATGCATCTGCGAGTCTTCCACGCTCTATTGGTGGGGACTCTCCCACTGATAGGTTGGTGCCAGTATCTCAAAGCTCGGCTTTACCTGTTTCAGGAAGCTATTCGACCAATCATTTAATTTCAACTCCACCTCCAACACGCAATTTACCCTCACCTGGTCCTTCACGATCATCTGAAGACCCAGCCACCAGCACATTTATGAGAGAAGTAAATGCTTCATCTCGGTCATCTCCTTCAGAATTAAAGCAAAAAGTCTTGGCTTTGGGACAATCTTTTTCCACATCAAATGGTTCCAATTTTGAGGATTCCAGATCTATCTTGAATGATTCACTTGATGCCAAACTTGCTAGTCGAAACCGAGCAATTTCTATATTTATTGAAGACGAGGTATACTCAATGCTAATTTTCCTATCTTGCCAAAACAATTGGTCTGTTGAATTGCAATCATACTAAGCCATGTCTTGTGATATAGATCAAGTTCTCCACCAATTTGTCACATATAGTTCAATACCTTGATTATCTGGTCAAAAAGCGATGTCGTCGTAGCAACCGCTTGAGTAAAGCCATTGAGGATAAAGTGTTCAAGGAAAAAGAGTCTATTTCAAAAGCCGAAACATCTTTATACCCTGAAAACCAAAAGCGATCTGCTGGCGAATCGAATATTGCTTATATTGTACGACTTGAATCAGAAATTGAGGGGCTTACTATTTTGCAGTCTATGGCTCGCAACATTCTGACCATCCACTCTGATTTCATTACAGAAATCAATTCTGCAGTTCAACTCGATGGTGCACCTGGCAGTTCAAAAACCACCAAAATTGGTGATATTTTTTTAAAGTTTTCCGAAAAGATCCGCCGTCCGTATGCATGTTTCTCTGTTGTTGCTCTGGGTCCAAACAAAACTAGACCAGATATAGGAGAGTATAGTGATGTGGAGCACAATGCTTTTATACAGATTGTTGTTCAAAACTTTATATTTCTATCATCGGATGCTCTTACTAAAGGCGATACCTGGAAATGGTTTATTAGTCGCCCATTACTTCGTGTTGCAACATATGCGTCGTTTTTAAACTGCATATGTGACTCGGAGTGCTCTATTCAAGCCATTGATATAGACAATCGTAAAGTCAAGCTGGCTGGAATTAGATTGAATTGTCTTGCTAAAATCATCTCTGGAGGACTGTCGATTTGATGCAATTCCTAATACTGAATGTGATTCACTTGATATTATTAAACGGCAAATAAAATAGACTTTTCAGCATTGAGATGTTGGAATTTGCCAAATGATTGCGGGTTTTCTGCTTATCTTTCAACTTTTAACCAATTCAACAATCGATAAAAACAATGTCAGCATCACTCATTGAGATTGCCAGAACATTCAACAGTTTCACCAGTGCAGCAGAAAAAAGTGTTTTGTTCTCTACCAAACAGAATCCATCCACTCCATCTTCAAAGCAGCTTTACATAGCCAACACTTTAGTTGGCTTTGTTCCTCCATTTGCCATTGAAGCCTTTTCAAAGTCATCGTACTTTACGTCAACACCTATATCCATTACACTTGTTCCAAGTTTATTGTCATATCAGCAACGCACACATGCAATAGCCAGCATGCTATCTGCATGGAAATCATCTGGTCTGTTTGAGTGTTTAAAGGGATGGCGCAATGAGCAGTATACTGTCTACGGATCCAACAACGAGCCTATTGTTGCCATTGAACGATCAGCAATTGGATTGTTTGGTGTACGGTCTTATGGATGCCATTTAAATGGATACGTACGAACAGTGGATGCTCATCACCAGTCTACCATCAAGATGTGGGTTGCACGACGATCTTATCGAAAACAAACGAATCCAGGCATGTTAGATAATATTGTAGGCGGAGGTCTGCCTTGTGGAGCCAATCCAACAGCCAACATCATCAAGGAGAGTTTTGAGGAAGCAGGTATTTCTTCTGACATAGCATCTCGAGCCATCTCTGTTGGAGTCGTCTCCTTTTGGCAAGACTCTTCCATCAGGGGATACATCCCCGACACGGAATTCTGCTATGATCTTGAATTGGACGCATCATTTATTCCACATCCAGCAGATGGCGAAGTAGAAGAGTTTTTCTTGTGGGATTTGGAAACAGTCAAGGATCATTTGAGCAAGGGAGAATTCACTCCAGAAGCTGGGTTGGTCGTTGTGGATTTTTTAATACGACACGGAGCTGTTCATCCACTTTCTGAACCAGCATTTCTAGAACTGTCGTTGTTGCTCCGTCGTGAATTTCCTTTTCCCGGACCTTCGTTTGTGTGAATCAGTTTTTTGCGATTGGGATATATTTCAAAGCTTGCAAAAATAATACGTATCAATCTGAATAAATGATCCAGCTATGTTTAGATGGCTTGAATTCATTTAAATTCTTTTGGTGTTTGTTTGGACCAAGTGTATGGAACACTGCATGAATCAGTATACAATCTAAAAGCTCGAATGTATCGAATAGTTTGTTCATTATAATGTGGGTACGTTTGGATACTGTTATAAAATATATATATTAGGAATGGATAGACCTCGATAAACCAAGATTTGATATGTCATGGATATATGGACTATGTACATAGAAATATACCAAAAATTGTCATCAGGTAGCAGCTCACGCTCAACGCAGGTAAATATCCAGATACAGCAATTGAATCGGAATACATTTGTAATCTAAACAAAATGCTAAAGTTGTCTAATTCTTGAATGCAACAAACTGGACTAATATAATCTGTGATACAGCCTAGATGGAATGCCTCTTTGAAAATATATAACCTAAAATGATAAAGTATTTGTCTAAAAACAAATAGAAAAGTCCGCCCACCATCGACTCCGTTTTTTACGATGTGCTTTTCCAGATTCGCCTTTTACAACAGGTGCAACAGAAGAAATACCAGAAACAGAAGGTTTGTTTAGCGAATCTATCACAGGATACGAAGTCGTCTGAGGCGTATGTGCCTGGAGCGGGAAGCGTTCAATGGAGGATCTGATGACGGTGGGCTTTAGATTGGAATTAATCGTCAGCTGATGAGTTGAACAAACACCTTTTGATTGATCAAGCAAACCGTTGTTGACCCACCGAGGTTGGCAGGCTACATCACCTAGCGTGTGGCTAGATGTGCCAAAATGGCCTGTGGGTGATTCTTGATGACTACTGCTTGCCAGAGAAAATGATCGAACTACTCGAGTAAAGATAGGCTATGTATATTGTCAGTGACATATGTACTGTAGAGTTAGCGCGTAATTCAAGCTTCAATCCATCCAAAAATGATATCATTGAAGCATTATATATCGTTATTGTTTGTAGTCATTATCCATCAGTTGAATTCCAGTCAAGAATAGCAATTACCTCTTGGATAGTGTTTGTAGAGTATGACGGAGTGGGCGAAGCAATTTTATCTAATCGGTCGACACAATAAAGATCCCCCGGATCAGTTTTGATGGGGTATGGTATATTACCTGTAGTCATTTCAGGCACATTTATACACGACTTTGCAGCATCAATAGATGAAAACGGAATTTTCCCAGTTGCAGTTGTGGGCGTTTCTGGACCAGTCATATCGGGGCTAATAGTTTGCTCAGGAAGTTTGGGTGTTTTGTTTTTCTCCAGAATTTGATGGTCACTTGAGAGATCGTTGGATGGTCGAGCTTGGCTGTGATTTTCAGTCGATGGTGTAGGACTACCAGTGTGCTTTATGTCCCAATCGTACTGAACATTCTCTGGCATCTTTGAGCTTTTAAACAGCTCGTCAAGAAAATGTAACATCAGCTTATAATCTGGCACATCTTCATAACTTAATGTTTTCAGATACGAATAAATCGATAGTACAGGTTGTGGCAATTCAGCCACAAGTTGTGGATTTGTCAACTCCTTTTTCATGACGCCAATCTTTTCCTTTTCCCTCCCTTTCCAGGGTAGAGCACCAGTGAGAAACTCGACAATAATATAAAAAAGTGACCACAAATCGTCTACACGACAAAGTTCCTGATGTAATAGAGTGATCACAATTTTTAAAGAGCTTGTGGCTTTAGTATCAATTGATTACCTAATACAATTTAAAAGTGTGAGCTGGCACTTACGGTTCCGCAGTGTGCTGAGATGGATGCATATCTTGCAGTTCCACGAAATCCAACTTTGGTGCGAGCCTAAATACCATGAAACTATAAATATATCTGACCTAATGCATGAATGTGAATGATGATCAATTACCTCGCGAACTTTTCCAGACGATGAAAGATATCTCCGCGACAATCCAAAGTCAATGAGAAAACATCTTAGCCGCCTACACTCGTCAATATAAGTGGACCCTTGAGAGGCTATACAGAAATTTCCTGGTTTGATATCACGATGAAGAAATCCAATTTCGTGGGCAGATTGTATCCCTAGAAGCATTTGCTTTGCTAACAATGCAGTGGTTGCTATACTGAATTTTCCTCCCAGTTGCTTACGAAGATCCGATAGACTGCAATAAATAGGCATAGTTTTAATTTTGGATATGTTGATTTAACCATAGGCTATCAAGTAGAGCATCAAATTTAAAGATTCAAAACTTGAAATGACAAATATATATCAACTTTACTTTGAGCCCAGGAGTTCCATTACAAGGTAGCTGTAAATGCTGTCGTTTGAATCCTTCGAGGAGCTTTTATCGTGCTGAACTGGAGAGCTTAATGGAGAAATAAACCGCCCACAGGCAATAATTTTACATACATGTGATGAGGCTACATGGCAAAGTGCATTGATTAGTTTTTGGGTTGAGCATGAAATCAACATCTTGCACCGACATGCCACAAAAATCAATAAATATACCTTGTAGCTTTTGAAGAATAGCTACCTCTAGTTTCAAGACCGGCTTTTTACAATCTGGGGATTCAACTTTGACAGCTACATGCTCCTTTGTAGTCAAATCTACTGCTAGGTATACCTCACCAAAAGCACCCTTGCCAATTACTTTAATCTGAAAAGTAGATGACCAATAGAAACAGTCAAAAGTCAAACTCTTGGATTACCCGATGGGGTTGAATCATTAAAGACGGTATCAGCCCCTCATATCAGCCAATATGCCAGATGCAATATCAGCAAATAAGTTGGACATTAATTAACAGGACGCGGCAAGCTTACCAGTTTCCACCTGCTCTTGATAATAGTATCTTCAAGAGTGTGGCCAAGTTGCGGGCCAGTTTGTGTTTCAACTGGTTGTTCGTAAGGCTTGACTGGTACTTGTATAGAGGCTGTAGTAGGCTGTATGCATGTTGATGCTCTCAGAGCACTCAACATATCGAAAATACTGAAAGTATCAATAGATAAAGATTAAAAGTTGGCGGAGGCGGAGATTATGTTAAACTGAGCGAAGCAATAAAGTGGTCAGTCTTTATGGTGTCGATATACTGCTAAATTGGTATCCAGTGAGTATCGAAAGATGTAAGTATTGTATATTATTATAAAAAACATGTTCATATATGGCTATATCTTTAAAAAGTAGATTTGTAAATTCGAAACTAATTCAAGTTTGCTCAAGCATATAGCATCGAATGGATCTGATATTCAATTAAACAAAGTCGTATCAAGCAGACTCAAACCTACTATAAAAATTGAGAGGAGCTTGAGATGGTAATCACCAAAGAATATCAGAAACAAGTGCAGTAAATACAATCTGATGTTCTTTTCATCCAATTTTAGTCTAGTGACTGTCAAACTCGGCTGGCAATCGAATCTGTTAAATACCAATGCGTTTTAAGGCTGAGGGAATAGAACGGCTATTCAGCAGTTGTAATAGGCGGAAATGCGAGTCTATTTAGCTGCCATACCTAAGCTCAGATCAGATGATTAATTAGACCATGTGGGGAAGCAAGTGAATGCGTCGCGAAAAACTCCGTCATTTATTCTTCACGGGTAGTTGCTGTAACAACCTAGATCTCCAGTAATGTCAGAGCGCTCGATAGTAGATGTGGCATCATTGATCGTTTGTCATTCAAGAGCGATGATATTCTACCTACAAGGAACTTGACTGGAATAATGGCTTTGATGTTTAGCCACTCGACAGTATCACAGCGTATTCGTATGAAATGCAACACTTTTATTCAGTCTCTGTTTTGCTTTGGAATAGACAGTATTTGTTGACTCTTATTAGAAATCGATTTGATAGATATTCTCATTTCTTTCAAATACAACATCTATATACGATGCTCACAATCAGACTATAGTTTTGAGCGTGCCCTTTCTCTACATTTGGTAGTCATACATTATACAATCACCAAGTTTAAACTCAAATCCATGTATTGCAATCCATATGTTGATTTGACTGCTCTGATGCTATCAATCAAACTCTGTAAACTCTTTGTTGTATTCTGAATCACAGACATGTTCACGTTCAACAAACCAGTGATTGCAATCTCAGGAATGCAACTGTTGTATGCATGTCAACTACCCAATGTCATAATGTTTGGTTTGTACAAAAGAAGAGTCGGAGATTGAGCAAGTGCCAAGGATGTGGGATCTATTGAAGCTGTGATATGATTAAATATTTGTTCAGTTCTTAGCGTTCCATTCTGTGAATACAGCTGTGACATTAATTCACAAGAAATATATTTAAAAAGCAATAGTTTGAATCTGCAATATTCAAAGTATGCATTTAAAACACCTATTATCAATCCCATCCATCATCATCATCCTCATCCTTTCGAGACGCAGAACTTTTAGAAATATGAGAAAAGCCAGTTCGAATGCTTCTACGAGTGTTTTGATCGTCGTCGTCATCATCCTTTCGTTCATTGTTCTTGGCCATTGAATCAGCAGAGATTGCTCCGAGTGTAGCAAGGACTGTTTCTACAGATTCAACAGTAGCCCCAGCACCTCCAAACGCATCCATTCCAATCAGTTGCTTTCTCATATCACCTTCTCCATAGATTAATAGCGTTGGAAGGTTCTTGTCGGGATAGTTGGGAATGCACAGATCTGCCACAATCTTGCAAAATTTGGTGCTCTTGTGTTTTTCAGCGAGTCTATCCAGAATAGCATTCAGCAGTTTGCACGATGAAGCATAACTTTGGAACATATGAACCACCACCCATGCAGTCTTGCTAGCCTCTGTGACCTGAATGTTATAGTCTGGTTTAGAGATCTGAATCACGCTACCAAACCTCTCTGCTGCCAGCTGTGCCTTCATATCTGCCATACGCTGTCTGCGATATGATCTGATAAAAAGGGAATGTCAATAAAAAGGTAGTACTGGATGGTTAGCTGAGCTGTTCAGTTCATCTTTATGGAAAAGAAGTTGGACTATCACTTGATGTCATCCAATACTATAATGCAAATGTCATACTCTAGCACCCTGTCGTCTTCTAGATCCTCCAGTTCATCTAGCTCATCCAGCGTCCTGTCTTCAAGAGCCTTTCCGTGCTGCATCTCATGGACAGTTTTGTCTATCATTTGTGCAATCTCATCTTCGGTAATCTCAAGTTCTTTAGGCTTAGGCGGTAAAATGCCTTTGTCTCGGAGTACATCGTTCCATTCTAAATATGGGTCAGATACAGAGAATATAGGGTTACATGTTGTGTACTTTAAGTGTTTTTGATAAATTCAAGCCGTCTATACAACGACACATACACATTGTACAGGATGATTGGATCTACCTGTATCCTCCGACATTGTTTTGGATAAACCAGAACAGATTGCTATTTTTATCGAGGTGGAATTTCAGATAATTTTGGCCAAAAAGCAGCATTTGGCCATAGCAGCAGCATTTAATCAAAACCCATTTTGATGTAAAACTATTAAACTTTACAGCTAGTGACAATGGACAGCAGTAAACAGTCGAATACTCAAGACGATGTCAAGAGGTGACTTGCTTGCATTCTCTACCATTGCATTGAATTGCTATTAACTCTTGTGCTTCGACTCGGTTTAGATTTTTAGAGGATCTGGACAGTATTACTGGCCCTCCAAAACCCAACTCATCCTCTACTGCATTGAATACAGTCAAACCACCAGTGTCTACCTCAAAGGATATTCTAAGTTTCTTGGATGAAATAGATGCTCCGCCAATACAAGTCACCTCTGCTCCTGAAATAAATACCTTTACAAAGCCTGCAGCTGTGGATCTGGCTCCTATTGTTACTACAGCAGCAAAGCCATCCTTGCCACAAGTGTCCAAGCCAATCGCAAGACCGCCTCCAAAAACAACTGCACTGCTTAATACTGCCAGTATTCCTGTTGGAACTTTATCTACTGGTGCACCAGCTGATATTCCTACTCTCCCCTCTGATATTCCTTCTGGTTCATCAGCTCAATCTAAACCACAGGAGCAACCACTTCCGTCTACAGACCAATCTCTGCAACAGCAACTGCCAAACAACTGGTCATGGGGAACAATTTGGTCATCCGCCGCATCTGCTACTGTAAAAGGTTTAGAAAGCATGCAGACTATAGCCGAACATACTGCTCAGACCATATCTTCTAATGATAAAGTACGCGGCATTTATGCAGGCATGGCACCTGAGATTAACCGTCTTGGTGCAGATTTATCAAGCTTTGCAAAGATATCGGCAACCACTATCGCTGATACAATTGCTCCTCCTATCCATCGTTTTGGTTCACATGGAGCTTCGTTTGCCCCAACTATCAACGTCTGGTTTTGTGCTGATATTTCTGATGTACAGGTCCTGGAACAATTGCATAATTTTGTACAGTCCACGCTGGATGAAATGTGGATCAAGCCATTTATGCCTGCGGATTCCAAAACAGGTGTACCTCTTTCTGCCGATATAAACCCACGCATTGTTCAAGTATGTGATCGTGTTGCTGTAAATAGCATCCATAATCCAGAGCCAGTGATGGCCAAAAATGTCAACGAAGCCATTGTCCATTCAGAGACCATGATTTCAAGATTGCAGACTTTGTCTCAAGCTAAAAAAGATGAAGCTGTTGAAAACAGGGGCCAGAATGCCATGGCAGGAAAGGCTGACCAGTCTGCTCCAGATCGAGAATGTTTTTTGGTAATTCAGCCTTACTCGACTATTTTACCTTCATCCCAGCTATTTGATGCCACCAAACATATCCAGTATTTTACCACAATGGTATGTGACGCAGGTGATTTGGGAATGATTGCGCCATTAACTATTTCTCAATCAGTCGCTATTCGGAATCCATCTACACAATCTGAAGCACATTGGGCTGCATGGGAACAGACACTGCATCGCCGCGTCATTGAGACAGTGATTGCGGATTTGTGTGAGGAGTTTGTGGTTGCCGTTAGGTTTTAATAAAACTGTTTGAATGGATGGTGATGGCATTGAATGACTGGTGGATTCTATAGCTATTTCAAAGAATTCAAGTATAGACTTCAATGGCTTGCAAAGTGAAGTTCAAGACTTTCAAGTGTTGTAGAAAACTGGTGTATCATCTGAGGGTTCACATTACACTCTTTACTCAACATTGGGTTGAATCTCCAACTATCAGAAAACAAGCTTTATTGCATCTCTAAAAACAGGCTCAAAATTTCTATTGACCAATTAAAAACAAGTTCATTCTAAAACTAAAGTTTAATTTTTACTCATTGTTGCTCGTCAAATTTCGACTGATCTCCATCCAATGTAGTCGAGTAGTAGAGTGACTGATGAGTTAAAGAAGGTGCAGTCATGGAAGATTGGGCTATATGATCCGATAGTTCATGGTTTGATTCACATAGACTGCCGTGATGATCTAAGGTGGTATAGTCTGGAAAAGCTGTTGAACTATCATGGGCTAAAAAAGTTGTATCTGAGAATGGCCGTGCATCAGGCAAAGTATAACTAGCAGATCCATGAAGAGCAGGCTCTGACTTTATGGCTTTGAGAGTCAACTCGGCTACAGAATCAGATTGCAATAACCCATCCACAAAGGCAGCATTAGGCTTAGAAATGCCCTCAACATCAACACAAGATGGCTTGGTTACAAGAGGTGTGCTGGTCGAGGTTAGCAACGAATTATCAGAGTGAGAATTCTGTTCAAGTGATCTTGCCATGAGATCAGTGTAAGATCTCGATTCCTTTTTCTTTTTGGTAGATTCCTTTAGTTTATCCCAGCGTTCTCTGTATTTGGTAATAACGAGGTTCTAAAAATGTCGATTCAAATCATCTTACATGTTACTACAGCATGTAAAGTGTAATTCCTGCTACAAAACAACATATAGATATAACCAACCTGCTGCTCTAGTTCCGATTTTACAACTGTTAGTTCATTCTCCAAATGTGCTATACGATCTTTAAGGCCTTTTATCATAGTTGACGAATTTGAATCAGATTCCTGAGACACAGACATGGCCAAGTCTGCAGATTTCTGGGAACTGCCCAATGATCCCTGAGACAGTCCTGCACCGACAAAATTCTGCATTACCGAGCTATACATGCTATTTCCATTCATGGTTCCAGAATAATATCGTTTGGCGTGTTTTTGTACATCACTACGGAGTTGAAGAATGCTACTTTTTAAAATTGTATTCTCATCTGCCGCCTGAAAAGTACAGGTATCAGTTACAAACTCAAATTTGATAGCAATGAAGCTAAGCAGATCGATAGGAAAACTGCATTAAAACAACAGTAGCAATACTCACTCTTTCAAAATGAACCATTTGTTGTGTGAGTTTATCTACAATTTGCTTGAGATGATTATTCTCAATGCGGTATTCCTCCAGCGTTTTTTTCCCACTAATGGAGCTGTAAACAATCAAGTTTAGCACAACAAACAATAAATGTACAGTTTTAAACATAAATTTTACAGTTGATTGGTTTACATTAAAACAGTAAGCAATCATGCTCCAAACATTAGACTAAATTACCTACAAACGTCCTCCAATCTAACATTTGTATACGACCCAGTATTTCCTTGGATTTGATTAAAGGGAGTGTCAACAAGTCCGTGATACTTTAATGCTTGTTGTGTCTGATTCAAAGTGCCAGATGCATCAGAATCAAAAGGCATATCTGGTGACACTAGTAAATATGATTGCATGATCCCCGTGTTGTTTTGTGTATCAGAAGAGTCAGCCTGGGTTTCAATAGTGCGAATAAAAGTCTTTTGCATAGTCGAGTCTAAATTCATGTCAAAGCATGGTATGCATGATGTGAGATTACAACATAAAAATCAACACATCAATAGAAAAAATAAAAACAAGTATCTGTACTATGCTGTGATGACTGTAAGGGTTTAGCCGGAATTCCTTGAAAAGATCGTTGTCCATCATGGAGTGGAGCAGTAGCAAACGCGACAGGTCCACTCAGTGAAATCTCACCAACTAATCTCTCGACAGATTCCCAAAATTTGTTGAATGGGTCATCAGGTGCGACGCTCTAAAAATCAAACCGCAAGTCAAAAAGTGTATTTTGAATGAGAAAATATAAACTGGTAATGATAAACTCTGCAATAGATCAATCTAAATTTAAACCTACTTTTCTAATCTCCTTTGCATTATCATCTAAAACAAGATATGAGTTGGCAATTGATTCTAGCATGACATCAGATTTGTCCAGTGATTTAACAGGAACAGTTGCAGGATTTGAAAAATAAGCAGGGTTGATTTGGTCTCTTAGTCCTCCAGTCAGTACTCTTCCAGAAACAGGTTTTGAAGCACCTGTAGTTGTAGCAAAGGTTTTGATCCGGTCGGTTGGTAGTCCCTGAGATGCTTTTTTTAAATCACCACCACCTCCAGAATAATCAGCAGCATTAGACAATGGTTTTAAAAGCGATGTCGTACCAGAACCTGTGGGAAAAGGAGATTGTCGGTCTGGTAGCATTGCGCTGTCTGTTTGTGATTGACCAACAAAAAACTGTCTAGAGCCAAGCATAGATCCTTCAGATCGATTTTCAGACGCATTTGGGTCGATAGGAGAAGTCGGACTGTGTTTTCCACGAAACTCGCCAGAATAAAAGTGTATTGCAGCTGAATGTGGCTGGTTTGGTGCAACTAGACCGGAAAACATCTTGTGGTGGTTTTTATTTAGCGATTGTGTCTTTGGTAATGTTCCTGTTGTACCAGCATTGGTATCTAAAAGTGTAGCAGTTGATAGTTGTTCTTCAGGGTTAGGTAATGAAACTGGTGATGGAATTTGTCGGGATGTTGCTGCGGTTGCCAAAGGTACAGATCCTTGTGATGATGAAGCCTCTTGGGCTATGCGTCTTTGTAATTCCTTTCCGCTTCGAGTGTGACTAGCATACAATAATTTTAAGGTTTTAACAGCCTTGAAATAAATAATAGAGTATAGTATTATTAGTATTACGTGAATGTTAGTTGTCATTAATGTCACAGCTGTATTCACAGAATGGAACGCTAAGAACTGAACAAATATTTAATCATATCACAGCTTCAATGGATCCCACATCCTTGGCACTTGCTCAATCTCCGACTCTTCTTTTGTACAAACCAAACATTATGGCATTGGGTAGTTGACATGCCTACAACAGTTGCATTCCTGAGATTGCAATCACTGGTTTGTTGAACGTGAACATGTCTGTGATTCAGAATACAACAAAGAGTTTACAGAGTTTGATTGATAGCATCAGAGCAGTCAAATCAACATATGGATTGCAATACATGGATTTGAGTTTAAACTTGGTGATTGTATAATGTATGACTACCAAATGTAGAGAAAGGGCACGCTCAAAACTATAGTCTGATTGTGAGCATCGTATATAGATGTTGTATTTGAAAGAAATGAGAATATCTATCAAATCGATTTCTAATAAGAGTCAACAAATACTGTCTATTCCAAAGCAAAACAGAGACTGAATAAAAGTGTTGCATTTCATACGAATACAATTAAATTGGAATTAAAGTTGAAGCCAACTATACAACATTTGAGTAGTAGTTCCTAAACTATGCTATATATCACAGATTTGAAATCCATGCATCGATCATTTGGTGACTGTTTTTATAAACTATAGAGAATTTTTTAACAGGGATTAAAAAGGCATTTCATACCTCTGGATCAGTGGTATCATTCATGGCCAGTAGATATTGCTCTATACCAATATTCAAGTGTCAGTACGTAATATTTTAGTGCAAATCAATTAACTAATGTAGTTAAATATAATGCTTCAAAATGAGTCCAGATCAAGCGTAGTTTAGTGATGGTTTGCGACCTACCTGCTGCTCTAAAATGCAATTCCACCGCTTTGAGCAACTGCCCTCGTGCAGTGTATTCTTCAGCTGCAGTGGCAAAGCCATTGGCCTATAGTTTCATCATAGTTTGGCATCCAAGCACATAATCCAGCATAATGCCATATGATCACAAATGTAAGTATTGTTTCTATTTTCCTTGACAATGATTGTCACTTGGGATCTCTGGATTCAAACCACATAAAAGACTGCCACAAGACCGACATCATGTATAGCAGAAGGCTGTATGAACCTAAACCCAAATACAACCTTTTGTGCAGGAGAAAAATCTGCACCATCCATGGCACTTGTGTGCTAAAATAAGTATGGTTGAATCAAATGGTTTGAAGGTATTCTACACTAGCTTGTAGTATGGGGCAATACTGTTTTCAAGCTCAGATTCACGTAAAATGCAACTTGTATTTTGTCTAGGAATAAACAATGCTTAAATGTTGGCTGTTTTTCTACTACAAATTGTAGTCTCGATTCAATAGTGTTCATCGTATGAACACTATTGAATTGAATGTATTCTTTTTCCTCTTTTGATATAGTCTTGTATTGCACAATCTCTGATATTGAGTTGGACGGTTTTGGTGTTGTCAAGCTCTGTTGTATTGAATCCCACAAGTACGTTCGCATTCCTAGTTCAAAAAACAAGATTGCAGCCATTGTTTCCATGCCAACCAACTCAACATTGGAAATGTTTATTTTGGAGAGTCGGAGATTGAACAGGTGGGATTTACTGGAACTGAATTGTAACAATTCAGTTTTTATAAACAAGCACGAGTAATGGTCAGCTAATGAGTTCAAAACAATGTTGTCCAGTAAATTGGCATCAATTATTCCATGAGATTGGCAGTTTATTAACATTGACACTTGTGTTCCATTTTACATGAATACGGCTGTAAAGTTTAATTGAATCTTTACTGCGTCACAACTCAGATTTAGAGACTGGACTCTAACTGCATACTTTATTTTGGGGTCTGTGACTTGAATCGCCAAATCAAATTCAATTTGCATTTCGTAATTCAATCTTGTTTGTCGAGGTCCAACAAGAGCATTGCCAAGTGCTTGCCTAGCCGATTAATTTGGTGATAGTATCTGTTGTGAAACAGAATGAGCAATAATCTTTATTCATTATGCAAGGAAATTTTCCCTCCTTCAGGAATCGACTATGCTGTATCTGCAAGGTTTCTGACTCCAGATGCTCGCAACGTTGTCATTGCTCGAGGATCGTTGTTACAAGTGTTTAAAGTTATAGAAAGGGACACTACTGTGGCTTTTAGTAGTTCTTTAAACAATTTAAATTCAACAGATCTTGACACTAATGGAGATCAAGCCAAGGTAACCATGTGCCTATTTGAATGCGTTTATCACTCCATGGATTTTCAGTTATGATGTAGATCTGGTTCTCCATGATAAGTTTTGCATATATTTGAAATGAATTTATATTTATAATATTGATATTTTATAAACTGCTGTGCAAAATACTTTCAGACGACTAAAGATCAGGATATTCCTCCCAAAGCTGCCTGTCTGGAGTTGGCTGCGCAATTCAGAGTTCATGGAAATATCACATCGTTGGGTGTGGTTCCAATGAACTATTCTGGAAAGGCTGATGCGCTTTTGTTGAGTTTCAAGGAGGCCAAGGTAGGTGTGCTAGTTTGACAAATTAGTGCTGCAATTCGGGCGACTGAAGTTGAACATTTCAACCGCTTTTAAAGTCCCTTTTCAAGTTTATTTGGAGTTACTTGCTGATTTATATTTTATACTTAGATGTCATTGGTGGAATACTCACAGTTTACTCAAAAACTAGTAACAGTATCCATGCACTATTTTGAACGCGAAGAGTTTAAGGTGCTTTTGAATTTGTATACTGATTGATCAAATATATACGCAGTAGCAGTTGCTATGATTGTGTTGAAATGGAATAGATAAAGCTTTTTAACTATTTTATTCAACTTGTCTATGTTTACACCATCTTATGTGTATTCAATTCAACCCAAGCAGAAACTAGGCTCTATTGACAGACCACCGCCAGAAATCAAAGTTGATCCTCAAGGCTATTGTGCTGCCATGAGAATTTATGGAGACAGGCTTGCCATTCTCCCGTTTAAACAAGATGGTGCAGATCTGCTTAATGATCTTAATGACGCGAACAGGTAATGTGCTCAGAGTATGGCTTGGTTGTTTATTCAATATCTATGTAATTAACTGCTAGATACAATTTGAATATTTCTTTTATTCCAAGTATTTTAAATTACTAACGCATTTTACAACAATCTCGACTATAACAGCAAATATCCATTTCGTCCAAGCATTGTACTACCGTTTCTTGATTTGGACAAGTCTATTCGAAACATTATTGACTTTACTTTTCTTTTTGGATACGCTGTGCCTACAATTGCTATTATGTATCAAACAGAACAAACTTGGACCGCGTGAGTTTTTATCTGAGTGGTTTTAATATGCATACTTTATCAATACTACACGATAGGATTTGCAATTTTGTTTAGATGACTGATTGCATTGGTAATGTGTATATGAATTTCTAACGGTTTGTGATGGCTTGGTATAATATAGTCGTCTAGGTATCCGTAAAGACACAGTTTCAATTGCAGTTATTTCTCTAGATACTGCTGAAGAAAGTTATCCTGTTCTTTACAAAATTGAAAAGCTTCCTTATAATTGCACAATGCTCGTCTCTGTCCCGACTCCTATTGGAGGTCTTATTGTTCTTTCTCACAATGCGATTATTTTCACAGATCAAATTCATGCTCCAGGAATAGCATGCATTGTAAATGCTTATTTTGACAGCGAAACAAACATCATGCTAACACCGTACGAGCTTCAGCTTGACATGGTGCAGCCTCGACCACCAAGACCCCCATCCGTGTTTTTTGCACAGAACAAATATACGGATTACAAAGAGCTGGCCATCTCTCTTGACGGAAGTCGTGGAATGTTTATCAGTCCAGATATATTTTTACTGGTGCTTCGTGACGGTGAAATGATTCAAGTAGATTTGATAGGTGAGGAGGGTGTTGGCAGATCTTGGAAGCGGCGAAAAGGCGGAGTCAAGAGTTTTCAATTGACTCGGCTCGGCATTCGTATGACTGCTCCAGTTCATCTTTTTCCTTTGGCCGATGCCTCAAATCCGCTTTCACTTTCTGGCCGAAATAGTTCTGTCCCACTTGGTGGCTCTTTTTTAGGATCGCGAGGATCAAAGCTACGCTATAATTATCTGTTTGCCTCATCACGAACAACCGATGCTTGTCTTTTGCAGTTTGTTGAAGTAGAAGAATTTGCCAAAAGCAGTGTGTCTATGAATGGTGCTGCTAATATGAACAACACTGACAACGGCGAGGACGATGAATTAGACAAAGATCTATATGGTGACTCGACTACCGCAAAGCAAACAGATACTGACATGTCTGCACTTCTAAGCTCAGACGAGCATGGTCATGGTGAAATAGTTTCCGAGCAAACACTTCGATTTCGACTATGCGATTCGGTTACTGTAGTGAGCCCTCTTCGTGACTTTGCTGTTGGACTACCAGCCGAGACTTCTGAGCATAGATTTTCACCAAAAATAGGTGGATGCGACTTGGAAATTGTTGCTGCAACAGGCCATGGGCCTCATGGTCATCTTGCAATTTTAAATCGCAGTGTACGACCACAGATTGTAACAACATTTGAACTTCCACAAATTGAAGAAATGTGGACTATTCGATGTGCCAAGTTTGACAAGGATTATCGTCTAGTTTCAGAGCCTACTGATGCGTTCCATAAATATGTTATACTATCGCATAGTAGTGGTACTTCTATTTTAAAAGCTGGCGAGGCATTTACAGAAATGGACGATACTACGTTTTATCAAGCCGGACCAACTGTCGGTGTCGGCGCACTTCTTGATGAAACCATTATTGTTCAAGTTCATCCAAATGGCGTTATTCTTTTTGATTTTAGCAAGTATATTTGTCTAGCATTGAAATTTAAAAAGATATGATTTTACTATCATTGATCGATTGAATACTAATCGAATGCATGCATTGTATATTTTTGTAGAAGGGACAAAACTTCAAGAAATGCGAGTTGGAGATGATGATATTTGGGTAATCTCCTGTTCATTTATGGATCCCTACGCTATGCTTCTTATGAATACTGGGCATATTGTACTGCTTTCATTAGATGAAACAACACATCAAATTACGCAGATATCAGAATACAAGGTACGATTGGTCTTGATACATTGGTTATCTAACATTTGATTGTATATTGTCGAGCTTTTTGATTTAATCATGTCAGTCGTTTTTGGGAATATATAGAAGCGACTTGTGAGTACCTTTTCACTGTACTGTGATCCAACAGGAGGTACATTACTGCCAACAAACGAATTGGCAAGTGTATCACATGCAAGTCTACTCACTAGCGTAGCTCAAAGACCGTTTTTTAAATCAAGCAGTAGTGCCAGTAAACGGCTTTCTCAACCAGATCATTCTGCAATGAATCTTGATGATGACGCAGATCTATACGGAACTAGTCACTCTCATAATAAGAATACTAATGTGGCTGATATTGAGATGGATGATATCTATGGCGACAGCGATCAGCAAATTTCAAATGCCAACACATCAAGTAGTGCGGCTGATAAAGACATGATGTCTGACACTTTCCCCGATGCCAATGATTTTGCGAAGCGTAGTTCCCAAAACTCAACAAAGCCCTCTCCAACATATTGGTGTTTTGTTTACACAGATACTGGCCATCTTTTAGTTTACACACTCCCAGATTTTAAAGAATGCTGTGCATTTCCACTATTTAGCACGCTGCCTGTTTTAGCCATGGATGTTCCGCTTTGGCGATCGCGAAGTATTGACTCTACATTTGCAAACACAACAGGTGACGAATTTGAAGAGATTTTAGTTGTCAATCTTGGAAATAGCAAAGATAGACAAACTCCGTATCTTGTTGTAAGTCTGATGTGATTGATTGATTGGTGTGTGTATTGAAAGTATTTTGCCTAATTGCAATTTCTCTACAACAAATAGTGTCTTGCAGCAAACGGAGATTTGGCAGTGTATAAAATATTTGTATGTCCGACAAGCAGTAATGATGACGATACATCCTTTGTCAACTCTGGCACATTCAAGCAATCTAGAACACCAGCTGAGCTAGAATTGGATGCACAGAATCTCAAAAAACGACTAGCGATTCGGCTTGTTCGAATCCCGCACGATCAGATCACTCGAGATTTGCAATTTTATACTGATAACGAAGGCGACAAAATTGATTTGGTTCAAGAACCCCAACATCAGCCTACGTTTTTAAAACGCCAGCATCTTAAGCCATTTGATGCCATTGGATGGAGCGGCGGTAACATGTATTCTGGCGTTGTTGTCACTGGGTCACGGCCATGCTGGATTATGGTTGCTCTTCAAAGTCGACAACAAGATCTAGATGTCATTTCATTTGACAATTCAGTGGCATGCTCCACTAAGCTTCCTCCAGTACCATTGTTGGGTACCAATATGTTGCGGTTTCATCCTATGCCTGTAGATGGTCCCATGAAGTGCTTTGCTCCGTTACATAATGTCAACGTGGCACATGGATTCTTGTATATCAATTGGAAAGGTCTGTTTCGAATCTGTCAACTTCCACCTCAGTTTAATTTTGATCACGACTGGCCCGTGTGTAAAGTCCCCATTCACAAAACTGTTCATAAAGTGGCATACCATTATTCTTCACAAACATACGCAATTGCTACGTCTACCCCTGAGCGATTTGATATTCCACATGCTCAATATGCATCTGCTGTTGCAGCAGCTGTTATTGACGAAGGTGACGAAATGCCTGATGCAGAGCGAAAGGTTACTGGTATTCGAGAACTTTCTGAAATAAGTGAGTTGCTATATATGCCATGATTTAAAAGGCTGTTTTTAATCGCTTGGTATTGAGTTTTATACTGTAATTGCAAAAATATCATTATTAATCGTCATGCTAGAACCTGGAATGTATGAAGCAACTGTGGATCGGTACAAGATTGAACTTGTGTCTTCTGTGACATGGGAAACTGTGGATTCGTAAGTTGGACTACATAGTCATTTACTTGGTTTGAAAATCTGCGTTTTGTTGACCCGAGGTTTGATTTTTTAGTATTGAACTATCAGAAGCGGAGACTGTTATGGCTTTGGAAGCTGTCGATCTTTCCAGCAAGGAAACGATATCGGGAAAGAAACTCTACTTGGCAATTGGAACAGGATATTCGCGCGGAGAAGATTTATCTAGTCGTGGAAAAGTAATGCAATATACACTTTTTATCGTTGGACATTTTTCTTGCAAAGTCTTGATGATTTACATTATTTTAATTTATTTAGTTGCATTTGTATGATGTCATTGAGGTTGTACCAGATCCCAACAATCCTCAAACGAATCGCAAGTTTAAACATGTTGATTCAGAAGATGATCGCTCGCCATTTTCAGCCATCTGTACTGTCAATGATTATTTGCTAGCTGCCATTGGTCCCAAAGTAATGAGTATTTGATGATTTTTTGAAACTATGTGATATTGCGTATGTTTTGACAAGATATGCCATGCATAACAATACTTATTGGATTTTCAGATCATCATGTATCAACTTGAAGATGGTGAAATCACAGGCGTGGCCTTTTTAGACGTCAATGTATTTGTCACATCGCTTAGCTCTGTCAAGAATTTAATTCAGATCTGCGATATTCAAAAAAGCGTATGGTTTGTGGCATTTCAAGTATGTAGCAGTTCAATATATGTTATTACTATTTTGACTTACCAGTGAATGTGACTTGTTAATATTTTATGACTAACCAAATTATCCGTCAATAGGAGGAACCAGCCAAGCTGGCCGTGCTTGGGCGTGATGTTCATCCTTTACAAGGCTATGCCGCCAATATGCTGATTGATGATAATCAGCTTGCGCTTTTAGTTGCGGATGGTGACAAGAATCTTCACACTATGATTTACGCACCAGATAATGTCCAGTCTCTTGGTGGTGAGAGGTTGATCCGTAAGGGTGAAATACACCTTGGTCAGCATGTTTCAAAATTTATCAGAATGCGACGCAAGCCTCTTTTGCGTAATGATGCCATTGTTTTTTCTAAACAATATTTAAACGTGGCAGGTATGATATTGTTTGCCTTGATATTTTTGCACTGTTAACGGATTGCGTATTGCAACATAAGCTGAACTACTTGGTTCAAAATTATCAATTGTTTGATTCTTTTTTGCTCTACTTTTCATCTGTTTGCAGCTACATTAGATGGAGCACTGGAGATTATAACCCCTGTTTCAGAACGAATTTTTAAACGATTATATGGCTTGTATTCTCGCATGGTAACTAGTATTGAGCATATTGCAGGCTTGAATCCGCGAGGTTTCAGGTATTTAGTATATTGCTCAAGTATATATGAATCATTCTGCGATTGCACATTCATGTACCATCTACCGTTTGATGACATGAGAGTATTTTTAATATTAATATACGGCGTTTCATGATTTGCTTTGTTATATGATTTATAGACAAGCTCAACATCGTGTGAGACCTATTACACTTTCTGGGTTTATTGGACCTCCGGGCCCGCGTGGTATTCTTGATGGAGATCTTCTTTACGAGTATGTAAGACTATCACGTACGCAGCAACGCGGCCTTGCTAAAGCCATTGGATCAAAGGATGATCGTCTCATGGACGATTTACTTGAAGTTCTAACCGGGTTAGATTTTTTTTAGTCAATTGGCTTTGATCGACAATGATTGCAGTGGAACAGTCAAACTATTAAACATATTGATTGAGTATTTGGGTAAACTAGACTTTATTTTCATATCAGTGTAGTATTACAATTCGTGCCGACATAAACCGGACATTTCAGAATACACACAGATCTTCAAAAGTGATAGAATGGATAGATACCACTAGAAAATAAAAGCACAAGAATATGAGGATATAGCAGCCAAAGTAATTTTCAGGCCACATTGGCGAGCCACAGCAAGATTGTTTTAGTGAGGTGTATGTGCCATTATATGAGAGATTCAATACATTTCGATGAAATAGTAGTCGAAAAAACAAAAGTGTGTTTGATAAAAGTATAACACTTTGCAACTGGTTCAGATCACAAGACAAATAATAAAATTAGGTTTCCAGCATATGAGGTAATATCGCTCAGATGGAGCTTTGTGCGGGTTCAATATAAAGAGGTTTTGGTTTTTTAGATGTGATGGGGTTTAGATTTCTCGTTCGCCACCAACTAAATTTATAAAATGTGTTAAATCATAGTAAACACTAGTTTCAAGCAACGTGCATGATAAATGTGACTACTTACTCTTGCATTCGGCTGATCCAAGAATCTGATGATTTTTTTGAACCTGAAATACCAATAGTGATGGAGTTTATTTCCATAGAGTTTTTGGCAGTTGAATTCTCAGTGCTTTGAATTGGTATGGTAGGCAGAGGTGAGACGCGGAGTTCGCTTAACAGCTGTCTAGCTTCTTCAAGAAATCGAAGTGCATCTTCAGGAGGACGATCGATACGAATAGCACCTCCGCGCGGTCCACCTTCAAGTTGAATGGTGCGCATACGAGTGCCCCATTCTTCGTTATCTACAATTTCTTCCAAAACTGATTTGCGAAAAGCAAGTACTTCAGTGTTTGAAATGCAGTTGATATCATCTGAATGACTATGATTGGAGCGATTGTAGGTACGTTCCCCACCATCAGAATCAGTATCGTCTAAATGAGTATCTTCTGCGAACGCTTTCATTTGACGAGCTATCACTTGTTCACGAAGATGCCTGAGCAGTTGAAGTGAGTTGCCTGTCATACTTCGATGCAACAAGCGACATGCTAGAATTTTAATGTGTCGTGGTCTAAAAACAAATCCTGCACTCAAATACTTTTGGTGAAGATCGTGCAGTTCCTGATCAGCGACTGCCCGACTAAGTGCATCATCCATACAGGAAATACTAAATTCATGCTGTGGCCCATAGGTTGCCAAAACCCATTCCCAAACAGGATATGGCCTGGCTTTCAAATAGCATCGCGTAACCGGAAACTCGGGATGAACGCGATCAAATGTGCATACAGAGTCAGGGTTGCTCAAAAGTGCTTTGGCAATAACTGTATCTGGGATCTGGAATGTATGAATGATGCGATGCACTGTTTCTGATGACCATGGAACGTTAAGTGAGGTGTTGCGATCCAAATAAGGACCAAAGAGATCCTCGATAGTATCGCATGCCAACTTTTTTAGTTTTGTTTCTTCAACAAGTTTATGCAGTATAGCAATTGTATGAACACGCCCACCAGCAAGAGCGCGTTTAATGCATATATTTGAGAGCACAAAGCCAACGTCTAGGTACCGTTTAAGGTATCTAACGTTAAGATACGGATGGATCATAACACGTTCCATAATGCTGTCATTGACAACAGAAAGATCAAATCCATTGACTATCAATTTACGGATGAAAGATAGGTTCAAGCGTGATAGGTAGTAGATGCTTTCCGCAATGGGTTTGCTGCATAGATCTGATACGGGTATGAATTTAAACTGATGAATAAGAGTGTTTACTTTTTCGATTGTCACAGCAGTATCAGAGATTGGAGCTCTGACAAGACGTTCAAATGCTGCATGGTCCTATAAAATATTGTCAATGAACAGGTAAAAATAAACCATTAGCCTAGCACAAAACGAGGTATGATCTTTGGATATAATGTACACTTGTAAAAGTACTTGCATTTTCATTAAACAAGGCCAAATCTGCATAGATATTGTAGGTGTGATTGACAAAAAACACAAAAAGCGGGGTGGATATTCCACCACTCGACTGCATATGGTACTATAAAATGGCGGATCACATCAAAAATTAGCAATACATACATTTTTTAAATTTCCAACAGTCGTGGCTGTGTTAGGAGCAAAAATATTAATGATTCAAGGAGTGATCTCTAGCCAGTAAAAACAAAGCATTATAGAGTAATGATAGAACTCTAAATTTCTACACTAGTTTGCAAAATAGTTGAATCAACGCCTGACATTATAATCCAAGCAATTCTTGGCAGAACCCCACTCAACTAGCTCACACTTTATCAGACCAACTAAACAGATTTAGCAAGGATCTAAACACTTACATCCGAGGTAATTTTTTGAGCGACAAATCTGGGTAATTGAGCACCATTTTGCAGCATAATTTGCACAACTAGCAGGTCCAGGGCCTTTAGATGTTTTCGATATGCAAAATAAAAGGACATGTTTTTTCCATATCTTGTCAAAAAGTAAAGTGCTTTTGATGATGGACTAGCAGATACACATCTTGCCTGTTTACATATCAATGGGAACAATTTCAAGCCAGTGTCATCATGAACGAAGCTAAATATTCTAGTCCAGACTTCAACTGGACAATCTGTGAGCATCATAATGCGTGGCAGTGTTTTCGTGGTACGAGTTTTGCCTAGTAGTGGAAGTGTAATAGAAGCCGTAGCAATCTTACTATTAATAAGAATCGATGAGTTTGGATCTGTAAGGGGACTGGATATTGCACGATGAGGTTTTAATAGAATAGTAGGTTGAGGCCAATGTTGATAAAATAAGATTGTGGTCAGGGCGGAGACCAAGGCTATATATTTTAGTGTAATTTAAGCACAACAAATGTAGCAATCTAAATGCTTGCTGTCATGTAAGGCAAGGCGGGGTATTTGCAATGATTGCAGTGATTGCAGTCAGAAGGCGGAGGTTGGGAATACTAACAGACACGAACTTTGGAGCGTCGGAGTAGCATGATTTTACCATAGGTTTTGACTCGCTAGTAGCACATTGGCTCGTAATGTTACAGCCGTATTCACGTAAATGGAACACTAGCAGTGATTGTCTCTTGCTTGGAATAAACAATGGTTAAATATTCGTTGTGCTTTCCTACTATACATTGACTGCACTGTTTCTTCAGCGGATATGTCAATTCTTTCCCAATGTTTGGAATCGTACGCCGTACACATTCATTTTCATTGTACTAAAGCGGTCGTCTTTAACTGTAAGAATGGACAATACGGAGCTATGCAGCAAAACTCTATTTCGCGACATTGCTGTTTGTTGGACGGTTGGAGATCATGCCGAATCACTGAATCTGTAGTCTTGTAAAATGGTATATTGTTGAAAGTCAAATTGAGTATTAGCAAATGTATTTTCAGTGATATCCACAAATATTGGAATATCAAAATAGTATGACTTTCTTGATCAGCCGCTAAATACAATGGCTATCATACGATGCACATAAACTATAGGGTTGAACTAGAACTGTCCATTTGTTCCTGTTTGACGGTCGTACATTGTACATTTACCAAACGTGAAATCAAACCCATTGTAATCTAAATATTAGGTTCGACTGTTTTGATATTCCCAATCAAACTCAAGCTTCACTTTGTTGTATCCAAAATCAAATACTCTTGCGATTCAGTTCAAGGAACAAAGATTGCAGTTCCAGGAATGCAACTGTAAATGCCAATCACCAGGAGAGTAAACAGTCAACTAAATATATCAAAAACAGTGTTATCCAGTGAATTGATACCAATCAAACATGAGATTAGCTGTTTATTATACACCGACACCCCATTTAGCAACCCATTTACGTGAATACAGCTGTGACTCGATGGAATTCATTTCACATTTTTAAATCGAGTATTGCAACATAATCAAAATATTATCTCAGAATAGTCCAAGCAAACATTCCAATTTTTCAGTAGCCAAATGGTAGCTGCTAGTCAAGTCAGACCATCATGATATATATCAAACCAATCATATAATGGATATTGTAAAAACGTAGTCTGTATCAGCAAGTTATGTAAACAAGTTGGGATAAAAAAACAATCCCTCAAGTGTATCGTCGCGACAAGTAAGTCCCACTTGCTCTGTCATCTAAAATTGGTCATAAAAACAATCATAGATTGGTATAGAATTGCATTTAACAAAAGCAAACATTCGAGATATTATAGAAAAGCAGTATTACCAAAAGCTGCTCTGCTGCCAAAACAATTGAAATGGATGTCAGCTTGGCCAACTCTACTGCAGTTAGCCCAGTTTGACGTTCTGCAACTAGTTTCAAAATTTTAGATGCAACTTCTTCATCACTATAACTAAGTGCAGATACATGAAAAAAGTCAAGGCATATAGCAGTGAAAATACAACAAAGTAGATCATCAAATCAAAATCATATAATAATCAAAAAGGATATTAGACTGGACAACCAGGAGCCCACTGTCAAATTTACGAAGTCTAAATGGAAGTTTAAGACGCTCAAACTCCACTACTGATTTGTATAGATCATCCGGCGATATCAATGCTGCGCAGATTTACAATGATTGTATCAAAGTAAGTTGATAGTCAACTAGTGAATATCTCAAAATAAACGACTTACCAACACCTCTGGCGCGATTGAACAAGCAGTACAAATCAGTAAGGGGAATCATTTCTGAATGGCCTGCCAACCGCATTTGGTCAAGGAACTCGGTCAATTGTCGCGAAAGTTCTTGAATAAACATATCGCCAGCAGATTCTTTGGTAACAGGATTGGAAATACCGATTTCGTTGAGATAGTTTCGAAACGTAAGCATCTCAGAAGAATCACTTGCAATAGATAAACTAGCAAGCTTGTTGCTGATCGACTCGGCAAGTTTCACCTACAATCACAAATTAAACAGCATTATACATGATATAAATATTCTACAATTTTTGGGTTAGTCAACTAAGCAACTGGTGTTACCATCTGTGCTGCGTTTTCCATGAGGTTTTCAAGATCGCTAAATGCATCTCCAACCGTATCGTTCATCTGTTTCCTGGTTTGTTCCACATTCCGTATGATTCCAGCTAAAATAGGTTCAACACTATGGGTTAAACATGTACTATCCACCACATCTATTTTAATGAATAGACAACATGCTTGATACGCTAGATACAATTAAAACATACAGACACCACCAATGCTTGCTTGGTTCGGCTGGATCGATATAGAGGGATTAGGAGTTGTAGGAGTCTCTACTTTCTAGAATTTAGTGGTAGATTAGCTTTTTTATATCCAAGCTGGCATCAGTTCTTACACAAAAATATGCGACAAATTACCTCCCATGCTTTAACTGCAACAACCTGTTTAATATGCTTTAATGTATCAGTCATTCCACCCCCACGAAAAGATAGCTTTAGTATTGAGCCAGGACCGGTTGATTTAAGGTTTAGTTTTGATTGTGTGGCATCTTCAATTGGCGATGATCCAAAATCTGATGGATTGCTTTCTGGAAGTTGAGAGGCGGATGAGAGTGGAGCATTACATATTTCACAGCTGGTCAAGTCGGGGTGGTTTAAAAACGTACATGCAGTGCATTTGATTTGTGTTGATTTGGAAGGTAAAGATGAGTTTATATCAGAAATAATATTGTGATTGGAACTATTCACGGTTTGCACACCGCAGTTCCGACATTTCGACACATCTGACGTATTTACTGCATCGCATATTTCACACGTCCATTCGTTTGATGCAGCAGTGGATGTAGTTTTTGTTTGCGGAAAACTTGCACAGACCGCTTGGCTATTTGGTATAGGAGAGTTGGTATTGGGCACACCACACATGGCGCATTTGGCAGCATTGGCACCATTCATCTCATCACAGACTTCACACTTCCATTCTGGTAGAATTGATTCAGTAGATTGACTCGGATTATACACTAAATCTTGAGTGCTTTTTGAAAAGGAGATGAAAGTGGGGCTGGTGGAATGTAATGCTGAGATTTCAGAAGGAAGTAGATCCAGTATGATTTTTGGCGAGGATCGTAAAAAGCCATTCTATCAAATTATCCACAGTAAAATAAGCATACGTTCTAGATACTACACACATTTTTATATTTCCACCTACTGAATAATCGATCTGCCTGATGTGTGCCAGATGCAGTTGAACTGCATGATGCCTGGTCTCGTTCACCCACATAATGCGATGCGAGGTAACATAAACTAGCCCCGAGTTAAATTCTATTAGACGTTGATTGCTACATAGTCAAGTAAGCATTGATTAGTGAAATTAAATGTATTTCTCCTCCAAATAGTCTTTGTATAGCCAAGCGTAATGCATGTTTGAGCATTCTCATCTAATCCCGACAAGATCCATTGAATAAAGCGGTGCTTACCCAAAGTAGAGACAAACATCTTTTGTAGTTATAAAAATAGTCTCGTTTTTTAATAAAACCGGACGCTGCGCAACAGACAGGTCGAGAGGTTCTAAGCATTCCATAAATAAGGAATATTTCTTGGATGCCAAAAGTGTATTAATCTGCTCAAATAGTAAAATATGTCAGGTGGATAATCACCTGATTATGTGTGCTGTTTTGAAGTGGTTTGAAGCTTTCGAATTCTTATTCACACGAACCTCCAAGTATGCCCAGCCCTCCAAAGGTAAAGTGGTGACATACTTTTGTAGTAAAGATTGCTATACCGGTTGTTGGTATTCGAATCAGTCTCACCTTTTGAATCATACTGGATATGGTTTTACATTGGCTTGATCATTGTATTACGGCAATAATTGAAAGTACACTTCAATGCGTTAATGTTCAGTCCTTCAACAATCATGTGCGCAATATGCAAGCCCTTTGTTTCGTATTGGAGGCTGGCTTGAATGGATAGCATGTTGCAGTAGAGTTTTCTACAATTGATTGCTATTTATTTAAAATGGGGCATGCATTTAGTCGATTTATTTGATAATTCTACCTTGTCCTCGTCAGTAGTAACTGCTTTATACTGGCTTATATAGTAGTTTCGACCCAATCATTACTTTTCCCTTTATCAGATTGTATTTCTCTGATTTGCATCCTTGTTAATTTTGAGCTATTTTATGAAATCTTATATACACATCTGGATAGGTTCGAAGAGTAGCTGTTCTTGGTAGTCGAGCAGTTGGAAAGTCTTCATTGACGGTCCAGTTTGTAGAAAATCATTTTGCCGAGACATATTACCCTACTATTGAAAACACATTTACAAAGATTGTCAAGTACAAGGGCGAGGAGTTTGCAGCAGAGATTATTGATACTGCAGGACAGGATGAGTTTTCAATTCTCAACTCCAAGCATGCAATTGGAATTCACGGATATGTGCTGGTATACTCGATTGCATCTCGACAAAGTTTTGAAATGTGCAAGATTGTCCGGGATAAAATTCTAAATTTCACTGGCATTGATTGGGTGCCGATTGTGCTGGTGGCCAACAAGGTTGATTTGCATGCACAACGTCAAGTGACAACAGAAGAAGCTCGCGCATTGTCCACAGAGTGGAGTTGCGCATTCATTGAAACGTCAGCAAAACATAACCAAAACATTGTCAAGGTGTTTGATCTAATGCTGGCTGAAATTGAAAAAGTCAGGGGCGAAGGTGAACCTGAGAAGAAGGCGGGGTGTATTATTTCATAAACTGCTTTATTACTGCTTGTATATACTACTACAATTTTATTTTGCATTGATATTGAAGCGTGTTGCGTTTTTTAGAGCCGTATTCACGTAAATGGAACACTAGCAGTGATTGTCTCTTGCTTGGAATAAACAATGGTTAAATATTCGTTGTGCTTTCCTACTATACATTGACTGCACTGTTTCTTCAGCGGATATGTCAATTCTTTCCCAATGTTTGGAATCGTACGCCGTACACATTCATTTTCATTGTACTAAAGCGGTCGTCTTTAACTGTAAGAATGGACAATACGGAGCTATGCAGCAAAACTCTATTTCGCGACATTGCTGTTTGTTGGACGGTTGGAGATCATGCCAAATCACTGAATCTGTAGTCTTGTAAAATGGTATATTGTTGAAAGTCAAATTGAGTATTAGCAAATGTATTTTCAGTGATATCCACAAATATTGGAATATCAAAATAGTATGACTTTCTTGATCAGCCGCTAAATACAATGGCTATCATACGATGCACATAAACTATAGGGTTGAACTAGAACTGTCCATTTGTTCCTGTTTGACGGTCGTACATTGTACATTTACCAAACGTGAAATCAAACCCATTGTAATCTAAATATTAGGTTCGACTGTTTTGATATTCCCAATCAAACTCAAGCTTCACTTTGTTGTATCCAAAATCAAATACTCTTGCGATTCAGTTCAAGGAACAAAGATTGCAGTTCCAGGAATGCAACTGTAAATGCCAATCACCAGGAGAGTAAACAGTCAACTAAATATATCAAAAACAGTGTTATCCAGTGAATTGACACCAATCAAACATGAGATTAGCTGTTTATTATACACCGACACCCCATTTAGCAACCCATTTACGTGAATACAGCTGTAAATTTTTTGGTGTGAATACTTTATTTCAAAAGAAATGCATGATTATTGGCAGTTGCATCTCTATGCCCTTTAAACAAAAGGTTTTGAGTCATAGAAAACGTCTATATATTTTTCTAATCAGTTTTTAGGAGAAACTTTGCTGTATCCAGTCGGCTGTTTTTAAAAAAGAGGTACTTTTTTCACCCTGAATATTTTGGTAAAGCGTATTTGTATTTGTCGGCTGATGCAAAGAGTCCTGAGAGGGACCATTATGTGTGTAGACGTATGGTTGAGAAAGTCGTGACTGATACTGTTTAGGTTGATAGGAATTAGAGACTTGGGAGTCAAAAGATGTGAATGGTGCAGTCTCATTTCCAAACTGAGTATTAGAAAACTGGTATGAACAATCATAATGTTGATTTTCAGGTAGCAGTGGTTGAACGTTGGGTATACATCTAGAGGCTGGGTTGAACTGGTTATAAGCTGGGTAACTATTAGTGACTGAATGTGTCACTGATCTTGAGGAGATTTGCCGAGATTTAATTGTTTGTGCAGCTGCATTGACTGGGTGTGCTAATCTATGCTGGATGGCAGTTTTATCTTGAGCGCTATAGTAATTGTTGTGCGACTGTTGTGGTTGAATACTTGGCTCAACTTTAATACTTTCGATATTTACTGGTTGCAATTTGTTTACATGGCTATTACTGGTTTGTCTGTTCCAACTTAGTTCTTGTGGGCATTTTACTGGCTCACTTGCTCTACTGCTTGATGTAGGAAAGTGTATTTCCAATGTCTTGTTTTGCTGTTTATACAATGGAACGCGTTTTTGTGCAAACTCGGTAACCGGCAGCGATGTGGGCTTATTTATAGCATATCTTACTGGAGGAATGTATTTGGCAGATGATGACGGAATATATGTAGTAGATGCTCTGGCAGGGTCACGGAATTTGCAAGCATCATGGAAAGATCCTGTAGAAGGCTTTTGCAATGAACTCTGATCGGCAGCTACATTATCAGTACCTTCACAAACATTGGAAGATGGCGCGGAAATGCCTGCGGGAGATATATCCCTGTATTCAGAAACATGCGTTCCTGGAAGTAAACGTGAAACTGGAGAGGGTAGTAATGACTGCACAGTAGGTAAGGTTGAAGGAAGAGCTACACATGAAGCATGCTTTGATTGCTCCATTCCTGTTTCCAATCTGGTATAAAACGCATTCCACATTTCCAAAGACACATACATATTATAGTCAAGAAAGTAGAGCATTTCCATTTCCATGTGATTGACTTGCTCCAGAGAAAAGATACCCGAAGAAACTGTTGCCCATGCAGTATTGTCAAAAGTGTCATCGTATAGAAATTTTGCAGCTAGCATAATTGCAGAAAGTATCAGTCGATGAGCAGAGCCAGGTGATCCTTTGCATTTTGGATGGCAGGTTTTAAGGCGCTCAAGATACAAAAAGGCAGTCACAAGAGTGCTACTACTGAGACGGGTGCGGCTTATTATTACTTTAATGAACTGATCTAGCTCCACGTTTGAGTTTTGAGGAAGTGTCATGCCGCATCCAAAAAGTTTATCTATAAAAGTGCTTGCATATTCTATAATCAAGCAATATGTGTGTTAAATTATTGATTGAGTAAATTTACCAGAGATATCCGACAATATGCTCACAATTATATCAAATAAACTGTCTTACGAATTAATTTGGCTCGACGACACAATGTCTTTGGGATGACAGTATTTTGAATATCTGGCGATTCGCTTAGAAACCTGATTTCATTGGGCCTAGTCGAGCAAATAGGTACCCAGCTTGACTGAACTGCATCTGGTTGAGGATCTACATGTGAATACTTGTACTCTAAAGCATCTGCTACACTAACGATTGTCAGACTAGTCGAGTCAGTATTCATTTTTATCGCTTCATTTTGCCAGCTCTGTTTACGAGAATTTTCAGCAGGGTTATCGTATGCAACGCTATAGTCATGGTTTAGTTTTTGAATAGACTCTGACGAAAAAGACGGTCGGGCTTCATTTAGCCATACAGCGGTAGATGCCGAGTTTAATTTTTCACAGGCAGATGATTCTAGAAAAATGCATTGAATTCATGGTATCATTGAATTAGGAAAAGTTTGGTATCCAATGTACAGCTTTACAACAAAAGATGGCTTATTACCTAATACATCATGCTCAAGGTAACATCCATGACCAGTCTTGTATGCAGGGTTTCGATGTGCAGAACCATAGTTTATGGTGTTATCTCCATGAGAGAAATGAGTAGCAGCTGGAGCAATGGCAAATGGGATGTTTTCATATAAATCTTTCGACTCGAGTACGAGGTTCGAGTCTATTTGATTCTGACAATTCACTGGCACCCCCATCTGAGCATGCTCCGAGAGAGATACCATGTGTTGCTGCTGCAACCGAGTATACTGTCCATGCTGCTGATACTGCAAACAGTGGTCTGATATCTTTCTGTTAGTACCAAGCTTTGAAATTGACTGGCTTTGAGATATGGGAGCTTGTAATGAATTCTGAAATGGCTGTGCATTAGAGCTTATTATTCGCGACGTTGGTGCTGATACTGTAGATTTTGGGGAACTCTTTAATCCATATATAGCTTTAGGCATGGAGGACGGTAAGTGAGAGTTGTATAGTGGTAAGCTACTTGTCCAAGACTGATCCGATATTTTGAATTGCTGTTCTCTCTCAACTTTTTGCTGCTCCGATGACAATGCGTTGCATCGTTTGTCTATATCATCCATAGCGAATCTAAACGTGTCCTGCTACTTGGTGTTTATACGGATACGATTGGTATTTATGTTAGGGTTTGGTTCGAATGTTCAGTCTAGATAAACCCTAGGGGGCTACATGGGTTGAATATATGGAGGGTTGCTGCGACGCGTTCAAAACTGACTTTGATAAGGCGCGTCTGGTGTTTGTTATCACAACTAAAGCACGCGTCGGGCTCAATTGGAAGCCAAACAGAAACGTTGAGCGATAGTTTAAACATGTAAACGAGTAGTTTTTCAATTGTTATGATTATCTTAGTGTGAAGACTAGATGTAGTCGGGGTATTTATTATAAACCACAAATAAGCTTTAAATAATTATGAATGCTCTCTGCAGATGTATCCTTCATCAAGGCATTGTGAGTCACTGACAAATAACTGTTTGAAAATTCGGAAGCAATCTTGGCATCTGCCTCTGTTATATCCTCACAAAAGCATACGTCCAATGAAAGAACTGGCAAAATTGAAGCATGGTTTGGGCATGACTGGCTCATTGAGAGTGTCAGTAAATGTTGTGCCCGAAGCCTGGCAAATTCAATCAAAGTTTTGCCAGATATCAAAATATTTCGAGAGGCATTCATTTTTGAAAGATGCTGTGAATGACTAGCAATCCCTTTGGAGGATGCCAGAAGAATACTCCAATCGATCCAATGGCAGCTTTCTAGAGAGAGGTTTGCCAAAGGGTGCTGACAATGAGAAAGCAGGTGAACAATAGAGTGAGTTGTAGCGCATCGTGTATTTGACAAGTCGAGGTTTTCAAGAAACTTTAGCTCTGTTGATACTATATAGACAGTTTTAGGCGAGAGACCATGGCATTTACTAAGATTAAGAGACCGAATGATTTTGCAGTTTGATGCCAAGGCTTTAATGCACTTGTCTGTGATACCATTATTTCCTGAAAGATCAACATACAGGAGATTTGGCACAAACGACCACGCCATTGTACGGTCGACAATGTCATGGAATGGTGCCGAGGTGAACGCTTGTATATAATGTAAATACGGCGCAAACTTTTCTAATGTGGACTGGTCTATGTAATAGCACGGCCGTTTAGTGTGTTGGTTATTTCGTATACTTGAATTTCTGAATGCAATTATTGGCGATGGCTGCAGCAGATTATCTCCTACCACCAAAATAGAAGACATCCAGACATGGTATGATAGGGAAAGGTACCGCAGACCCCTGCAGACATTTGACAAGATAAGTATGTCTCCAACTGTTAGACATTTAAAAATCTGACCCTGAATCTCTAAAGGAAGGCTGATGAACATGCAAGGCTTGTAATAGTAATTATTTTATTGGGAAAGTGTTGAACGTGTCACTTGAAAGCTTAAACCAAGCAAAGTCCAAGGATTATCAAATGAGTCCATTGACAATCATCCACATACTATAGTGGTTCAACAGGGTACTGATAATGCCAGTCTTTGTAGTTTCATGCCAAATGAGCGACCAGTGCCAAGAACATAAGCCAACAGCCTTAAAGAACGTCCACGATCAACTTGTTCCTACTTTGGCGAATTTCAAGCTTTTGGATTTGAGTTCGAAAACTAAGCAAACGCAGAATATGGGATTGTTAACAACACTCCAGGCATTAGTATACAGACACTTGCCAGAAACATGGACTACCTCGACCAATGTCACTTTAAAGCATAAATCACATCTTGATTCGTGTGATAAAGTAGTGCCAGAATCTTCCAATCCATCTAATGCTGCAACACTGTTGGACACAGCTGTTGGTCGCATACCCACATGGTCTTGGTCAACGACCAAGTCGCTAGTTCCAAATGGTGCCATTCAAAAAGATGGCTTTTCCGATACGAGCCATCATAGCACTGGACATCACTATGGCAATGATGCATTACCGTCGATAAATACACCTGAATCTGAATCAACCTCTTCATTGCCTAATACAATGCTGGAATCTAATCACTACGAACAGGACAAGATTTCCAACCAACTTGATACAGGCCATCAGGACCATTTTCAATCCAACAGGAATTATCAGTGCCCAAAAACACTTTCAACTCATAACCCTCATCAGCATTATTCCTCATTTCAGCAACATCGAGAATCTGCATGGTCATCTCCGTTTGCATTTGCTTATCAGCTGGCATGTGGCTGGTTCATTACAGTCGCAGTTGCTTCTACTCTTATCTCTTTACCAATCTCTGCTGTCAGTCTTCCTTTCTTCCTATTTTTTGGTCTTTCAACAGCCGTTATTGCCGTCATTATATCCTTGATTGTGCGTTTATGGGTCCGGTTTTTGATAGACTCTTTACAAGCTATTCGAAACTTATTGTTCTCACCAAATAGTCTTCTTTCATATGCATCTGATGCGTTTAATCGAGCGTTTAGTAAATTGATGAACTTTCCACAAACATTTAGCCCATTAAGCTTGACGAATGTGCCTGCCAAGAATGGTGTATATCAACAGCAGTCTCTGAGATCTGATGAGCAATCGATATATCCGTCAAACCGTTCAAGATTGAATCACTCTTCATCTATATTATCAGAGCGCGCCAGCCAATGTTCTTTAGATGGTTTGTTTCTTTGTATTTGAGATGCACTTCAAAAAGTATAGCGTGCTAATCCACTTTTTGAAGATACTTTGTTTCAAGAATCGTACGGAAAACAGATTGAGCCTACGTTTTTAGCTCCCGATCTTTTGACTAGAAATCTACATACACTATCGTCCAATCCTAACCTTGTGTCTATTGAATCGAATGGCAGCGGTTATGGTGAGTCAAATACGCACAACGAAAACAAGAATTATTGGGATTCTGCACATGGAAATCAAAGTGAACACAGTCTGATTGCAAGCGACATCAGCAAAGACCATATACATGGCCGTGTTGATGCTAAAGATCTAATTGATGGTTTTTATGATGCTAAATTGAACGACAAATCTGAATCAACACCACAATTCCCAGTTGATAGAGTTCGTCCTCTGCTTGGAAATATCACAGTGCGGCTGTTGACTGAAGATGACAAAGATCGCATAGAATTGTGTCGCTTGCTATACTCTGTAACAACCAATGTCCCAGTTGATGATTTATTTCTCACAGTAGGGAACACCCCAGATGGAAACACGCACAGTATCCTTAGTATTTGGAATGAGGATATCCCAGATGATGAATGCACTGACCAGCTCTCTTTATATAATTTAATTGGATTTGCAGATGCAAGTATTTATCGAGTTTAAATGGACTATTTAACTGTAATGATTAATGTCTAACCAGCTTTTTATTACATCTGTAATACTTTATACCAATGCAGTATTTTTCAAGATCGCATGATGATGTTGCTTTGAGCATATCTATTGATCGACTAATCATTTCCAACACATATACCGACATGGGATTTAGTAAGCGTCTTTTAAGAAAGCTACAATACACTCCTTGCATTCATACTATTCATGTGTGGAGTCTGTGGCATACCGTGGAATTTTACAAGGGGCTAGGGTTTATTAACGTATATGAGGAATGCCTTCCAGAGCAGCCAATTGAATTATCGCACCAACATAGACTAACTCGAAAACGTAGCAAGCTTCGACGTGTCGAGGGAAAATGGGGCCCGCTGCTTTGCTGGAAAAAGCATGATCCAACCTTGAATCAGCCAGGACTACATTCGTTTAATAGTATGGTTAGTTTGGCAGGCGGAGTCGGCGCAAAATCTGACTAGGGCTGATAAATCTCAAAATTTCATGGGCATGATACAACTCAATACATGTGTTATTATTTTATTACTTGTTATTCATTACTTTTATATTGGGTAGCAGATCAGAGTTGAAAGATTATTGTATTAATTAAGAGTTTTATTTTTACGAACAGTGATGTATCGAGAAACATCATACTTTGATAAAAAATTTGCGGTTTCCAACAGTCATTTTGATGGACATGAGTAGCATAGAGCCTACAGCAAAACACAAGCCAGCAAAGAGAATGGATGGAAGGTAGTTGACGCTAACAGCTCCGTCAGGAAGAGTTACCGTAAAATGATCAATCATGGCACCTGCAATAGGAGTGCCAAACAAGTCACCAAATAAATAACCCTGTAAACACGAGCATTTTGAAACATTTAATATAATTAGTCAAGATCAATCTACCGAGTGGTTTGTTATTAATATGTTTCAGTATTTTGTCAAAACAAATCACTTGCATTAAAGATCATGCCTGTAACTGTAGCAATGTTTCCGTTGGCACCAAATAACTGTGCCGTTACTATGATTTTAGCAATGTATCAGATGACATTTTCAAGTAATTAATCAGCATGATTCTGCAAAAAACAAGCATGTCTACAAAACTAAAACTAACCAGTAGATGTAAGGCAAACAAATCCGCCAATAAAGTATCCGTAAATAAGAACAAAAGCCAAAATTCCATTAAAGCTGATTGCAAATGGCCATACTAGCAGAATTCCAAGAGTAGCCGAAATCAAGCATCCTGTAAGTGTATTAATATGTCCAAGATGATCAGACGCGAATCCAAGCGTAACCCGACCGAGTCCCGATGCACCACTAAGAATACCAACAAGAAGAGCACCTTGCTCTATCGTCATCCCATATTTAAGCGCATATGCTAATATTTACATCAAGTCAAACCACAGTATGAGTAATGATAAGTGATTTGATGTATCAAATAGCCAAGTTCTATAGATACTGATCAATCCAATAGTATCGCTAAAGACATGACTTACTCGGAATATAGAAAAATGGCACAAAGTATGCAAACGAGTATATCACAGCAACAGCATAAAGCTTTTGAAAAATAGGATTTTTAAAGTTGGAAAAGTGCATTTCCTTTCGAATTTTGCGAAACGTTCTTACTTTTAAAAACATTGCGCTAATAGCTATTATGGATCCACCAAAAATACCAATAATCCGCAACGTCCATCTCCAGCCAACATGTGAAATCAAATAACGCAGCACTGGGCCAAGAATTAACCCGCCAATCCCAGATCCAGAAACTGCAATACCAGTAGCAAGACCACGTCGTTTAACAAACCAGTCGGGAAGAATACTGATTCCAGGAATATGCGCCAATGATGTACCAACGCCAAATAAAAACCCTTGAGTAATGATCATTTGCCAAACTGCGGTTGAGAATGATGCGATCACCATGGATACAAGAATAAATAGTGCACCAACGAGACATACAACACATGGACCATACTGATCCACGAGTCTACCAGCGAGAATGGAAAAAAGCGGAAGGCCAGCATTTGCAAGAGATCCAATAAATGCAATAGCAAGACTAGAGGTGCCTGTGTGAATGAATTTGATTAGCAATCATTGAGTCTAATGTCAGGCATATATCAATCAAAAGACTGAGGCGCTGTTTAAAAGTCAGATATGCTTTTACCGCCGTATTCACGTAAGATACAACATTGAATAGGTACTCCCAAATACATAACAGTCAATTCCCACTGAATTTACTATAAAGCATCGTGATGTGAACTGTTTGGCAGGTTGATTGACATTTATCATGGTGATTGGCGTGGAAACAGTTGTATTCCCGAGATGTGATTTTGCTTGCTTGAATTAGAATGCAAGCGTATCTGAAATCAAGATACAAATACGAATTTTGTTGACAACAGTCAAATCCAATATACAGACTTGAATGAATCCGAGTTTAAACTTGGTGGTCATACAATGCATGACCATATCAAATGAGGAGAAAGGGATAATCGGTTCAAAATCATAGTTTGATTGTGTGCATCATATGATGACCGTTGTTTACAAAAAGGAGAATTGAGAATGTCTAAAGTCAGCTGGTAGTAGAAAAGTGCAACACATATTTAACCGTTGCCTATTCCAAAGCAAATAGAGCTACTGCAAGATAAGTACACAAGTTACATTTACGTGAATACAGCTGTAGTAAAGCTGATTGGCTTTACAAGTCAGCTTTGAAGGAATTCGGATTATACATTGCAGGTTTAGAAAGATCCATACAATAGACCCGCAATTCATTTGGTGATAATAGCGGATTGTTGACAATCGGGTTGACGAATATCACGAATAAAAAACGAACCTTCAAATTCGGGCAACTCCTTATACGCTTGTTGAAAGACACCGTATGATGCAGGTAGAGCAATAGAAAACACATTGATCATAAACCCAGCGACAACGATTATCCATCCATAGGCACTATCTGCTTCGGCGTTGACTATTGTATCGTCTTTCAAACTGAGCTGCTCATCCACTATATGCTGTAGGTCAAGTTCTGAACTATATCGTCGATTCGGTTCCTCATCTGTCGTGTTATTAATTTTTGTTACTTGGCAAATATCTTCAAGCTCAACGTTTTCAAGCGTTGACTTGATACTTTCCAATTCAATATGAGTAAGTTGAGCACTTGCACAGGGGTTGGTATCTACGGGCTGCCATGCAGAACCATCTGCACTTGTGGTGTTTGAGCCATCTGGCATTATGTATAGTCTGGTATGCGAACCAGTTGTAAGTTGAAGTCTAGAAAAATATCAGCAATTGACAATGATGACCAGTTGAAAAGTCGGAACAATGAGTCGAAAATATGCCGAGTACGGGTCAAATAGATGATTGAATTAGAGCAATCAGGTGCTGAATTGGAAATTTAGTATTTATCGGAACCATATTCACGTAAAATGGAACACTTGCAGTGATTGTCTTTTGCTTGGAGTAAACAATGACTAGATACTTGTTTCATTTTCTACTGGACAGACTGCAACAATATATACAGCGACCATCATATAACGTATGCAAATTCATCACAGTTTCAAATCGATTATCCCTTTCTCATTTGATATGGTCATGCATTGTATGACCACCAAGTTTAAACTCGGATTCATTCAAGTCTGTATATTGGATTTGACTGTTGTCAACAAAATTCGTATTTGTTGTATCTTGATTTCAGATACGCTTGCATTCTAATTCAAGCAAGCAAAATCACATCTCGGGAATACAACTGTTTCCACGCCAATCACCATGATAAATGTCAATCAACCTTGTCAAACAGTTCACATCACGATGTTTATAGTAAACTAAAACCAACTATTTCATAAGACTAGACATTTATTACGTATTGGCACTGTTATTTAGTGCTCCACTTTGTATGAGTACATCTGTAAATCGGTAATATAGTTTCTGGAATTCTCCAGGTATGGCATCTGGGTATAATAAATGGAATTGATCAGTCATAGCATAGCTTAAAAATGACTAATACCTTGTGTTCCTTCAATTCAGCCATATTTGGCTTCAATAAATATCCGCCTGCCAAGTCAATTGAATGGAATATTTAATGCTTTAAATCTAAATGTCGGCCGATTTTTCAACCCTCATAACCAGTCCAAGATTAAAACTGTCACATGGCGAGGGTTACGCAATATAAATAGACCATCAGATTGCTTATTCAAATGATATGGGTATAAAGTAGGGCTATAGGCGGTTTTATTCATCACTAAAAAGTGTTTTTATAGCGTGGCTGTTTGCTTCAGGGTATTTGCCTGAATTAGCTATGGACACTACACAACTGGACGGATTTGTAGAATCCAAAAAAGTAATACCTAATACTCCTAGCGAAACCACCATTGTTTTTCTAAGCAACCAAGCCCAAACTCCAGAATCTCCAGATGGGGGATATGGATGGCTCATTGTTGCTGCCAGTTTTGTGATTAATATTTTTATTGTTGGACTACCTGCTTCATATGGTGTATTTGAAGTAGCGTTTACGACTCAAGAGGATTTTAAAGGTATGCTGATGTTTGGAAACTAAGATACTCTATTTCAACATCGATGCCAACAACCCATCTCTGATATCAGTTCATCCCATTCTATTGTGACTGCAGGTACCTCATCACTGGCCATTGCATTCATTGGCTCTTTGGCAACTGTCGGTATGCCATTGTTTGCCATTATGTCAGGAAGGCAAGTTGAAAATATGTTTTGTTTATTCAAAGCGTCGGATAAATTTATTTAACCTATAAAATAGACTCTCTGATATCTATGGCCCGCGGGTTATATCTTGCATTGGAGCCGTGATTGTGTGCCTGTCCCTTATTATTGCGTCGTTTTCGGTTGCAATATGGCATCTTTATATCACTCAAGGCTTTTTGTTTGGCTTGGGAACTTCATTGTCATATATCCCAATACTTGGAGTCCTTCCGGATTGGTTTCAAAAACGCCGAGGCTTAGCAATGGGCATCGCCGTTTCTGGCGGTGGTATCGGAGGTTTAGCAATTGCACCGATTTTGCAAAAAGTGATATCAACGATGGGCTGGCGCTGGGCACTTAGGATTATTGGAATCGCAAGCGGGGCTGGACTTTTTACCTCGGGACTCTTTCTAAAAATGCGTGTCCCAAGCAAACGATCTACAAATATCGACTTTTCGTATTTCAAAGACTCCAAGTTTGTTCGTCTGTTTCTCATGGCGCTTGTTATATCACTTGGATGGTTTGTTCCACTCTTTTACATTCCAGGATTTGCTGTCCAGTATGGCATGTCAAAAAATATCGCTGCGTTGCTCGTTGGCTTAACCAACGGTGCTTCCGGTATTGGACGTGTTACATTGGGATACCTTGCTGACACCACTGGCCCAGTCAATGTACTTATTTTTTGCAATGTTGTGGCTACGCTTTTAATATTTCTACTCTGGCCATTTGCCACTACTCTCCCGCTGCTGTTGGTATTTGTAATACTATTCGGCTTCGTATTAGGAGGATTCGCATCGCTCGTACCAACAGGTAATGCTTTTTCAAGTCTGTCACTTGTAAATATTGCTATACTTTGATTACATTTTTGCATTGTTTTAATTTTTGGTTTACAGTGGTGTCGTTTCTTTTTGGGTCCAAAGGAAATCTGGCTACAGTTACTGGCATGATTTTCACGGTAAGATTGTCTGATTGCTGGACTACCATGTAATGTACGGCTATTGAATCTAGTCGCAGTCACTGAAACACTTGTACTATTTATTTTATCTAGGGATATATATCAAATCTTTTTGGCTCACCAATCGCTGGTGTTATTATTGACCACTTTACAACCTACACAAATGGCATCAAAAACATTAATTTTACTCCAGCCATCATGTATACCGGCGCATGTTTTTTTGTTGCTACATCCCTTTTAATATCCATCAGATATTCTATGCGAAAACGAACAGTTTTGGAATAGCAGGCATCCAACACTACCTGTTTGATTAGGTATACTGTTTACGCTTAAACAATATAGTATGTGCATATTCCTCTTGATATTCCTATAGTTTTACAGCTGTACTCATACAAAGTGGAGCACTAAATAACAGTGCCAATACGTAATAAATGTCTAGTCTTATGAAATAGTTGGTTTTAGTTTACTATAAAGCATTGTGATGTGAACTGTTTGACATTTATCATGGTGATTGGCGTGGAAACAGTTGTATTCCCGAGATGTGATTTTGCTTACTTGAATTAGAATGCAAGCGTATCTGAAATCAAGATACAAATACGAATTTTGTTGACAACAGTCAAATCCAATATACAGATTTGAATGAATCCGAGTTTAAACTTGGTGGTCATACAATGCATGACCATATCAAATGAGAAAGGGATAATCGATTTGAAACTGTGATGAATTTGCATACGTTATATGATGGTCGCTGCATATATTGTTGCAGTCTGTCCAGTAGAAAATGAAACAAGTATTTAGTCATTGTTTACTCCAAGCAAAAGACAATCACTGCAAGTGTTCCATTTTACGTGAATATTGCGGTAAAATGTCTCAAATATGCAAAAACCAAGCTTAAAATCACCAATTGAATTACGCCTAATGCTATTAGCAAATTCCAACTCCCACAACTAGATCAAAAAAAGATCAAATTTAAGCAATATATCCATCATCAAGTAATTGAAAACAGTTGCCTTTTGTAAGTGGTTTAAACAATCTCAACTACTTGGGCAATGTTACAAGAGTTGAATGCAGTAGCAATTTTATTTCATGGGTTAAATCTTGATAAATATTTTCCCTCCACCTGCACTATATTTTACTGAAAAGGCAAGCATTGCACCAGCTGCAAAACAAGATCCAGAAAACATAATTGACGGTAGAAAGTTGGGAGATATTGTGCCATCAGCTGCTTGAACGGTGAAATGGTCAATCATGGCACCACCAATCGGTGCACCAAACAAACTACCAAAAAAGAGTCCCTGTGAATTATAAATCATATTTATGTTAACATGTATGTTAGAAATACAGACTTGATATCAACAGCAATCTAAACCTACATTGTATATCATTCCCGTTATCGAGCCAATATTTCCTCGTGAGCCAAACAGTTGGGCAGTGACTAGGCCAAGTTGACAAATTTGTTAAAACAAAGTCGACCAACTTTTGCAACTTGGTCAAAAATAAGCTTACCTGTAGAAAGCAATGAAATATATCCACCAACAAAAAATCCAAAGAAAATTACTAAAGCCAATAGAGATTCAAAGGTAGTTGCAAATGGCCAGACACATAAAATGACCGTGGCTGATAGCCCAAGGCAAGATGTCATGACGTTTGTGCATCCCAAATAATCAGCTACAAATCCAAGAGCAATTCGGCCAAGACCAGATGCACCATTCAGCAGTCCTAATAGTAATGCGCCTTGCTCCCTAGAAAGACCGTGATTGATTGCATATGCTATATAAATTGAAGAATGCATCAGTACCTAAATATCAAAGTGCATACTCAATTTAAAGAAATTAAGCTTACAAGGTATAAAAAAGAATGGGATAAAATAGGCAAAAGTAGTAATGAAAGTTGTGGCATATAGACGCAAGAAAATTGACTCGCGAAAATACGACAAGTCAATCGATGCAGCCGCCTTGCGTGGAAGTCGAATCCGTAGCAGGATAGCACCAACCATAACAATGACAAAGCTTGCAATACCAGCTATCCGGAGTGTCCAGCGCCATCCAATATGAGTGATAAGTGCTCTCAAAACAGGGCCCCACGCAAGGCCGCCAATTCCAGCACCAGCAACTGCCATTCCCGTTGCGAGTCCGCGATGCTTGACCCACCAGTCTGATAGAACTGCCAAACTAGGCAGATATGCAGTCGAAGATCCGAGTCCAAACAAAAATCCCTGGGTGACCAAAAAATGCCAGAGTTGTGTCGAGAACGATGCCAGAATCAAAGAAGCAAGAGTAATGAATGCTCCGCAAATGCAAACAATACGTGGACCATATTTGTCTACCAGACGGCCAGACATTATTGAGAACAGGGGCATTCCAGCGATACTAATTGATCCAATAAAGGCAATTGAAAGTGTGGATTCTCCTATATAGTCACCAGTTATTTGATTTTAAAGAAAAATAAATTGTTAGCAAGCATACTAGCCAACGGTTTACAAAATCAATAGAATGGCCTTGAATTGGCAGTTCATCATACTTTATATTTCAATAAACTACTAGAGTCCATGGGAAAACCTACCGGCCAATTCAGGAATATTTCTGTACGCCTGCTGGAAAATTCCAAATGACGACGGTAAACCAATCGCAACTGCATTGACCATAAAACTTGCACACATAATTACCCATGCGTAGCCAGTATCGGTTTTTGGGATGTTTTCGGATTGCACATTTAATGCCTCGAGCGATGAATCTACTTCCACCGTCTCTGATTGCACCAAATCTTTCGATAGTTGTGTTTTAGGGCTACACTGAGTACTTGAATTCATATTCTGCGTTAATTCTCCTAGATCAGACATATGGGTATGCAGAGTAATCCGTTCGGGTTTGATTCAGGCCGGTAAACTTGAAGGTTTTTATAGACTATTTTTCAAGCATTTATCCATAGCGGATAAACAATCTTGTAATATACCGCAGACAATTGCTAGAATGGCCATAAAAATAATCAATGCTTTTATGTTTGGCTTTGCTTGGTAGAAATGGTGAGCATTATAGAGTTTTGTATGGATTCATATCGCATCTGGATACCTAAATCGTCTAGCAGCTAATAGTCTAGTAAAGTTGAAGTCGGTAGTCTATAAAGTTGCACCAGAGCGGTCAAAATCAGTCGCTATGGCACTTTCAATCGACATTTAGAAATAGTTTTGGTTGAAACTCTGACTTGGCATGGTTGTTCAAGTCGGCTAAATCTTCAAAGTTTATTGGTGTGATTCAAGTTATCTCCAAATGAACATTAGAATAAGTCCGCTGTAAATATCCGCAAGAACTATGAGACTAGCGGACATTGTGGAAACGTCCTGCGATCTGGCTATTCCACTTGCACACCATCAACAATAGTTGCATCGTTTTAATACTGAAAAAATTTATTATGATTGCAGTAAATCAGAGGGGAAATATTCAATATATAATTGAAGTATATACATGGATAATACATTTGGAGTTAGACTTTGGTCCAGAATTTCATACGACCTGTCGTCATTTTGATGGAAACTAAGAACATGGCACTAGTAAACAGGCAGCATCCAGAAAACATGATGGACGGCAAAAAGTTGGTATGTTTTGATCCATTGGCACTAATCGTGGTGAATCGATCAATCATTGCACCAGCAATGGGCGATCCAAACAGGTTTCCCCACATAAGACCATTGTACACCATGCCTGTTATGGTGGCAATGTCACCATTTGCACCCAACTGTTGTGCAACAATAGTTGGCAGGAGGGCTACATAGCCTCCAATAAAGAATCCAAACATGACCACTACGCACACAACAGATCCAAAAGAAGTTGCAAATGGCCAGATAGTCAAAATTGATATAGCTGCTGTTGTAGCACATGCAGCAATCGTATTAATTCTGCCAGCGTAATCACCAGAAAACCCAAGAACGACTCGACCAAGTCCAGATGCTCCATTTAAAATGCCAATAAGAAGCGCACCTTGTTCTCGAGTCATACCATGGCTGACCGCGTAAACTATAACAGCAAGTCAATGTATGATTAGTTTGATCAGTATTGTCAATGCACAAAATATCATCAGATAAAGACTAAGCACTTACTGGATATGAAAAAGAAGGGAATAAAATATCCAAACGAGTTGAAAAACGTAACGAAATAAAGTCGAATAAATACACTGTTTTTTAAACAAGACAGATCAATCGTCCTTTTAGCAACTCGTTTAACTCGAATACGTAGCAAAAGTGCGCATATTAAAATAACGGCAGATCCACACATGGCAACTGTTCGGAGCGTCCAGCGCCATCCGATACTTGTGATGAGCGCACGTAGAATAGGACCCCATGTAAGTCCACCAATACCAGTTCCTGCAACTGCAACTCCCGTTGCAAATCCACGACGCTTGACCCACCAATCTGATAAAACTGCCAGGCCAGGTAGATATGCAATTGAAGACCCGAGTCCAAACAAAAATCCATGGGTAATTAACAAATGCCACGTCGCATTGGAAAACGATGCGATGATCAAAGAAACCAAAACGATCAAAGCACCACAGGCACAAACAATGCGTGGACCATATTTGTCTACCAAGCGACCAGCCAGAATTGAAAATATGGGCATTCCAGCAGCTCCAAGAGATCCAACAAAAGCGATTTCAAGATTTGATGATTCTGTTTTGAAACAATCCAGAGTATACAAAAATGAGTACCAATGTATACATCTAGTACAACAGTGTCTCAAAATCACCAAATTGGAAATACAATACAATATACTATTCAAAACTCACTTGCAAATTCGGGCTCTTCTTTGTAAGCCTGTTGAAATACGCCAAAAGAGGTGGGAATACCGATGGATATAAAATGAATAAAGAAGCTTGCAACCATAATCACCCAAGAGTAGCCACAATCTGGAGGAATAGCTGCTTCATTTTCTAGATCTGCATTCATTTTGATGTCCAATTTTTCTTGCTCATAGTCATCGTGATCTAGACTCGGTAACGGTGCAGTTGTTGATTTATTGAACTCGGCTGGCTTGGGAAAAGCAAGAGTCACTTGATGTGTCGTGTCATGGTTGCAGCTTGTACTTAAACTACTTTGACTGGACATATCTGCAGATTGTGTGGGTAGATGACAGCTATAGGAAGGAATATGCTTTGGCATTTTATATAGCTCGTTCATCTCAATTCTAGCTATGTGTGGCTGTAATCATCACCTGCATACAACAAGCACATTAAACATATTTGCTTGTCATCCGGCTTAGTCGCTTTGTACATGATAAAGGAGATTAGACCAGCTAAGGAAGTAAGCCCGGCTAAACTATTCAAGGTAGAATAGCTAGTGGAGAACTAGCATCTCAACAATAGTTATCGGAAGAACCCATCTATGGTTTTCCCGATAGCAAGGTACTACCACAACACTGGTGCTTGAATAAAAATACTAAGCCGAAAATTTAAAAATCCGGTTTCAAAGAGTCGATGGTTCATCTTACTTTTTCACCAATGGGGTTTAGTTTAGCAATAAAACTCTGAAAAGACTCGAGTTGGAGCAGGGTAATACATGGCGTGGTGAGCCAAGAATTCGAGATAATCTACTACACAGTACTAACTTGTAGTACATGCAACCCCAATAAAAGCACATATGCACAGTTTAGACTTGGATTTAGGCTATTGTCACTAAAATAGCACTTGTATACAATGTCTGGGTACTAGCAAGTCTAAAAAGCATATCTGAAAAATCTGCATTGGATGCTTGATTGTAATTGTGTTTCTGGCATAGCCTCAATGGCCATCTTAATGTCAGTACTCAATCCGGATATGCTCCTCAGCCTGGAATAGCCAAAAAAGTATTTGTTATGTTCACAGCTTTACTGCGCTTTTGAAATAGCAGCTTTTGTATGCGATTAGCCATGTCTAATGACTACGTAGGTCAATAAACAAGGCTTTTAGATCATTAGAATATATTGATGGTAGAAGACTCACATTGCCATGGATCAAACATAGCCCTCAAATTACCATGGATCTGCTCAATTACTAAGCCAAATGGATTTTGAGGCCTTGAACCATTAAAACAATCTCGACTACAATAAAAAATCATGACTAGAGTACTAAGCCTTTATTTTCATTGCAGTGTTCAAGTCGACACACTTTCGGCCAAAATAAACTAGTCCCGAAATGCTTGAATACTACTCCGCCAAGCAGCTTGCCCAAGCACATACTTTGAAGTCTGCTATACCAAACACTCTTGAACAGTTCAAGAGTATATCAAGTCTGGCAGTTTTTGATTGATATATAAATAGGCACACTTGGCCGACATTATATATTAATCAAAAACTTCAGAGTTGTAAATTCATCAGCTCAAATATCGTGTCTACAAATTTAAACTATTCAAGTTGGCCGCAAAAAGTTTATTAAGATTCCACTTTAGGATTCGACATTTGTTCTTATTTACATAACTAGATCTACAATTCTTTCCAATGATAGAGCTCAAGCCAGTAAATTCGACAGCTTTAGACTTTGACCCAGAATTTCATACGACCTGCAGACATCTTGACGGAAAGCAAAAACATGGCACTGGCAAACAGGCAGCATCCAGAAAACATGATGGACGGCAAAAAGTTGGTATGTTTTGATCCATTGGCACTAATCGTGGTGAATCGATCAATCATTGCACCAGCAATGGGCGATCCAAACAGGTTTCCCCACATAAGACCGTTGTACACCATGCCTGTTATGGTGGCAATGTCACCATTTGCACCCAACAGTTGTGCAACAACTGTTGGCAGGAGGGCTACATAGCCTCCAATAAAGAATCCAAACAAAATGGCAAGGCCCAAAATAGCTCCAAATGTTTTTGCGACAGGCCAGATAGTGACAATGGCAAGTCCTGCAATTGCAACACTTGCTGTCAATGTATTAATTCTGCCAGCGTAATCACCAGAAAATCCAAGAGCGACTCGACCAATCCCAGATGCCCCATTTAAAATACCAATAAGAAGCGCACCTTGTTCTCGAGTCATACCATGGCTGACCGCGTAAACTACAGCAGTAAGTCAATGTATGATTAGTTTGATCAGTACTGTCAATGCACAAAATATTACCAGATAAAGACTAAGCACTTACGTGAAATGAAAAAGAAGGGAATAAAGTAGGCAAACGAGTTGAAAAAAGTAACAAAGTAAAGTCGAATAAATACAGTGTTTTTGAAATAGGACAGGTCGATTGATTTTCTAGCAACTCGTTTAACTCGAGTACGTAGCAAAAATGCGCATACTAAAAGAATGGCAGATCCACACATGGCAACTGTCCGGAGCGTCCAGCGCCATCCGATATGTGTGATGAGCGCACGTAGAATAGGACCCCATGTAAGTCCACCAATACCAGTTCCTGCAACTGCAACTCCCGTTGCAAACCCACGACGCTTGACCCACCAATCTGATAAAACTGCCAGGCCAGGTAGATATGCAATTGAAGACCCGAGTCCAAACAAAAATCCATGGGTAATTAACAAATGCCACGTCGCATTGGAAAACGATGCGATGATCAAAGAAACCAAAACGATCAAAGCACCACAGGCACAAACAATGCGTGGACCATATTTGTCTACCAAGCGACCGGCCAGAATTGAAAATATGGGCATTCCAGCAGCTCCAAGAGATCCAACAAAAGCGATTTCAAGATTTGATGATTCTGTTTTGAAACAATCCAGAGTATATAAAAATGAGTACCAATGTATACATCTAGTACAACAGTGTCTCAAAATCACCAAATTGGAAATACAATACAATATACTATTCAAAACTCACTTGCAAATTCGGGCTCTTCTTTGTAAGCCTGTTGAAATACGCCGTATGAAGTAGGCAAGCCAATCGTTACAAAATGGGTAAAGAGACTCACAATCATAATCACCCAAGAGTAGCCACAATCTGGAGGAACAGGATCATCATCCTTCCTAATGACTCCGTCTTCGCACATGTCATCAGTCTTGAACGTATCAAGCAATTCATCTTTCAAAACTTTATCGACAAGCCGATCATCAGCAACACGTTCGGGTGCTTTTGACAGAGCCAATGCATATGTGTGTGTCGAGTCGGTAACATGCCTGGAGCTCTGATTGTCTGGATCGGCCATTTTAAAATCTTTAAACTGGATCCAAAATAACAAAAGAACTATTTCTAAGCCCATTTATATATCATTCGGCTGCATTATATAAACTGCGGAGTTCTAATATGGCGAATGTATTGATGATGCCATTTTTAACTTTGTTGTGGTATTTTAAAACTAGATCAATTCAAAGCATTTTGCTAAGTAGTGAAATAAGAATTTCACAAGGGAGTGTTGTTGGCCAAGTCACCCGTATAGGGTTTGATTGCATATTGAAAGCATATTGCTTTGAAGTCTACACACTCTTTCAATCGATGTATTGCGCAGTATAATTTACCGCTATATTCACGCAAAATGAAACTTTTCTACATGTGTATTGTAGTGATTGCTTCAATTTTGCTTTGGAATATGCAATGTCCAAGTGCTCATGCTTTCCTACTATACATTGACTGCATTGCCTCTTTAATATACACCATCAGTCTTTCCTCAATGTTTGGAATCGTACGCCGTACGCCGTACACATTCATTTTCATTGTACTAAAGCGGTCGTCTTTAACTGTAAGAATGGACAATACGGAGCTATGCAGCAAAACTCTATTTCGCGACATTGCTGTTTGTTGGACAGTTGGAGATCATGCCGAATCACTGAATCTGTAGTTTTGTAAAATGGTATATTGTTGAAAGTCAAATTGAGTATTAGCAAATGTATTTTCAGTGATATCCACAAATATTGGAATATCAAAATAGTATGACTTTCTTGATCAGCCGCTAAATACAATGGCTATCATACGATGCACATAAACTATAGGGTTGAACTAGAACTGTCCATTTGTTCCTGTTTGACGGTCGTACATTGTACATTTACCAAACGTGAAATCAAACCCATTGTAATCTAAATATTAGGTTCGACTGTTTTGATATTCCCAATCAAACTCAAGCTTCACTTTGTTGTATCCAAAATCAAATACTCTTGCGATTCAGTTCAAGGAAACAAAGATTGCAGTTCCAGGAATGCAACTGTAAATGCCAATCACTCGGTGTTATAATGTTTGGTTTCGATAGTTTGAAATTAAACAAGTGCTAAAGATATGAGATCTATTAAGACTGTAATGTAAACATTCAAATTTTTGCAAAAACGAGCACAAATACCAGTCAACTTTGTTGATGAATTCAAAAGATAAAATGCACAGTAAATCGGGTGGAAGCTGGCATCAATCATGTGGTGAGAATTGACTGCTTATCATACATTTTGATATCCTTATTTAGTGTTCTATTTTACCTGAATATAGCTGGAAAATTAGTGCGATAGTATTGCTTGTTACTGAGATGCACTATATTTGTTTTAGTGGGTACCAATTTGATTATTATCCGCAGATCATAGCCACAATTGAAAATCCGGCTTTGAATTTGTACTGCTTTAGGCAGGTTTAAAAATGCATTTAGAATACGGACGCCCTTATCGGCGTATTTGTCCAATTTACATGAAATAATAACAATAAGCTTAGCTTTAGCATAGGGTGCTTAACTCACAGCAAGTGATCAAGAGCATGAAAACGAAGAGACAATGAAGAATTGTCTGCAACCATCACTTGTCTTTTTCACCTCCGCTGTGTATTTAGAAAGTACTTGCATAAAACTCATTCAACCACATTCTTGTGTGGTTGGGTTTGATGATGCTCCTTTGCAAACATTAGTGGATTTATGTCGGCTGATTTGAATAGTGGAAGCATGTGTTGCTCGCACTTCCTGTACCGCGGCGACAATCTGATTTGTTGAAGCGGTCAATTTGCTGAATGACCTGCTGATTCTCTTGATTAAATATAGGATATTGTTTGGTCCAGCGGCAACTGCTTGGTGAGATTACTGGCCTTGGTCTGGCACGGGTTCAATATTTCATCTATAGTTTATGCTAATCTACAACAATCGTGCAGTTTTACAAACGAGGAATTCATATTGTTGGAGTGCTGCAACAGCAACTTGCTTGATGCTATCAGAATGTTTCCAAAACATGATGGGGCGACTTTTGAAATAAATATATTTTTTGTCCTTGTTCATTGTGCTGAACTGGGAACTTTATGCTTACTACCGCTGTATTCATGTAAAATGAAACATTACTAAATAGGGGTGTCCAAGTAATAAACACCCAATTCACTCGACAACATTATATCCTAAACTCTTTATTTCACCAGTCTTTCTCTTGACGGTCGGTATGGAAACAAAAGTTGCATCCTGAGATGGCTTTCTTGAACTAGATCGCGAACGTGAATTTGTAGTTTGACAACAACCAAATTCAATATCGAGTGACCGTACAATGTATGGTCATATCCAAAGTGGAAAAAGAAAGTCTGACTGTGTGCGCATCATATGATGAACGTTGTATTTACTCAAGAATCGAATTGGCTTGACTCATATCTTCATACTCGAGTCGGTATTTATTGTTAGGCTAACAGTTGATATTCTCTAAAAACAGCCGAAACTAATGCAAGATCTACCAAAATGTTACAAACCAGTAAAGTGCATTTGAATATCTAGACTAGCAATATTAAAATCCAACTAAACTAAACTATTTCATTCTTACTGGTATTAGTAGATGTCGAACAAATCCAATTTTATTTGTACACAATCATTTGCCACATTGTGCCCAAGCCTACAAAAGGCAAGTTTATATCATTGTTGCAAGACATCTCCGTAGCATCCATTTCACATGGATTTCGTGATATACCAATACCTAGTTCTTGGTCGGCGCTGGTTTGGCTCCGCGACGGTATTGGGTTGGCATATCTACAGTTACCCCGAGTGCTTGTGCAGCCTGTCCAACCCAAATGGGATTTCTTAAAAGCTCACGTCCTAGCAAGATCAAATCAGCTTTACCTTCCTGCAAGATGGATTCGGCATGGTGTGGGTCAGAAATGCCACCAACTACGCCAGTATGCATGCCAGAAGCATTCTTTGCAATAGCTTCAGAAAAAGGAACGTTCCAGCCTGCATCATGTGAATGCAGGGGCGAGACACTCGCATGCGGCACGTTACCACCAGATGAGCAGTCGATCAGATCAACTCCGAAATTAACGAGTGTTTTGGCAAGTTGGACAGTATCGTCGCTTGTCCTAAGATCACAAGTGTTGAGTAATATGTAAATTGAATACACTCAGACTCGTCTAGTCGAATTAACACACAAGCCAAGTAGAAACAATGCAATCAACTTACCAACCACCTTCGGCCCAATCGCTACACGACAGACGCACAAATACAGGCTTACCTTCTGGCCAATGCTTGCGAACCTCCTGACAGACTTCAATCAATAGTCTGGATCGGTTTTCAAACGAGCCACCATAGCGATCAGTACGCTTATTTGTAAGAGGGCTGAGGAATTGGTTGATGAGATAACCATGAGCACCATGAATCTCGATAACATCAAGACCAGCTTTGTGAGATCGACCGGCTGCAGCGCCAAAGGCAGCAACCACTTGAGCAATATCATCAAGGGTTGCTTCGCGAGATTGGCCATCAGTTGGCCATCCAGGAACAATGGAAGGAGCAATAATGTTGTTGGGCCAACCGCCATGTTCTTCTGGAGCGATAGAAGGATGCAACTGCTTGCTTTTATCTAGTGTTGGAGAATAGTAGCCCGCTTTACGGCCAGCATGGATCAGTTGAATGCCCAGCTTTGCACCTTGAGTATGGCAAAAATCCGCAAGCTGCTTTAAGCTTACTGCTTGCTCATCACTCCAAATTCCGGAGCATCCAGTAGAGATGCGACCATTAGGAGTAATGCTAGTAGCCTCGATAATGATCAATCCCACACCTTGAATAGCATATTGAGACAAGTGTGCAATTTGCCACCTACAGACGGTAGATGATGATTTGTTTTAGTATGGATCATCAAGTCATGCCCGTTGAAAATAACACTGGGATTCGCTACCAGTGTTTATGCACCACAACCCAAAAATGACAATAATCCACTAAAGTGTACTTACATATTGATCATACCATCAACACAAGAATACATGCACATTGGGGATAATGCAACTCTGTTCTTGAGTGTCACTTCTCGCAACTTCAATGGAGTAAACAGTAATGGCAAGGCAACACCATCTTGTTTGACTGCATTAAAGGTGCTCACGACCTGGATGGGCTCAGGAGCCTGGAAAGGAGGAAGGCCATTGAATGAAGAGATCATGATCCGATAAAAATAGTGAGCCAATGGGATAAGATGGAGCTGCTTATATTTGTATATATATTAGTTTGGAAGATCTAGGCTTGCATATACCCATAGATGGCGCAATTCAAATATCCGGCTGAGTCGCTGTCATTTTTTATCCGAGGCAATGAGCTCTGCAATCGACACCCAATGCTTCTACATATCATCCATGAAGCCAAATTCTCAGATTTGCTCGGCTCGGCTTTGAACCACCTTTCTCCCAGCCCCATATTCTTGAGCATATACAGCTGTGTATTTACCTTGCAGTGATTCCCTCTATCTGCTTTGGAGTAACCAAATATCCGCTGCCCTTTTCTGCTAGAAATTAACATTTTCAATTCTTTAATAAACACAACGATCACCATGACACAATCAAGCCATAGTTTTGAATTGAGCTTATTCCTTCTCTTTATCAGAATAGCCATGCATTGTACAATCACCAAACTTGAAGCCAGATATTTGGTTCAACCGCTCTAATACCGTCAAACTACAAACTTGGACGTTCGCGCTCTAGTTCCAAAGAGCCATCCCAGGAATGCAGTCATTGCTTCCATACTGATCGCCAGGAAAGACTAGCAAACTTTAATGAGTTCATATGGCGCAATATTGCTCAATAAATTTGGCGTGAATTGCTATTTCACGAGACTGCACTTTGGTACCCTTATTTAATGTTCCATTGAATACAGCTGTGGAAACAGTTGCGATGTTTATTTATGTTTCTCAATGAGAGCTGTAAGCTTGGCTGGATCAGCACCAACAACCTCATCTGCAAGTTTTCCTTCCTTGTAGAGTTGGAAAGTAGGCATGGCACGAATGCCGGCAGTCTCGGCAACCTCGGGCACCTTGTCCACATCAACCTCGATAAAAACAACAGTGTCAAAGTCGTTGGAAAAAGCATGGAATTTGGGAGAAATGACTTTGCATGGTCCACACCAGGTTGCAAAAAAGTCCACTAGAACACAGATTCGTAGTCAGTGAATCGGATTAGCATATCGTCCAAGTAAAAAATATAGCGGTTGCCAATGAGCAATACTAATCTATGTTGGACCAAAGAGAATAATATATTGGATAACCAAGATAGTGAATTGAAAGAGAATGGCTGCTTTTTACGTTTGTGGAAACAACAAAAGTAGACAAGACTAGTGTATGGTTGCTAGTATCCAGTCTGGCATGCACAAATCCTGTCAAAGGACAATATATGACCAGCATCCATCCATAGAGACAGCATACCAATTCAAAGCCACTAAACCAGAACTCTCCACCAAAGAAGATCTGACCAGCTCTTCAAAAGTACTAGCAATCCAGACCACACAACTTCAAGCAAATCACTAATATACTCAAGCAACTCACCAACAACAGTGGGATTCTTTGCAATGATCTCCTCAAACTCAGCAGCGGTAGTAATACTAATGACTTTGCCAGCACCCATTTTACGATTGTTTTGGTGAGAAGTTGAACAGGCAATTTTGTTCGTTTTTGAATCACCGCGGAAAATTGAAAACAAACTGGAAAACATTTCGTTTGCGGAGGATTGGCGTTAGTCCACTGGGGTATCTTGACCACTCGGAGTATATCTGGATGGCTGTCCTATTATACGATTAAAAGCTAGCAATTATAAACTTCCTTTACAGCTGTATTCACGCAAAATGAGCCACTAAGTAATAGAAAGTATAATAACAGTCAGTCATGAAATAGTTCGTGTCAAATTGTGAATTTGAATCACCCACAGTTATTGACAAAGGGATGAGAACGGAGAGAGAAATGAGAAGTCGTCAGCAATCAAAAGTGTTGTATCACGTGTATTTTAGAGGTATTCGTATAGATTTACAAGCATATTCATACAACAGAACATGAATAAAGGTACCAAAGTACGCAATAAACAGTTAGTCCCATAAAGAACCTTGTTTATTGAAAACCTGATGATCCCAGTTGAAGACGCAATCAATTTGTAGTAGAAAAACAACAAATATTTAGATATTGTTTATTCGAGACCAATGGTATACTCCGAGTTTTATTTTACGCGAATACGACTTCAATACAGAACAAATCTAATCCCGCATGACTTTACAAGCTGCTCAAGATGCAAACTAGGAATTTAAATTCAATTCAAACTCGTTATATGCCACATTTGTGTATGTCAGCTCTACAGTGATTTGAAAATTCTTGCCTAACCCAATTCGAAATGCAGCACATTGAGAATCTACAAGACAAATCCCATCAGTCACCCTCCACATCGCTGCAGAATAGCCAGTTAAACCACATGTCCCAATATCGCCCACTCCCACAGGATATCTTAAACATGAGCGAAATGGACACAGCTTGCCAATATTGTGGTATTTCGTATCTCTTGCTTTCAAAATATGAAAACATGGAGAAGCATATTCAAAAGGTGGATATCGAAATGGCGCAGCTCAAGGTCAGCTTTAAATGACAACCATTCATGCTCATAACCAATGAAATCAACCTCTAAAATGTACTGAAAAGATATTGCAATATAAGGCGAACCCTAAAAAATTGATTTTGCTTATACAATGAAACTAAATCTTGTAGAAATACATTCAAGAGCGACCACAATTATTAGCTCAACTCGAATCACTTGCTGCTCATAACACGCGACTTGATCAAGCCCATAAAGATAGCGAATGTAGATTAACAGAATGCCAGATAAAATTACAGAAAGAAGAATATAAATCCCAAGAGTTGTTGCAAAGAACCCAAGAACTAAGGCACCAATTAGTAAGATGGATTATATGATCATTCTATATAGCGTAATTGGCTAACTTGTAGATAACACTGCAGGAACATGCGCGCGAAGCTACAAAGCAGGCAGAATCCAATATCGAATTACAAGCATCGACAATGACAAGAAATATCATCAATTTGAGATACAATGTTATTCGGGCACAAAGCGACTTGGCAAAGTTGAAAGGATATATAAGCAGCAGGTGAGTGCTCTGATATTACAATCGATCTCTGCCGTTCAACATATGAATTGCATTTTATATGGGGTTGAGTTTGAATCTGCTTTGTAAACACTAATGCTTGATACTAGTATTATATCCGTTGTAACAGAAGCTAAATTGACCGCACATAAGCAAATTATTGAGCAGATTACAAAATCTCAACAGCAGGCAATTGAATCAGCAGTAAAACAATCAGAACAAAAGTCTTGTACGATCATTTCTTCACTCCGCAAAGAAACTCAAGCGCAAAAACAGTTACTTAAAGACAGGTCAGTTTAATAGTGTACGCCTCGTTTGATGTGTAAACTGCATCAATATTTTAACTGGCACTCACCCAGATATTTGCTCATTGATAAACCGGTGCTATGTGTATATCGTTTAGCCAAAAACAAAACCAAGGCATTGTAGCAGAACTTGGACTAATCAAAAAAGAATATTCAGCCTACATTGATGGCCAGCGCACGTATACTCAAGATCTTCAATCAAATCACCTAGCATTGGAAAAAAGGCTGCATTATGCCAATCGCGATGTTTTGGTACACACCTTTGAATGCACTTTGGTATATTGTTTTTCAAGATATTAATCAATTATTGTACTTCAATAATGAATGTTTAGGATATTACAGCCGAGAGAGAGAAAATATACGCTAAAAACCAAACTATACAAACCAAGCTGGACACAATTCAACAATCACACGAAGCGCTATGTGATGATTACAATCGAAAAATACTAGATCTTCAAACACAACTAAGCAGAGAACAGGTAAAGTCGACATGTATTGCATCAAATACTGATTAAACTATTGCTTTAATGATAATTAAATGATTTTGTATGTACCTATTCATTCAAGTTGGCATACAGTAAAAAAATAGTACAGCTTGAAGAGACGGTCAAGGAGCTGGAGGAGCAGCATTTTTCAAAAAATGATCCAGCACAAAATAGACTACATAAAGCAATGGCTAAAAAAGATGTAGGTTATAAACGAAACTCGAAAACATGATTTGATTATTGGTTCTTATGTGATCTAGCTACATTGCGTTTAGTAACTTTACTGTAACTATGCATATTAAGGAGCAAATTATGATTATGGAAAAAACCGTTCGAGAGTTGAATACCAATATTTCTGCAATGCGGAGTGAGCGTGTTCAAACAATTGAAGCTCATCAAAGTCGTATCAAGCAGCTACAAGAAAAGTTTTTGGAAGATATTAAACATGCTGGAGAAAAAAAGGTAATTTCCGCACTAAGCAGATGTATTGTGTAGCAATCTATTTTTTAATGTAGTATTAACGTGATATGTTGACTGCCGAGTCAGACTTCTGACAAAGAAATCGAAATTCGACGTATTTGTAGTGAGGAAAAAATTGAGGCTCTTTGCCAACAACGCAAATCAATGCAGCAGGTAAAATAGCATGCGCTCTATTAAAACCATCCATTAGACTCCAAATGTTGTTTGTTATGAGTGCTGATAATTTGTAAACCTTATTTCAATCATATTTTTAGGAGTTTGAAATAGAAAGGCAAGATTTAAATAATCAGATTGACTCTTTAAAGAATGCAGCCAATTCGGTCAATTTAGCTACACTTAACCACATGGAAAGTACATACAAGCAGAAAATCGCTTCTTTGACAGATCAAATGATGCAAAAAGAGGTACTGTAATCATTATAGTTTTTGGTCAATATGTTCATCTTGACATTGCATGTTAATCTACCATATTCATGTTCTAGGCACGCTATACCAGCGACTGTGAAAAGTATCATAGTCAAGTCGATGCACTTGAAAAAATGCTGTCAGCTACCAAAATAGCACTGGAGGAACAGTCCATGGGAACAGAACAAGAGCGCATATCTCAGTTAAAAAAAACGATATCAGTCAAGGATTCCGAAATTAAATTTTTAAAGGATACGGTCAGATTAGAGTGCGAGGAAAGAATGGGATTGGTGTCAATGGTAGCAAGGCTTAAACTCGAAATGCATAATAGTCCCAATACCATGTGTAAATTGACCAATGTGACCAAGCCTAGTGAAGAAAGTCATTCTTACAACCAATCTATACAGATAAAAGATGAATCTACATATACACGATCGCGACCGGGATCTGCCGCTGGACCAAAGCATTTGACCCAATCCAAACCTTCAAGCAAATCCACCCCATCTCACAAAAATGTCCAAATGGATAATGGCAAGTCATTAGGAACACAGTCTAAATCACAACTCCCTGATGGAAATCAACCAATGCGAGGAGTGTTGGAGTTTGAAAGGCTAATGCATGCTGCAGCTGTCAAAAAAAATCAGAAAATGGCAAAACTAGCAGCAGCAAGAATTTAGATAATACAATTTCATAGATAAAACGCTTGCATTATGTTTACAATTATTTAAAATCGAGTTTCCAAGGTCTGATTTAGGAATGTTTATGGTATATTCATACTAGACTTGCTGGTGTTGCTCGACTAGATGTTGTAACCAAAACAATGTGTATTGACTTCAAGTGAATTAGTTTATTTGATTGATTGCATCTATAAACATTTAAAGCATTTATAAAGTAAAGTATTCACGTAAAACGAACCACTAAATAAGCTAAAATATAGCGAGAATGCTCACATTTCTATTCCAATACATTCCACATCCTTGACATCTGTTTAACCCCAAACTTTCCTTTTCTACAAAACGAACATTTGAAGTAAGCATTTCGTGACTGGCATGAAAACAGCAATTGTATTCTTGAAATGCTTGAACTAGAGCGCAAACGTATCTGATGTTAGAATACAACAGAGTTTCAATAAAAGTAATCAATTTCCAATAACAACGAATATTCAACCATTGTTTATTTTGAAGCAAAATAGAGTCAATACAAGATCAATACTAGAAAGTTGTATTTTACGTGAATACGGCTGTAAATCTAACCCAGAAATGTTAGCAAACAATTTAAAGGCATCCACAAGAGTGTGGTTTGCACATTGGCGTAATCGTATAAGCAATATTTAAATTCACTTGTATATAATTGCACATCTATTAGCCAAGATACAGCTATTAAATCGTTTAAACTTCCTCTCAAGGTTTTGCTCAGGATTTTAATTGGATTCTTTTAAATCTCCTTATCTTGTGCGTTTAAAGATTTTTCACAAATTTCTTTTTAGTAGTCATTTCAGTCGTTGCAAATTCGTTGGCCAAACCACTAGCATCATTTTTGATTGTAGCTTTAGATTTCGAGTTGATTTTAGAGGGTTTGCGGTAACAAGCCAAATATTCACAGTGAAAGCATACAAAAGAGCCATGTGCCATTGCATCATTGTATCTGCGACGAATACCAGACAGATATCGCCGATACTGTCTTTTGCGCTCTTCCAAAGATAAAGTAGACTCTGCAACAATCAGTGGGTCAAGTTCATTTCCAGAAACAATTGGATTGACCACAATTGATTGTGCTGGAACAATAGTAGCTGAAATAGGAATAGAATTGGTCGAGGCTCGAGTACGCGCTGAAAAAGCATCAGGACTGAAAATCTGCTGATTTGTAATCGCAGCAGGTCGGTCTTTTACTGATACAAAGGCTGCTCTAGTTTCAGTGGGTTTTACCGTAGCAGTCTTTGCAACAGATGTTTTAAAAGTTGTGTATCTTTCTGACAATGAAGTCAAAATAGGTGCGACAGTTACTTTTTCAACAATAGTTTGATTCAAAGCATGTGGAACACTAGAACTAGCTGTCATACGAGACGTACCGGTAAAGGCATCCAATTCCCGACTACCCAACTTTTCCGTAGTATTTGAAACACTCTTAATATCATTTACTTTGGGATCAAGATTAGAAGGTGTAATAGCAACAATGGAGGATTGTGGCATGGATTTCTGTATGGCTATCATTGAATCTAGATCCTTTTTTAAAAGTGGATTTTTGGTAGGAGATTGCATTGGAACAGTATTTTTTTTTGCCAAACGTAGCCGAGCTGCTTTTAATGATGCCGAAGGCGTAACTATTTTAATCTGATCGTTACGCGGTTTAATCTTTGTGGACTTGCGACTTTCTGTATGTTCTCTAGCCGTTTTTAAAGATGATGATTTTTGAAAATTTACTTTTAACGCAATTTGTGGAGTAGAAAGAACTGGTGTCACTGTAGATTCTGAAACTGAGGTAGGTATGTCATTAGCGATTATAGTATGAGTGGCGGATAGTGTTGCTGCGTTTGGCGGCTCTCTCAGAGGTTGTATATGCTCCTTGTAAAGTCTATTTAAAATTGTAGGTTTTATAACCTTTTGGGACCCAAAAACAAGCGGCTTGGATGCATGATCAGCTGAAAATTTAAAATCGTACATGTCAAATGGAGTTGAAGGGGGTGGCTGGCCAAAAGCTACAGTATCAGGCTTGCTAGTTGGAAAGGGATTAGTTGGCTTGAACCCATACTTTGGATTTTTATGCGAGTCGTCCATGCATTTCTCAAAGGAGCATTCATTCAGTGCCATATCATAAGCACTAAAGCAAGTTTGTAAATAATCTTTAGAATCCAAGTCAGATCTTGATGATAATGGGTGACGCATTTGTTTGGATTTACCAAAAAACCCCAATGATTTTTTTGGTTCCTTTTGGTTACAATCAATTTCAACTTTTTGTGGTTGCGCTATCTTTAAAGTAGCTGTATTGGTTATTGAATCTGGAGCTTCTTACAGTTTGTCGAAACATGGACGTGAGATTGTGTTTTTTGTAATAGTATGAACCAAAGGGAATAAAGGATCAGTAAAAGTTGAGTTTGAACTTGGCAAGCTGGAAAATACCTTTTGGTAGTGCTATTCCAGATCTCATAAATGACGTAAATGAATTTTTATGGCTTTTGTTGGGCAGCATGGTGGCTATTGGGGCTACAATCTATCAACACATGCAATAAGATAAATATATACAATTTATGAATTGGGAAAATTTGGTAGTCTGTGACACAAGATTTAAAACAATAGCAATTTGAAGCTATGGATGTAGATTGTATTGATAAATCTTACATTTGGTGAATCTGCATTCTGGATATCAGATGAGCTCATCAATTCAAGGCACGCAATAGATTTAAGCATAGTGTCTGATGACACTTCGACTGGATCTGGAAATGCAATCCGTTTGCTGCTTTCGATATCCAGACACGTTGCAGACTGTGTCGTCAAAGGTTTCGAGGTTAAAAAAGGCTGTCTACGCAAAAACATACTATATTTCTTTTGTTTGGGAGAATCAATAGTGGCTGCTGTTTTTGTCAAAAATGATCTTTGAGTCGTAACATTTGTTGGTTTTAACTCTGTATCAGAACTGATGGATGACATATCAAGAACACAAACATCACGGCTTTTAGATCGCTGAGATGCTTGAGGTGAGTTTGATATCACCGAAAAGTTTTGAGGTACATCAGCGTGAGTATGCATTGCAGAGGTTTGTGATGTTTTTTTAGTCAATATTTCTCCCTTGGGATTTCCAAGAGAAAACTGTGCACTGTCAACTGTAGCAATCAAAGAACTTGCCGAGGCACCAATATCTGAACAAGCTTTGAAACACTTTGGCGAATCAGCATGCTTTTCAACAGGCTAAGCATATTTGAGTTTACAAAATAGTTAGTTATCCAAATTTTAATCGCATTTTTCGTCGGCATCCCAAAACACTTGCGACACGCTTGTCGTTCAAATTTAGACTCACAAATATCGTTTTTTGCTCTTGCGGTATTTGAGTCGTTGATACACTTGTTGACTGTGTATTTTGAACACATTCTAAATTTTCACTGCTATTAATAGCAGTCATTATAGGGTTTTTTGAATTCAACAAAGATCCACTGTTGGATGCTGCACAAGATCTGCCTCTATTTTTTCTTTTGGCCTTTCCAAAGGGTCTAGCTTGTTTTTGCAGTGACGGCAGCTGTTGGGTGCAAACACGATTGCAAGAACCTTGAACATGATTTGTAGTAAGACTATCCTGACTAGCAATTTGAGCTGTCAAATGTTGAGTACCATCAATTATATGCTCTTTGTGACGAATGGGAGCATGTTTCAGATTGGAATGATTTGATTCAATAGTATCAAGCAATAACTTGCTGGAAAACCCGTTCGGCTCGCCCAAGTTTGATCCAATGAAATTCGATCCAAATACACGCATAGGCGGTTGATTTGACTGATTGAATGGTAAAGGTTGTTTCTGAATATATGGAGTGGCCAGATTTAAAACAGCATTAGCAGCTGCTGCGTTTCTTGTCTGTAGAATTGCATTGCTACTGGCTCGAATCTGTGGTTTTAAAGTTCCCTCAGCCAAGGCGGTCGCAATAGGTGATGGACTTGAACTCTTCAAAGTAGGATGACAAGATGCTGTGCTATTTTTAGGTACTGCTTTCAAAACAACAGGCGCTACTGACTGTGCTTGTTGGATTGCTTGACTTTTAAAATTGCCTCCTGGGATGGCAGATTGGATTTTCTCGACAGTATAGTTCAGATTAGCATTGTCATCGCCTCTTTGCAAGATATGCTCGTGAAACTCTTTGGTCTTGTGTAGAGAGTGCATATTTGTTAATATGGGCTGCATATGGATTTTTTTAGACTCTTTTAATGGGTGGCTTTGCTTGTAGTTGGAAACATCAAAATTAAAAACTGGGACGGACGCTTCTATGGCCTTGTTGGAAACAACTGTATTGCGTCCATTGATGGATTTGGTGAGTAATGGTGGATTAAACCTAGCTGGTCTTTCATTAGTAATTCTTGTTTTTGATAGGTCGTTGCACAACTTAGATTTTGATGATAGTTGCTGCTCATTAGCCGTGTCTATCGCGACAGTGTTCATATCCGGCTTTACTGCCAAAGTGGTTTGGCTCTGACCCATGACTGTTCAAAGTCAGATGCCGACTGCTTATTTAAGGTATGAATTAGTGTATAAAGTAGCTTGGTACTATATAGTTTAGACCACTAGAAACAGGAATAAGCTATTTAGATGAACAGGATTCAAGTGTGCCGTATTCACGTAAAATGGAGCACTAAATAAGCGTGCCAAAATACAGATAAACAGCCAGTCTCATGACATGGTTGATGTCAGTTTCTACAAAATTCACTGGACACCATTGTTTTGTAAACTCTAATAGACTAATATTTTTTTGTGTTCATTTTTGTATAAACAGTTAAACATTCACATTGATTGACAGCATCAGAACCAGTCGAGTCTGGTTTCAAATTTGGCAATCGTACAATGCATGGCTATGACAAATGAGAAATCATTTCAGTTCAAAACTATAGTCTGTGCACATCATATGATGGACGTTGTGTTTTGAAGGATTGAAAATGCCAATTTGTAGTAGAAAAACATACCGAGTATTTAAACATTCTATATTCAAAACCAAGAGGCAGTCAATGCAAGATAGTATTCTATTTTACATGAATACGACTGAGAAACACGCTTCTTGCTGCTTTATTGCCAGGTTTGTTTTTACTGGTGCCTATCGCTTAATCATCTATTACCGGTGTTGGATATTCGGTTTAACACTACATCCACTGCAAATATTACAAAGTTTTAATTGCGTTTATTCCATAAAAGCATTGCCATTTTATGTCAACGCTATCCTCAAAAATACAATGAAGCAGCAAACACGATATCCCTTCGAATAAGCTCAGCAGCTTCCTCCATTTTTTTATAAAGTCCCGCATCACCAAGCAACCGAGCAGCACCAGATACTTCACGACACGTTTCACTGAGTCGCACAATACATCGCACAATCGATCCTTCAAGAACATCTGTTAGATCCGTAATGTGCTTGAATGGTAGCCCGCGTGCCCATTCGTAAACAACCTCTACCAATCCAAACTTGAGTCCTGCAAGAGCATCATCCTTGCGTACATCTAGTCCACAGCTATGCTGAACTTCTGCTATTTTAATTGCTAGTTCTGTAATTACCTTGACACCCTGTATTATCATACCATCATACCAAGTAAAAAAATTGTATTATGATGTAGTCCAATCAGCCAGCATCAAAATTATTGCAGATTAATAAAATACTTATTAAGCTGTAAGCATGGTGCTATTGAATTACCTTTTCAAGCTTAGAAGTTAGTACTGGTTCGCTCTGCGACTTTTCTTGAAATACAAAGCACGACAGCAAAGCAACAATTTCTGCTGGCTCATAGTCTGCCAAGAAATTATCCAAAATAAGCTCTGTAAGAATCAGCTCATCTGCTGTATTAATCTGAACACAATTGTAAAAGTAATGTCAGTATTTAGCCTTATTCAGTGACTGTAGCATCATATCAGAATATAGCTTAAATAGTAACTACTCAATCCAAATATTTTGGCTTAAATAATATTGATCATGTACCTCGCATGCCACACGACCCTTTATCTGAACAATTGAATTGGAGTCGACAAATCCAAGACACTTCAATACATCCACGCGTTGGTGATAGTCTGGAAGTAGCTGCAAATTTTGATCAGAAATAGAGTGTGCAAGTTCAGATATTTGTATTTGAAGTTGGCGTTCTTTGTGCACAAGTCCATACTAGAAACCACAAAATAGGTTGAAATAAAAAGTCAGTAAGCATATCACCTTACCGTTAGCACATATTTAAACTGTTGTCAAATAATGTACAAAACATACATGAATTGCAAGATCTGGGCACATGGAGCACTGATAATTTGCCAGCTGGCGTAACAGGTTTTGTTTTTCATAAAACCCATTTTGAAAATCAGCTTCTCTTATTTTACTCCAGTCGTATTCTGGAATAGTTCCCAATGCAAAAATGTCATTGCCAAATTTCTGGAGTTGATTCAGCGTGTTAAGAATTTCAACCGTGTCTTTTTGATCCAACACTAGATCTGCATCAAGCTGAATATTTAAAAAAGTTAAAACAACGTTTGTCAGCTTAAAATATCAAGCAAAGCAATGTTGATCGCGCATAGAATATCTTGGTACTTACTTTAATGAGTTTAGAAGTAATTACAGCAATAGCAGTATAGGGCAATAATTCAATGCATTCTTTTGCACGTCCTTGAGGCGGAATTGAAACTTTTGTAACAGGAATAATCCCAGGATCTTATCAATCAATTCCAACAAAAAATAGACTTGTCAATAAATAATACAAAGTCTAGCCAGTTGTCGAGCACCATCGGTATTATGTAATGCTCCAATCAAGTAAACATACCTGTTTTTGCAATATCTGTATCACGCATTTCGTCCAGTATTAAAACCCAGTACATTCTGTCTTGCTTGACAGATACACTTTGTTTTCCCAAAACTCCATTGTTAATGTCTCTAACTGCATTTTGGGCGTTATGCATAAGTATTGGGTTGGAAGTATTAGAACTAGTGCGTAATACAACTCCAAGAGCGTTTCGATACATCTATAAAATAGTATTTTGTTGGTTAAGAATAATACAGGTAGTAACTGACACGAATACACAACCCCTTACCGTGTTGTTGATGATCACAACTCGTCCACAGCTCAAGGATCGTTGTCCAATGGGTGTTTTGATGATTTTTTCGTGGAGCTGATATCCAATAGTCAAAATGCTGGCGCAGATATCATAAAACGGGTATAAATCAGTAGCACATATTGAACAGTCCAACTTTTGTAAAGATTCAAGTGATTTTGCACTCTAAACAGATTGAGATATTAAAATAAGCAAGCAACTAACGATATTAAAGCTAAGGCAGCAGTCAAACCAAAAATTGTAATGCAGTGCTGGCAATTCAACTTGCCTCGTTGTGCATTTTTTGCTGACCTGGAAGTGCTTTTTGATTTATATTTTCAGAAAAGGAGCGCTTAATCATATCCTCTACTTTGATTGCCTCCACTCGAAGTAAATTCAGAATCATATTATACGTAACTCGGAATTGAGAGGCCAGTTTGGTTGGGGTGCCAAGTATCATCTGGTTTAAAGTGGTTTGCTATTTTTTAAAACATCACATATCAATAGCCGAAAGATAATGCCAGCTCTAGTCACTATGATGGCACAAGACAAACCACTCACATCGGGGATATCATTGCTGTTTGCAATAATCACCATACCAGTATCGTCCAACCCACGACGACCAGCACGTCCAGACATTTGCGTATACTCGCCAGGTAAGAGATTACGAAACCCAACACCATCGTGTTTTCGAATCATTGAGAATACAACACACTTGGCCGGAGCATTCACACCCATGGCAAAAGTTTCTGTTGCAAATAAAACCTTTACTAGACCTCTTGTGAATAGAATCTCTACCATTTCTTTCAAAATAGGAAGAAGCCCACTATGATGAACAGCAATACCGCGGCCAAGAAGCTCTCGCATACGCATCACTTGTGGAAGCTCGCGATCGCTTCCTTTAAGACATACGAGACTCCTTTCAATAAATACATGGATCTCAGATTTTTCAGAAGAGCCGAGTGTAAGATCAGTATTGCTTAGTGTATTAGCATATTCTTCGCATTTACGTTTGGAAAATGTGAAAATGATTGCTGGTAGCAATACACGCTTCTTGAGCATGCCGATAAGATGAGTGTACAGGTTTTTGTCCTGAAAAAAATAATGCGATAATCAAGATAGTTCATGTCAGATGTGTTGAAGTTAAACCACATTACATTAGCAGCAACCGATTCAAGCAAGATTTTACCGATGGGCCTCCGTAAGATTTTCCAGAAGACTGGCTTGGCCGAGCTACTTGTGAAGATTGACCACCACCGCGACCGGCACCCCGGCCACGTCCACTATCTGACTTGACCACTTCCTTCTTGGGTGGATTTACAGCATCGTATGCTTTCTTGTATCCAGCAGGAATAAATGTTTTGGTCGAATCAACAATCTTATAGCAATCCTTTTCAAAATATAAATAGTGCTCAAGAGGTACAGGACGCTTAAGCGTAGAAATAACATAAATATCTTTTTGTTTTGTGCGACTAAACCAATTTAAAAAAGTGCATTATTCAAGTCAGTGTAATTGGTAAAAATACACCAAGGACAAGAATTCCAGAATCAATTTACTTACCCAACCCAATCGGCAAACTCCTTGGTATTTGGTACGGTTGCAGAAAGAAGGATTAAGCTAACATGTGACGGTAGCATAATAATGACTTCTTCCCAAACCACACCTCTCTGATTTGCATAGGATTAAAAGTGATTTACATTTAAAAATCAACCATTTTTTGAAAATTTAAAATATATACGCTAATAAAACCACTCGATAAAACTAACCTCGGCATCGTTGACATAATGCACTTCGTCAAAAATCACAAACTCAACATCGCGTATAAGATCTGCACCTCGATACAACATACTGCGCAAAATCTCTGTAGTCATAATCAAACAAGAAGCTTCTGGTTTGATTTGGACATCACCAGTCAGAATGCCAACATCATCAAACGTCTCACGAAAATCACGAAACTTTTGGTTTGAAAGTGCCTTGATTGGGGAAGTGTATATTGCTCTATAAAGTATTGTTGAAGTTGTAACTGTATCAACTTGAAATCTCTACATTTGTAATATAAGCTAGATAAAAATGCAGTGCATACCTTGTCATGCGTTTTTGAGCCAATGCAATGGCATACTCAGCCACAACAGTTTTTCCAGCTGAAGTATGTGCAGCGACAAACACAGATTCAGAGTTTTCCAAATGATAAACGGCACGCTTTTGAAAAATATCCAATTCAAAAGGAAATTGATGAGCAAGTTCAGGAACCAAATCATGAAACTCTGGGAATCCTTGATTGACATCAACAACATGTGCCCATTCCTTGTGTATAGGCACTTTGTTTACAACTGATTTAGGCAGGACTGCGTCAGTAGACAGCTAAAACGTGTACAATCAAAATGTAAATTAAAAAAGTCGACAGCTTAATTTAAACTTTCGTCTCAACTCGGATCCATTTAATGAAAAAACGCCTAGCGGTGTATCACTTTAAAAATACACCAAAAGCTTCAAGCATGAAATTTATACCTTGCTGGGAAGTAATTCGTCAATATCCTTTGCATCAGTGATAAGAGGTGCAATAGAATTATTTGTATCGCTTTGGGAAATCATATCCTGATTTGAAAAATTACAAACGTAAGAAATTTAGATTGTCCAAAACTCTGTTCATACCAATATAGATATAAACTTACAGGATCTACGGCACTATCCTGATTTTGCAGATTCATTTCTTCAAAGAGTTCTGAAAGTAGCTCGTCATCACCAGATAGTAGCTTGGATACATCCAATGACGTAGCAGACTCATCAGATGCTTAAAGAAACAATGCATTAGTAATTGACATTTTAAAGCCTAGTATGATGCTAGCACAACCAAACCATAAAAAGTGGTACGCATACCTTGAAATTGAATACCTCGTTCAAAGCCAGGAGGAGTTGACAAAAGCTCTATTTGAATAAAAGTGTCAATCATGAACGCATGTGCACCATCGTTGTGAAACTACATTACCTCCACTAAAATCCAATAGTTCGTCTACATCCCATAGTTCTCGACCATTGTGTTGGACAGACTCCAAGTTTACTACTGTTGGCAATCCTCCGGGAACAAATGGCATAGATGTAGATTTACCACGCACAAAATCACTATGTGCAGCAGGATCTCGCTGAAGTAATGAAGAATTTTTTGAGTTCAAATCAATATCATCAACCAGAACCTCGGTATAATCTGCCATGCTAGCCATTCCTGTGATAAGTGAGCGCGACAATGACAGCGTTGTTCTAAATCGAGTGTGCTCGGATACTTCAAGTAAATTCTCTACTTCTATGTTTCGTTCCCAGTATCTAAAATATACAAAGTTAAGCTGACAATTTTAATATCAAATCCATTAAATCCTCATGCCCAACAAGGATCAGTTCTGAACAAGCAGTCCAAGAAATTGGTGACTACTTTTAAAAGATCAACAAAATACCTTTGACAAGAATCAAGAAGATCATCAGGGATAACAGGCTTAGGTTTGAGGTAGGCATTTTCCAAGTCTGCACGCAGATTGGGGGCTGTAAATGGACCTAGATTGAGTGGAAGCTATAATTTAAACATGATGTATTTCAAAAGTTAGAATATAAGCTGTGTGAGCATTTCCAGAAAAGGTTGGAATGGCTGGCTGAACATCACAATATAATTGAAGCGTCAGTTCTGATGGTTGAATTCAACAGTCGTGGTAAACAATCACTAATCGGGATCTTAGTCAGCCCAGTAGCCTGAACGCAACCAAGTCAAAACTTGACAGTTGTAAAATAAACTCAATCCATTGCAAGTACATTTGTAATGATGCCCGACTTGACTGAGCGGTGAATGGAGGTGCGTCCAGCTCTGCCATGTGTGAGCAGATGAAACTGAGATCCATTGTCAGAATCTTGAGTGTTTTTTGTGGAGACTTTATCATTCTTTTCAAAAGTGAGCTCTTCAAGCAATGCCAAATCAACCGAATGCATTATAGGTATGGGATTCGAGTAGATTCGGATCAAAAATGGGAAAGTTGCGTTACAAACGATATATTTCCTGAGGATGCTTTAGAAGTCGGCAAGACGGACTCGACCATGCATTTTAGAAACGACGAAATTGCTTGTTTTAAAAGAAACTTGATGCGTTTCTTACTACAGATTGGCTTGAATAGAAATTCTTGAAACAATGACATTATAAAATACTAAACTATTGTTTTTGAACTGGAATTGTACGATCAGCAAATATTGGAATTGATGTTACTCATCAACTTCATCTTTGTTGTATTCTAAATCAGATACGCTTCAACTCAACAAACCAAATACTTGAGTGTGTGAATGCAATCATACATGCCCATCAAGCCAAGAGCACACAACACTATTTAATGAATTTGTATGGATTGACAGCCGTGTATTTGGTTTTTTATTTTACGTGAATAAATCAATTCAAAGCTCATCCAATCACGACAGTGATTGTCACTACTGTTGTCATCACCATCTCGACGTAGGATGGAGGAGCCGACTTTCAATACTGTTAGAAAGCGTCCTCGTATTACTTCTTTTTATCCTTCTATTGATCAGTTATGTAATCTTCCGCTTGAGCCTGTCAGGACGTCACAGTCATGCAATGCGTCTGCTACTTCAGCTACAAATACCAACACTGTGATTGTTATATCCGACAACGACAGCAATTCCAGTGACGATAACGCCGACACTATACTCACATTTCATTCCATGGCGCATGATTCTGCTGTTTCCATTTCTAATTCCCGTTCATTGGCTCAACCATTACGAATAGCAACGACTCAATCCATGTCAGCTCAACCTAAACCTCGTACTGCTTTAACTAACACTCGAACGACTCAAACTCCAGCTACTTCCAAAAACAAGTTTTTGAGGAATAATCGTATCAACTCAGATGTGATAATATCTAAAACCAAGAATTCAACTGGTGCACTTGCAACTACTACGAATTTGGTCATCAACATTTTGTCGGACGATGAAGGTGTTTTAGAAACTGTAAACTCGACTGCAAAGCAATTGTCTGCTCCAACTATATCTGATTCTTCTCAGTCCTGGTCTAAATCAAAGCATGCTCGTTCTAGACTGGCTGATTCTGCTGAGCAGAATCTTTTATTTCACCATTCGCTCAATAATAGCCCATATACCTCTTCAGATACATCACAACCTGCGAATCTATGGGATGCAAGCATCTCGTCTTATTCCGACCAGTCTTTATCTTCTGCCTCTCAATCAACTACTCCTCCGGAAACGATTGATCTAACGTTGGATGATACGATTGAAGAAATCCTACAAAGAGCTGTCCAGGCAGCTGGACAGACACAGGCTCAGCTGTCTTCTGCTTCATCCCAACTTTTCAAAGCTCCTCAATCTATCCTATGGTCAACTAAAACAGAAGTTGCTGCTGATACTTCCAAATCTAGTAGTCTCGTTGTAGAACCAACTTATTCTCCTCCAGTTTGCACTCCTGCAAAGTCAAGTTTTAAACTATTCAAGTTTACAGATTCGTCCTTGTCAGAAAACTCATTTGCCAAATCAAACCCTGCTTTTGAACCACCTTATAATGGACATCGTCAGACACCCGCTGACATTCAGATCAGCACATCCCATGATAACCCAAACCTTGACAACTCACATTCAAATCAATCCTTGGTTGCTTCTTTAGATACCACATCTCCTATTACTACTGGTGCTCTGCATTCTTCAACTACTGTTATTAATACGTCCATCTCTATGCTAAACGAAAAGGCTAGTAAATTTTTCCTCGATCTTGAATGCCAGCTATCATCTGCTAGATCTGACGATGTATGCATACAAGCATTTGATGACCAATTGGAACCAATTCAGCAAAATGCTTCGACCAATTTTACACATCAGATCGATTCACCTCAAGAACAATCGCTAAAACATGATACCTTGAGTTTGAATACCAAATCCGCTCTCCATAGCATCAACGGAATGTTGAATCCCGACCTCACCACACTTTCTGATTCTTCAAAAGCTCACACCAATCAAACTCGACGCCGTGCTTGTTTGATTGATCCCAAGATCTCGGCATCCCATGGATTTTCTTGTGTTGTACCTGAACTTTACGCAAACAGCAATTCTACTATTGACAAATCTATTTTTTGTTCTCAATCTTTGGCACAAATTGAATCGTGTCGTGTATTTACAGAATCTGTTCAATCTATAAATGTTTCTACCCATTTTGAATTGGGTGATAGCCAGAAGATACATTGTGGTGCATTATATACCTCTTCTAAACACCCTTATGTAGGTTGATGGTGTATAACTAATTTTTTTATTTTCTATACATAACTTCAACCACTGACTATCTATACTTTTCAAATTCAATTGATTATCGAAATGATATGATGAATAGACTACATCACTGATTTATCCACTTGGTGCAGCATTTAGATACCACTCTCGCAAATCCAAACCAGAGGATCAAGCCGCTGTATTAAAATCCTATGCTCGCGTGTTTTTGCAAATTTGGTGGCCCAATGCTAGCATTTATGCAGAGCTTTTTTATGGATGTGGCATCAGCGAAAGGGATGCTTCAATTCCTGCCATGTTAATAGAAAAAAGAGGCCGCGATATTCGACCTATTATGCCAAAGCGAAGTATCTCAGCACTAATAGAGTCACAAAGCAAAGTTGGTGAGTTGACGAGTCAAAAAGAAATTGCTTTGGTTCTAAGGAAGCGTTTATCGAACTTGTGGAAGCCAATCATGTCTTACAAACATGGAAGTGGAAGCATTACCAACATGCAATTTTCATCTACTTTGGGGATTCTTGCTTCAACACATTTGGTTCATACTGATCAATACAACAAGTCTGGAAATTTTTTGTGCTGCGATGTCAATTTGAAGGGGTGGGCAAACGGATACCAAAGTAAGATTATCTTTTATTTTTGGCAATAGACTGATTAGAATTATAGCACAACTGTGATGATTTTTACCGTTGATGACGATTCAACTGCTGATACCTTTTATTTAGAAATTGTTCGTCAAATGACCGACTCTCGTTATCGTGTAGATGGGTTTTCTCATGTCACTTCTTATGGCAAACGTGGGGAAATACGAAGTGCAACTTGCTCAAAAGTTATTATACATAATAATCTGGCTTTTACTTCATCGGTAGAAACGAATGAGATTAAAATCTGGTATCTTTCTTTACCAAAAAAAACTCCTAATTTAAACATGCCTCGACGCAGCTCGGCGTATGTTCTTCTCCCAAATCGATTTTCTATAGATAAACCATATACTCTTGAGTGCGAATCAGGTATATTTTATTTTGACTATACCAAACATTATTATGCTGAATCTATCTGACGATTTGATTGAATGGCTATACTGAAAAGACACCATGTGATAGCTCAAAGCAACTGCCAAACACTTGAAAAGTCACTATGCTAACACTTGCTTTATATACGTGGTCCATACTACTAATATGCGGAATTTTAAATGTTTGAATTCATTACAGGTTTTTCAAATATTTCCAGTGCTACCAAAGTTTCCGAGTTTGATTTCGATGTAGCATCAAACACTTTGGCGGCTGGCTCGTTGGATGGTACAGTGTATGTATGGAAGTCTCCCGCGTCTGTTGTATCAAGAGAGCACTTTATGTTGCGAGATATGCAAGAAATACAGTGAGTCTTGTTTGTATATGCAATGATATTATAGCTGCAACAAAAATATAAATGAGTATTAATTGAAACCGTGCATGTTTATTTATTTATTTTAGTGACCAAAAGTTTAGACCTGTGCTGACTGTCAAATTTGGATCAGGGATAACTCAGGGGCAGCTATTTGCCGGATACGAACAACCATTTAAACAGAATGATCAGCCTGGACTGGTAAACACATGTTGTGGCCCTGTTTGTGTATATATTATTTTCCAGACTTTAACAATCTATTTATTTGGATGAATATTGGCTGCTGTTTAATCAAGTGTCATTTGTGGGATATGACCTCTAATAGAACTCCATTAAGAACCTTTACTGTAGAAAAAAACTCTACGTCAAGTATTGCATGGTGCAGCGATCGTAAGTTTTTTGTTGGAATAATCGATATTATTTTGATACTGTTTGAGAATCTAACACGATATGAATGCTTTTAACTCTATGATTTCAAATTTATTAGGCAATATGTTGGCATTAGGTGTTGATGGATCCAGTGTATTAAACAACGACAGTTACGGTGATGGCGATAGAAAAGTAAGATTTTTTGATGTACGACAGCCACATATGATTGGAGCCACTGGTATTCGAGTCGTTGGTCACGAAGAACTCTTGTTTAGGTATATGTACACTACTGTTATCCTTACTATTTTAAATTGTATGCTGACATACCGGTTTGCTATCAACTTGCTATTTTGATTTTTAAACTTGAAAGCCCTTGCGGAACCTATTTAGCAATATCTGGACGAAGTAAACCAATGCTTCGTGCTGGTACTAGAAATTATGCATTATTTTCAATTGTAGACGTCCTTGATGTTAGAAATCTACGTCGGCCTTTAGCTAAACTGGACCATGATGGTAAAAATATGCTAAGCAGCTTAACTAGAATCAACGCTTTTCAATGTACTTTGGACACTATCTTTATTAACTAGAAATATTTAATGTGAAAATCAATAGTGGCAGTTGAATATGCACATGTCAGGTCCAAGCAAATTAAAAATGTTTATTCCACCCATATATGGACCCAATCAGGTTTGCTCATTACTGGCGGATCGGACTTTGCGGTATGTCTTGCATTTTTTAAACAAGAGTTCTACTAGTCCAACTTTATTCATGTTTGCTCACTACATTGTTGAATATGAATTTAGTCGCGATTGTGGGATGTTAAGCGCAGCGATTGCCGACTACGGACAATCGACTATCATGACGGAACTGTTGTGCACTTTGCATTATCACAAGGTACTTATTATAGGTTGATGATCTGTGTTGCTGTTGAAAAAGCTGCTGGGTTTTATGGAGTCTAAATTTAACTTGATAACCCATTTTTTTCTAACACACTTGTCTATTTTTTATATTTTAAACTATGGTTTTTTCAGATGACGATATGCTGGCTGTTGGAACAGACACGTCACAAATAACTATATACTCAATGAAAGGACCAGAAAAATATATCCAAAAGCTGCAAACTGCATATAATCACGGTAGAGAGGCTGTTGGCATTACGTATCCTGCATTATAAATCCGTCATATTTGCATATGAGCAAAACAGTGGAGTTTCATATTGAAATGTATCGTTGATGTTGATCAGAATTCAAAGTAAAGTCATATTCGTGCAAAATGGAACACTTGTATCCATCTTGCAGCGACTTTATTTTGTTTTGGAATAAACAACAATCGAGTATTCGCTACGCTTTTCTATTACAAACGGATTGCTTATTCAGTAGACATTCTCGATTCTTTTGTTTTGTGGAATTGCTCAACAATCAATTCTGTTATACTAAAATGGTTGTTTTAGTTGTAAAAATAGTCAATATAGATCTGTGAGTAGTATATATAGAGTACCGGATAATACCAGTTTTTTGGCGAGACTTGCTGTTAAAATCAAATTTGGTTTATTCTTTCTACCAAAATGTGTGGTAAATTCATCCAAAAAAACCGAATGTATGTTCTATTAAACAAGAATTTTAATACAGTTTAAGATCTGGCCATAATTGTAATTGCCTACAAATCGGCTCTTTTGTGTGCCATATCTATATTGATTACAAAGTAATTATTGAAAACTGAACGAAATATACTGACTAGACTATATTTTCTTTTCCTTGTCAGATGAACCAGATCCAGACCTCGAGTTTCAAGACAAATCACTTTCATCTTTCACTTCCAACTTGCTTTCATCAATATACAACTGTGCCTTGACACCGATTGTTTTGAAAAAAGAAATTGTTGTTTGGTTGTAGTCATCGTGAGGAATAATGATAATATCTTTTCCGGAGCTTGTTTGTCGTAATTTTGCATCGTGAATTCTGATGTCTGTTTTTTGGTTCCATTCTTGCAGTTGCTTCCACTCATCTGCATCAAACAGATCAGGCAGACGAACTGGAAGAATAGGAGCTCGAGTAGAAACTTGAGTAAATTCAGATTCATCTGTTCTTTCAGCGTATGATTGTCGGCGATATATAAAATCCCAAGCGTTCGTTTGGTAAGCAAACAGCACATCCCCGAAAGTTGGATAATTACTGTCGTTATCTTGTCCCCATTTGAACTGGTAAAAGAGAGAAAGCTTTTTAGCAATGGCATCCAAATACTTTCTGCAGGAAGCTTCAACATCTAGTCCCTTGTAAATGAGCTGTTTTTTGGAACTGCTGATAGGGGTTTTTATGGGTAGTTCCTTCACAGTCACCACCAAAGGACTCCAAAGGATTTCTTTCAAATCTGTAACAAGAGTCTCTGGGTCAATTTCAGTGATTCCAT